CAGTCAAGTATCTACACTCTACCGGTAGTTCCATAGTTAGCCGCAACCTGCATCTGCCCCGGCCGAAGGAAGGAGGAGGTGCTGCGTGAAGAAGGGTCAAAGTGGGGGCGGAGACTGGATTGCTACAATTATTGAGTTGAATCCATCTGAGGACGACTATCCATTACGCATCCACTGCTTTGGCATCGTCCCCGAATATCCATTGCGCTTCCATTGCTTTGGCATCTTCACCCACTATCAGCATCTCCATCAACACCATCACCACCACCAGCATATCACATCTCCATCTCAGCCAACTCCTGCAACCACGACGACCATTGTTGAATACGTACTATAGATACCATCTCTAACTACCACCATCACCATCACCATTACCACCAATACCGAGACGACATATATCACACTGCCCTTTATCCACCTTCCCTCCAGCTTCCCGTTTCTCCGTTCTGGTCGATCCCAGTATAGTAGACCACTTGCTTCCACTACTACCCCATAACCTCCAGCACCCCCCGGTAACTATCCCGCACACACCCCCAACACCAAACCCCCGCCCCACAGTCCAACGTCGATCGGTATCGTCTACATAGTTACCACGCTTCGCATCGATCACAACATCACCACCCTTCTCCCACCACTACCTACCACTACCACCTCTGTCGCCAAGCAGCCCGCGTTGCCCAGATACATACCTACATAGATACCCTCGCTATACATAACATAATGACAGACAGCCGTCCGAGCATACTGATCATCGGAGGCCTCGGTGCGTCCCTCCCCAGTTCCCCCTCTCTCCGAACGGACGGCCAGATCTAACAGTGATGCATAGGCTTCATCGGCCGCTTCCTCGCCCGCTACGTTCACGAGAAGAAGCTCGCCTCCGAGGTCCGGATAGTCGACAAGCAGCTACCGCAGCTGGCCTGGCTGGCGCCCGAGTTCGAGGAGGCGTGTGCATCCGAGCGCTTCGTGCAAGGCGACATGTCGCGGGACCGTACGCTCCCCTCGTCTCGTTCCCCACAACACCCCGAAACTAACCCCTGGCAGACACGGCCGAGAAGGTGTTTACACGCGCGGACGGGTCCTCATGGGACTACGTGTTCAACTGCGGCGGCGACAACCGGTTCTCGCAGGACGACGAGATCTACAAGCAGCGGTCGCTGCAGCTGTCGGTGACGGCGGCGAAGGAGGCGGCCAAGCGCGGCGTCAAGTGCTGGGTCGAGCTGTCGAGCGGCAGCGTCTACAAGAGCGAGCGCGAGCCGCGCAAAGAGTCGGACAAGCTCAAGCCGTGGGGCCGCCTCGCGAAGTACAAGCTCGAGGCTGAGGAGGAGCTCAAGAAGATTGAGGGGTATGGCCCACCCCCCTACCTCACGTGTACGCGGCTAACCGAGAACCCAGCTTGAATCTCGTGATAATGCGGCTGGCGAACGTCTACGGCCCGTACTGCTCCAAGGTGATCGGCACGATGCTGTGCATGGCGCGCGTGTACGCCTACATGGACGAGGAGATGAAGTGGCTGTGGAGCAAAGACCTGCGCACGCACACTGTGCACGTGCTCGATGTTGCGCGCGGGCTGTGGACCGCCGCAGAGTGGTACGCGAACGGGAAGAAGAACTGGTCTGACGACATGGGAACCACCCCCATCTTCAATATGGTCGATAGCGGCGATACCAGTACGCCCCCACCACCCCTCTCCTCCCCCCCATAGATACCGACCCGTGAAAGTTGACTGAACCCCACCAAACAGCCCAGGGCGCAATGCAAGCGCACATCTCTCAGATCTTCAGCATCAAGACGGGCTTCCACGGGACGATCGTCAGCCAATTCGCGAAGCTGAACCTAAACAGCGCGGTCGACGAAGAGAACGACGAGCTTCTACAGCCGTGGGGCCAGCTGCTAGCCGAGGCCAAGATTGCACGCCCCGGCCCGATCAATCCCTACCTCGAGCAGGAAATCGTGCGCGACTCCGACCTCAGCCTCGACGGCGGGAGGTTCTGTAATGCCACCGGGTTCGTCTACGAGGTTCCTACGGTCACGGAGGAGGCCCTGAGGGAGATGATTCAGAGCTATGAGCGTCTCGGATGGTGGCCGCCGATGAATATCAAGCGGAAGGAGGAGGCTGAGGAGTAGGGGGATGCAGTGCGGGGAGGGATGCGATAGAAGCCGTAGCGTGACGTCTTGTATATAGGTAATCTGCGGAGGAGAGTGGGGGCAGGCGTTCTTTTCGTTCCGTCTTTTGTGCAGCATCGTCTTGGATACATTGTTACATACCATTCGTTTTTTGTCTGTTTTGCTTGCTTTTAGTTGTAGTGTGTGGGTGTGCTAGAAGATATCCCTCGATTTCAAGACCCGTCACCGTCTCGCGATATCATAGCAAAGCAGTTGGTATACCCAATCGAGCAATCACAGCGGAACAGTCCAGACACGCCGCACGCCACAATAATTTGATATCCCCTCTCTCCCCCAGCACACCCCCTACCTCCCACCCCACATCATCCTGCCCGCCAACCTTCCCGCCCACCCGCCCACACCCGTCTGCATGGCCCTTCCCGCAAAACTCGACGCATTCCCGAACCTATCGGCCCTGGAGAACGCGACTCCATTGGTAACACCCAGCACCACCGCCACCACCACAAGCGACAACCAAATAAACTCAAACCGCAGGATCGCGACGACGGCAAGGAGCACCCACAGCACGGGCGACGCATACAAGCTCAGCCAGAAGAAGCGCGTGTCCGTCGCGTTGGCTACGCGCTCCGGCGGCGCGGACTCGAAGATCCATGTGCTCCCTGAGTCTGCGCTGTTCGCTGTCGAGGCGGGGGACGCAGACGGCTCGTTCCACCATCGCAACCCGACGAGCCGCCGCCCGGCTATGTTCTTTACATAGTAGAAGTCTGCGGAGAGGAGGAGGGTCACGATGATGAAGATTAGAACGCTGGAGCGGGGGTTAGCGGTGTGCGGATGGGTGCGCGGGGGACGGACAAGTTGCTGGAGAACCAGAGGCCGAAGAGGTACGTCAAGAGCGAGGCTGTTCAGTTCAATCAGTGATCGGACCAGAGGTGATGGGGCTGGCTGGGGGGCTACCGAGGCGGAAGGCGAGGAAGAAACAGAGCGTTATCGGGTGCGCGGAGAGGCGCCAGTTAAGGGGAGCCTGTAGATAGTTCACCCATCAGTCCTTGGAGCTTGGCCGCAGAGCGGGGCGGAGATATTTACGTCCGGCATTGTGTGTTGTGTGTTCGTATCGAATCGAGACGACAGTCGCAATTGGTCGTTGGTTAACTCCTGTTGGAGGTTGTGATGGTCGTAGTCGTTCGTCGTCGTTCGTCGTTCGTCGTTGATGGGCTGGGAGAGCGTTGTCGGTGGGGAGAGCTACCGTATGTACGTTTCGGTTTCAGTTTCACGTCACGCAAGCAAGCAAGCAAGCAAGCGAGCCTCATCACGCCGCGTAACCCCGCTCACATTCAATTAAATCCTCGTCCCCGTCCCCCCATCCACCCCACCCCACCGCCCTCCCCCTCCAAAAAACCAAACTACCTCCCCGCCGCCGCAGCCGTTGCCGCCGTCCCCGCCGCCGCCGCAGCAGCAGCCCCAGCAACTCCAATCCGCTCCTCCCTCTCCCTCCGTCGCGCCCTGGGATCCACGGCACCGCCAACACCACCACTCCCCCCGCCAAAAGCCTTTCCCTTCCCTTGCAGCTGGGCCTGCTGCTGCGCCTGTGCCCGCCGGAACTCGTCGTACGCTGCGACGTCCTGCGACGAGAGTTTTATTGCGGTTGGGTGGCGGCGGAGCATTGTATTGTGTTAAGTGGTGAGGGTGAAGGGTGAGCAAGGGATGTCGTTACTGTTGACCGGGACCGGGAGTGGAGCTGGAGAGTTGGAGGTCGATAGCGGGAGGTGAGACTTGACCACACCATATATACCGGCCCAAGACCAGCCACAACCACCCACCCCCCACTAAGACATGGAATGGAATGGAGGAGAGAGATAAATAGTAGCTGACGAGCACCATTGCAGCATTCTCACACCGCTAGAAAAAGAAGTCCTGACCGAGCTACAGAAGGTGTTATTGACGGTGAATAATCTGTCCGTATTTACCTACTTTCCAATTCCCACCATTTCTCCAGCACAGTATCTAACAATCCCAGAAACGACGCCATCCTCGCCACCATCGCCGACATCGGAGCGGTGGAGACATCGCAGCGCGGAGCGGTGGACAAGGGACTGGCAGTCCTAGGCGGCGAGACAGAGACAGAGATCGGCAGCAGAGAGCGGGAGTAATGACTGTCTTCTTCTTCTTCTTCTTCTTCTTCTTCTCTTCTTCTTCTCTGGATTTTACATACAGTAAAGTAATATATACCCCGTCTCCATCTCCATCTCCATCTCCATCACCATCACCACCTCCATCACCGTCACCACCACCCATCACCACCGCATACTTTTCACCTCACCCACAGCCACAGCCACAGGCATCCACTCCTCGGGAAGAAATCCATCCAGAAATCCACTTCTAGCAGAAAGTATTAATCGGAAACTCGAAACTCAAAACTCGAAATTCGAAATTCGAAAAAAAAAAAAAAACAGACACGGATAAAAAACCAAGGAAGCAAGCAGGTTAAAAAAAAACGCCATCCCATTTCCCCAAAGCACAAAGCAAAGCAAAAGCAAAAGCATAATCAAACAAATTCAAGTTCAAGCAACAAGCACAAGCACAAGCACAAGCACCCCACCCCGCGCGATGAACCACAAAACAGAGCGCCCGATGAAACGACATCACAGCAACTTACGTGAGAACATACGAAAAAGAAATGAAAAAGGAAAGAGAGAGAGAAAAAAGAGAAAACCCCCGATGCGAGTGTGAGGGTCGGGAGTGGGTGATCAACCGGAAAAAAAATCAAGAATGGAATTTGTAGATAGGAAGGGGAAGCTAGATATATAAGTCATTGCCGTCGCCGTCACGTCAACTGCCATGCTGCTGCAAACTGTGCGGGCGAATCTTGAGGATAATCTTTCTAGGAGTATCCGTAGACGAGGAGGGAGGAGTCGGCGTTCCCGGCGCAGAAGGGGTATTATGGGCATTACTGATCGACGACATCGACGGCGTTCGTCTGACACTACCAGGTTTACTGGAGGAGTCGCGATTGTGCTTCTTGCTCACGCCGTTGGTCGGTGTGCCTGGGGGCTTGCCGCGCGGGTTGGTGATGAGCTTGATTGACTTCGAGCGAGGGAACTGCGTTGGCATTGTTGTGGTGGGCGTGCGCGGCGCTGGCGGGATGGACTGTGTGCGAGAAGGTCCGGGCATAGGAGCGCGGGCGGGTGGGGGTGCTGGAATGGATATTTGTCGTAAGGGATCTAGATATACGCGCGTGAAAGCCAATTTACCCTATTAATAGTCAGTGAACGCGTCTCGATATCATGACAAGATATGGTCTTACCCCGCCAAGATGCGTGCAGCGAAGGTGCTTTGGATGCCTCATGGTAACGATGAGAGACGTCTTGGTGTGATACAAGATGGCGCAGATATCGAGTAAGAACCGCAGCTCTAGCAAGCCGAGATTCCGAGATCTACCCACGGTTAGCATGACTCAATCATCCGGCATTGTCTGGGGAACAAACATCACAGCGCGCCAGATAGCCTTCTTCATCGCCTCATCGTTGCTCAACTCAGCCTTGAGCACCGCCACGGCGCCTTCAATCGTCTTCTTCGCGAGCTCATCCTTTCTGGCCGCGGAGGTATCGGCGCTGGAGTCCTCAATGATCATCTCGCCCGACATTTGCAATCCGCTGGGAACACTCGGTCCGCTCGGTCCACCGACGGCAATCATACCCAAGCCCCGACCAAACGCGAGCTGGACCCACCTCCGCACGAATGGCGAAGGGTCCCGCCCCATCACGTAGCAGATGTATGATGCCAACGCGGGCTGCCGGAGGGCACCGAGCTTGACGAGGCAATCGAACGCCTTGACGCGCAGTGTATCGAGCGTTCCTTCTCGGGTGTAGGCCATGTAGACTTTGTAATCGACATCCTTAATGCCCTTCAACATCAGGTCCTTGCGAATATCCAACGCCACCTCCGAAACGATGTTCCGGTACGTAGGCTGCCACTGGTCCATCCGCTGGTACCGTTCAATCTCGGCGAGTGCCAACTCATGCATCTTCTTCTCTCCATACTCATCGTCATCCACATCCTCATCCATCATATCAAATCCATAATCGATCGCCGGAGCTTGAGGTGAAAGGGTATCGGCGAGTGATCTCATCAGGTTGGCAACATAGTAACAATCGTCGTAGTTGTTATTAGAGTTGTCGTTATACTGCAAGACATCGAGAATCCACTTCTGCACGTGGTCCGGACAGGCGCCCTGGGTGTTGCGGATGTGCGACATCGCGCGTGGAATGGCGTTCTGAACGTAGTACGCGGTGAGGTCGGTAAAGTCGTTGCCTCTTGGAATCTGGGAGCCCGGATAACAAAAGAACTCCTGGAATGCTTTAACCAGGTGAAATCTGCCCACCCAGTCCAACTCTGCCGTGGCGCATCGCGACAATGCCATCGCCGCCTCGACACGGATGCCATAGTAGTATCGCCGATCCATGAGTGTCCGCACGAGGATGGTCGATATCAGCGCCGACTCCCGTGTCATCGCAAAGTGCCGGATGGAGTCGTACTGCGCGATGACATCTCGATCCTGCTGCAGCTGCGACAGAAACATGTAGTCGGGCTGATTGATGTTGAGGGTGCATATCCATTCGAAATCCGCATCCATGCGTATCCACTCAAAGCTCTCCTGCGCCATCCGCTCTTCGTCTTCCTTGGACCAGTCCTCCAGCTGCCAATCATCAACTTCCTCTTCGCCCTGCAGCACATCGCCCAAGCAGTACAGCAGCACGTCATCGTTCTGCTGGGCATCGATACTGACGTCCACACCCGCCCCAGCAGCAGCACGCTCCTTCTGTCTCCGCGATCGCTTTAGCCGCTTGTACTTGGTATTGTACGGAATGTCCAGCTTCGTGTAGCCCTCCTTCAGATCGACAACGTGCTCATACGGCGTTCCGTCGGCTTCGTGAATCCTGATGGTCATCGGCCCCGTAAACACCGGCTGCGTAGGAGCAGTGACGACGTGTCTCTCTCGGTCCAAGGCGTCCTTGAGGAACTCGTCCGGATCGACACTCCGAGTCCGCGTCTGCGCAGCCTGTACCTGCCGGATTCCCATCTCGACGATCATGCGCTTCTTATTGAAGCGTTGCGACACCTCGAACTGCGGATATCCCGCGCCGTAGACCCACTGCTGGAAGAACGCATCGAGCTTGTTGTGACTGTTCTTCTCGCATAGCCGGATGAAGTGCGCGGTACTCATCAGCCCGTTCTTCAACTCTCCAGCCACCGCCGACATGAACGTCTTCCGCACGACGCGATGCAGCACCATCGAGGAACTGATCTTCCACAGCCGCTTCTCGAGGATCGTCAACACCAGCGGTGCCTTCAACTTGATGAAATCCAACGACGTGGGCTCGATCGGCACCTGGAATCCTTGGGCGTACAGCGACGCTCGATCGATGTCCAACTCCGTTATCCGCTCAGCATCCTTCTTCAGCCGAAAACGGTACTCGTTGTTCCCCATCAATGTCCTCATGAAGCAACCCGTCATCCAGTACGACATGCCGATGATGACCCAGATGTCCGCCCAGTCTTTGGGCACAATCTGCACACCTGCATACTGCGTCGTGAGGGTGTACGTCAACTTCTTCGTTACATCCCATAACGGATCAACGATCTGTTCGGGGAAGAGGAGATTATTGTTGCAGAGAGCCAGCGACGCAGACTCGACCGTATCCGTCGCAAGATCATCCACGAAACAGAGCTTGAAGCTGGAGAAGGTGTACTGGCCAAACTCCTTGACGATGTAATCAATGGCCTTGCGAGCAGCAATCAGCAAACATTGCTCGAACGAAATATCACGAAGGATGAACTATGGGTTATTACCTTAGGCATGAACATACATGTATTCTTCAGTTCAGCATCTCGTCCTGGCAGACAGTACCCAATCACATCTACAGCGATCGCAGCCATTGCGTCCTCGTTCTCTTGATCACGGAATTCGGAAAGGTTGACCACCTCGAAGGGACCTACTGCTATCGAGATATGCTGCGGAGCAACGGGCTGGGACTGGATAAACTTCACGATCTTCTTGGAATTGTCGGTGGGATGGGTTTCCTTTTTGGCCGTTAGTCTAACCGAAGGGGAAAAAACACATGTTACGAACGAGGAGCTAGACCTCATCCACGAAATCACCACTGCAGACGACCACCATATCAAGATCGTCATCCTCATCTGTTATCGGCGTATCGTCATCCAGCCTCGAGGAACGACCCCCGGTGATGCCGTTACTAGTATCATTAACCCGCCTGATGCTTGGGCGTTTGTTTATATCGCCAATGGTGCGCGGCACAGTGAGTTCGAGCTCCCAGGTCCAGCGCTCGTGTATACCATCGAGCGTCGGGAAGAGACAGCAGGCGGCGCCGGGCGACGGCGAATTGGTCGTGAACGCATGGGGGTACCGCATATCTCCGGACTCGCAGCCAACAAACGTAAACCCATCGCGAAAATTGTCAAGCACGTACTCTATTCTCAGCAGTAGCGGCATATAGGGAGTGTACATGTTGTCCGGCCTCGCAGTCAGAGGGGGGGCAGGCGTTCTAGGCGGAGCCCCCGCCGCTCCGTCCGGCGCATCTGGAGTGTTACGTCTAGCGGGAGCATTGCGGCCCATCAATGCGTTCTGTGCGGCGAGACTGAACGGATCCTATTCCGAGACACATGTATAGTGAGCAAACAGTTCCGGGGATATGCGAAAGGGGGCAGGGGGGAGGATGATGCTAACAGCAGGCTCAATCCGAACATTGGACGGTAAAGTGATGACCAGCTCGAACTCCGGAGGATCGTGTAGTACGCCATCGAGCCGTTTCCGCAGCATGTGGTGCTGATGTACGGTAGCCGATCCGTGGATCTTAAACTTCGAATACGGGTCTTCGTACTTGACCTGCGACGCGGTCTTGCCGTTGACGGTGCACATCATGATATCTGTAGACGAAAATGACGATGAACCTTCCGCTCAAACCCACACAGCTGCACGCAACATATAGAACTGCGGGACAAACATACCACACTGTCTCGAATTCAGTCGTATCTGCCTCAACGCCGGATCCGTAGGATTGATCGAGATCTCCGTCCAGCACTAATCCAGCGTCAGCACCAACCTCCATCCATCACCTCCGGCTCTCCCCCGTGACGTCCGTACATTCAACTGGCGCCTCGCAAAGTTCACATCAAATCCCACTTTCTGATGACCTGTGCACAGCCCATCAGCTCCCCGCCCTATATATCCCCCACGAACCCGTACAACCACTCCCACGCAGGAAGACTTATATATTGAACCCCCTGTTTCCCATAGCCGGCGGCATCGGTTGCGCCGGCGTCGCCCCAACAGCAGAAGCCGCCGGAGCCCCAGGAACCGCCGGAGCAGCAGGAACAGCAGGAACAGCAGTAGTAGCAATAGGCGCAACAGGCGGCGGCGGCGGCATAACAAGCGGATCCATCATGGCAGAAGGCATCGATCTCGGTCTCGGTCTCCCTTCCTTCCTTCCTTCCTTCCTTCCTTCCTTCCTTCCTTCCTTTCTTCCTTTCTTGACTAAACTGAACTCGAACTTTCGCGCCGAAGTGGAAAATGAGGAAAGAATCAAAAAGCAAGCAGGCCCTCCTTTAGTCGGTAGAAGCCCCCGTCTTCATTCCCGGTCCCCCGTCCCGTCCGTCGCTGTCTCTCTCTTTGTCCCTATCTCTGTCTCTCCTTCACTGTCTCGCGTCCCAGTTCTGCCGCAGTCTTTCCCGACGGTGGTGCTGCGGTGCGGAGCGGTATGCCGTACGTTGCGTTTCGTTGCGGTGCGTTGCGCTGTGCTTGCTTGCAGGATATCCTTCGCGTGTGGAGCAGGTGCGAATGCGATTGCGAGTGCGCGCTGACGTTGAGCGAGCGGGTGAGTGGGTCGAATCGCCTAGAAGTGTCGGTGGAGGTGTAGGTGGTGGGTGGCGGGGAGCGGAGTTACGTGCGGCGCGCGCGAAAACGAAAAGGAGCTGGTGGGTGGGTTAAGTACGGCACGGTGTGATATGTGTGTTGAGAGAGACGAGGTGAAAAATCGCGCTAGGTTGTGGATGTATCGATGGTGCGCGTGCGACGATCGGTGCGGTGCGGCGTGTGCTGTGTGTTCGTCGTCGTCGTCGTCGTTGTCGGAGGAGGAGGAGGAGTGGTGAGGAGGAGGAGGGGAGGAGCGAGGGGGAGGAGGCGGCGCGGCGGGTCGTTGAGGAGTGGAGGGTCGTTGGAGAGTGAGTGAGTGGTGGATTGTAACTACCGTACTTTCTACAGTATGGCTGGCCAGCGTCATTCAACTTTACTTTCGCTCACGCACGCACATCAACCATTCAACCGCAGCGAAACTCAGCTAGAGCGCTTGTACGGAAGCGGCAAAATGCGCCGCAACAAGGACGGCAGTGTCACGTGCGCCACGCCAAGACATCACTTGATATCAAATTATCAATCCCGAAATCATTCACGACGAGTCGAACTTCGACGATATCATTCACCTCGACCCAATACACCAGACCGAAGACGAGGTTACAGCTCCTGCTTTGTAGTTACATAATGTACCTAATGTAGAGTACCGTACTCTACAGGAATGCATTTCAATACACTTCAATCCACTTCAATCCATTTCCCGACCTGCACAGCACAGCACGCATCTGTAATACTAGTATACAGTTTCCCATCCATCCAAAATTTCGAATTCCCATCCCATCCAGCGAGAAAGGAAAACAGAAGCGGAAAAGGAAAACACATCCATTGACACCCCCAACCCAAATCCAGACCCAATTAGAAACAAAAAGAGAATATAAGAGAGAATCAAAAGTACTCAAAAGAAACACAAGGGTGCCGAAAGCCCACCCAAGAAGAAAGGAAAAGAAGGAAAAAAAGAAACCCACTCCCGGAAAACTGTACATCCATCCAACGAGGAACCTCCAATCCAGTGGCACCAACACACTGTACTCGGGCATCTACAGAGGGATCGATCACCTCGACAACCGCTTCCTGGCCCTGGCATGCCTCGCAGCCGAGGTGCTAGCAAGCAGCTCCTCGGGCAGCTGGAATTCCTTATCCTCCATAGTGGGGAGAGGAACACCGAAAGCCGTCTGCATGCGCGAGCTCTTGCGGCGGTTATTGCTGATGGCCTGTAGCCGGGCCGACGGCGTGTCGTAGAACGAGGTGAATTCCGGCTCGGGCTTCGGCGGCTTCGGTGGCAGCTGCTTCTTCTGCACTCTTGCGTCGGAAGCGGTAGGTGACGTGCGCCTGGCCTTCTTCAAGGTCGGAGCGCGCTTCTTCGTGGTTCTCCTCTGGATGTGGATGTCGCTCTCGTTGCCGTCCTCCTCCTCGTCCTCCTCCTCCTCTCCGTCCTCCTCTCCTCCGTATCCTTCCTCTCCCGCCACTCCGCTCTCGTGGGAAGCGAATCTACCACCGCCGCGCTCACTGCCGGTGTTGTCGTAGCTATCCCTATCCTGACTGTCCTTGGGACTATTGCTGGTCCTTCCATGCTTCTTCCTCTTCTCGCTGTTGCTCCACGCCTTGTACTTATCGAGAGTGGCCTCGAGATGCTTCACCAACGGCTCCTTCCGCTTGGCCAGCTCCTTCTTTCCGCAGGCCGCGACGACCGCCTGACTCAGGCCAATCACCTTCCACCACTCCGGGCCGCGAAGCTTCTCCAGATCACTCTCGATCTTCGCCGCATTATGGTGCAGCAAGTCGCGCTCGATATTCTTGCTGCGCTTCTCGAGGCGCTCAGCGCCCGTGTGCGCCGAGACGTACACTGCATCCGCGAGCGGGTCGGTCGTGAAGCGCGGAGGCCGCATGCCCGCCTTCGATAGCTCCTCCTCGAGTGAGATCGTCTGGATCGGCACGTTGCGGATGCGCACTATGTCCGGATCGTGCGTGGGTATCGCGAGAACGCTCTTGGAGGGGGAGATGAGGAGTTCGGCCGCCGTGGGGACGTCCGAAGCTGGCGAGGGCGCGGGTGCGCTCCGGGTAGATGTGCGTGGGCCTTCGCAGACTTCGCGCCGAACGATCGGGATCTGGATGTCGTCGCTCACTGTCATCACTTCCGTCAGCGCACTGCGACTCCCCCCCTCCCTCTTCCCCCCTCCCCCTTCCCTCCCACATCTGCACCTGCCGCGGGAATTGTATGGTAGGGTACTAACATCCGCGCTCCACCTCCTCAAACCACTCCTCGTATTCACTCCTCTTCTCCACGTCCTGACTCCTCAGCACCCTCTTCTCCTCCTTCTCCTTCTCCTTCTCCTTCTCCTTCTCCTTCTCCTTCTCCTTCTCCTTCTCCTTCTCCTTCTCCTTTTCCTTTTCCTTTTCCTTTTCCTTTTCCTTTTCCTTTTCCTTTTCCTTTTCCTTTTCCTTTTCCTTTCCCGATGCGCTGCCCTGTCTCGCCCTCTTCTGCTGCGGCTGCTGCTGTAGGATCAGATTCCCCTTTCCGCCGCCAATTGCAATGGGAATGTCGCGCTCGCGTTCCCGCTTCCTTTTCGCATTGTGAGTGGTTGTGGGCGTGCTGGTCGTAGCCGCCTCCGCGCCCGATCCGCTGCTGCTGGAACTGCTGCTGGTGCTTCGGCCGCTGCCGACGCTGCCGCTACCGCTGTCGCCGCCGCAGTCGCCCCCGTTGCTGTCGCTGCTCGACGTCATGTCTGTTGTTCTCTGTAGTTGTGGTAATTTTTCTGGTGGAGGTTGTAGTGTCGGTGGTGGTGGTAAGAGTGCGGTGGTAGTGGTAGTCGTAGTGGTGGTGGTGGTGTCGGACTTGAACCGAAGGATTATCGTAGGTCGTGGTCGTCCCTTCATGTTGGAAAGTCGCTTTCATTTGCGGATTCTCGTCGGAGGAGTGGGTTCGCTGACGCTGTGAGTGAGAGGGCTATTGAGTCTCGGCTGGGTTGGGTTGAGGTGTGGCGTGGTGAGGGTGAGGGTGCGATGCGACGAGGTGAGGTGAGGTGTGGTGAGGTGTGGTGAGGTGAGGTGCTATTAAAGTTGAGTGTGTGAGTTTGTGAGTGTGTACTGCGAAGGTTAACCCCCCGGGCCCGAAGTCGAGTCCGCCGCCGCTGAATGGGGGAGGGCAGGAGGGCAAGAGGAGGAGAAGACAAAAAATGAGGTTTCAATTTCCCAACGCTTTCGATCGTTCACCACAGCGACCCGGTCGCGCTCGCGTGCACAACTGGGATGTGATATATGGAGAAGATGCTACCTGCGACTACTCTGCTTGCTGGGTTAGGATTCGAAGGTTGGTCCAAACTCATCACATTACATCACATCACCGCGCAGCTCGGAAGCACCGCCTGCCTATGCGCTTGAGGAACGGGAACAAAGGGGAGGGCAATCTAAGCTTCACGCAACGACTCCGACTCGCTCGATCGAATCCAAGCGTCTGGCAAGTATTCTATTTCATTATGCAGGTGCTGGGGGCCCCGTCCGCGCGCACTGAGTGGTTCCGTCCGAGAGAGGAGACGACCATCTATGGAATATCGGCACGATGCGAAAGAGAGAAAATAAAGAAAATAAACACATTGACCGAACCGACTGAGAATCTCGACTGCAAAAACCACAAATAAACGAACGCCAGAATGCATCGAACGACTAGACATTAAGTTACATGACACTGCGCGACAAAGGTGTGGGACTTGAACACCCCATCCCCATCGTCACGTCGAGTAAGGAGTGAAAGCGGTAGGTATCAAGAATGCAACAAAAAGTCCTTGACCAGCGGCGAGCCGGCGAACTGAGGATTGAGCAAAATACAGCTGCGGTGACCCGTTAGTCGACCCGACCCAGCAAGATGAGGACAAGAGAGAATGAGTAAGTGAGGAGGTTAGATAGGTGGGTAAGACGCACGATAGGAAGTACGATAGGCCTTGTCGGCGCGACTCGAGGAACTTTGGGCGGAATTTGGCTGGACAACAGTTAGCCATGGGCGGGCTGGACTCGGGGAGAACACATCCCCGGAGGAGGGGAAAGATGGGGGAAAGATGGGGCAATATATGGGGCAATGGGCGTGCATACATATCACACTCTTCGGAGGCAGCTCCGGCAAGTACTTGACGGACCGAGGAAACGTCGACTTCAACTGTTCATGGAGCAGAAAGAACTCGGAGTATCTGTCCAACCTCAACAGCAACACATTAGTTCCATAGCATCAAGCTAAGCGCGCACGCACTCGCGCGTGCGTGGGGTGCGCTGGGTGGTGTTATGGGCATACCGTTTGCGAACGGTGAACTGAGCGCCCTGTTCACGTCTGTCAAAAATCTATTTCCCGACGACGGGGGATTGGACAGGAACGCACCTCGAACGTCTCGATCAGACAGTTCCACGCCACATACGCACCCGCTCGGGTCCTGCTCCCGGACACGATGGCGTAGTCGACGACCTGGGCGCGCCGGGCCCAGAGGCCGGCCGTGTTCTCGCCTGGAGTCACCGTGTGGTCCTCGAGAGTGATCGGTGCGGGCGATAGTAGCTGGAGTGCGCCGCCTTCGTGGTCGTCATCGTCGTGGAGGTTGTAGCTCAGTGTTCCCCCTCCGCCAGCGTGGTCGTCGTCATGACCATAGTAGCTCAGGCATCCTCCATCATCACCGCCACCACCATGTGTCGATTCTTCGTGCGGTCGTTCGGGAGTAATGTTCATGTCCGGAGATGAATTTCGGTCTCTTTTTGCTCGCTACAACATGTTGCGTGTCGTCTTGTAGGTATTGGTTGGGTGTTGCGTCAGCAAGAAAGAAGAAGAAGTATTCGTCGAAAGCCGGTTGCGGGTTGCAAGGGTGAGCTCCTAGGTAAGTCTGGCTTGGGGGAGACGCAACTCTTCCACGAGCCTGGAAATCATTCGTTGGTTGTCACGTGCGTATGTAGCCGTGTGTGGCAGCGGAGAAAGGTGGTCATTTGCCAGCCATGGCAATTGAAAGTTGAGCCTGAGGACCACGGCAAAGAGGCCAAGAACTTAGAAGAGATTTTCGCTTTACTTCTTGTACATACGGGTATCTAGATTCTTCATATGGGGCAGGGATGAAAAGTCCCTGCTGTGAAATTTTCTCAATGGAGGATGGATGGAGAAAGGAGAGTTCATCAAATTCTATATACTGTATCTACATAGACTACACGGAGTAAGCGCACAACTATAATACATAATACCTGGGTGTTCCAGCCTCCATCACGACGAAAATAAGCGTTGCATATACTTCTACATAGATGAGCAAAATCGCGCTGCTTCGGGCAGTTTATCCGGCCGGAGCGTGCGACGGTCAGTCGTCGACCACGGGTGGGGGGGGGCGGTATCTTCATGAACCGTCACTCGGTTTTCTCACGTTTCGCTCTGAAGTAATTGGGCGTTATCCGTTTTGGGGGTATGGACATGTGTAGAACTGTGGATGAGAAACGGAGTGCGTACGTTAAGTATATGATCCTCACAGATCGAATGCTGAAATGATATAACATTAAAAAAACCTGCATCTATTCGTGTCGATCCTTCCAAATAGTATGAAGCCTCTCGAATTTTCTTTACAAATCACATTGCATTGCCTTTTATTCCCTCCAACGATAGAGTGGCCGCTCTGAAGTTCGAAACGGCATGCATACACCACATCGCATCGCATCCAGTTCTTCAGCTCAGCTCAAGCTTGGCCGCTGCAAGCGCAATCGCAATTGCAATTGCAGGATCCGCAGCGAACGAACGATAGAATGCACCTATGAAGCAGGTAATTGAAACAAGCGTTTGGAGATGTCTGGGGTCTATGTACAGGCGATTCGACGGCAGATCGGTCAGGGCTTGACTAAGCAAGTATCGCCAGAGTTGGTGGAGAGAGTGTGTGTGTTTCGTACGTACGTAAGCTTCCGGCAGCAGATTGGTGGTATGGCCGTTTCGCTCTTCGCTCTTTGCAGAGCACCCCACAACTCCAGCATATGATTGCATAGGTGGATACATACATGCTGGTTGTGTACGGTACCCCACAGCGATCGATTCCCCGGACTTCGTTTGGCGATGATGAACCCCCCCCCCCCCCCCCCATTAACCATTAACCGTCCGAGCAAGAGGAATCTGACCGCAGTGGATGTGCAAGGACGTTCCCGGTCAGCAGTGACATCCTTGACGTGGAGAACCGAGTTCGGGAATCTGCCTGACAGGCCGAGGACTCCACTCCACTAGTAGTAGTTGGTAGTAGGATTAGTAGGAGTAGTAGTGCCTAGGAGTGGTAGGAGTAGTAGCAATTGTAGTGGCAATTGTAGTAATAGTAGTGATGGTGGTAGTAATTACTCTGCGATGTTCATCCTCACATATTTTACCAGCCACCGCGCAAGTATATAGTACTCATGTAGGTACGGGCACTGGCGGGAAGTGAATCCGCATCACAAGTTAGCCAGACAGATAACTACCGGTATGCAACGGGTGCGGGTAGATACGTCGCACGTATGGGTGGATATGTAGAGTACCTAGATATGTAGAGTGTGTTGCACTCAGATGCAGATTGTCGATCGCTCAGCGGCCGGTGGCTGTCAACGCCGAAGGAACGGAACCCACGGAACTGTCGGCAGCGAGCGTTAGTGGTCGTATGATGGGCGTCCGATGTCTGGCAGGCTACGGCTGGCCATGGCCGGCCTATGAAGAGTGCAGGAGGCTTGTCCGTTGATTCTCTTTTTGCACCTCGATCACGAAGGACGAAAGTCTTCAGGCTTGCGCGGCCCTGTTGAATCCGGATTGTCGAAGCAACACTGCAACGGGCTCGGATGCAGGGGGGATTTCGTTTTCTTTTCTTTTTCTCTTTCTCTTTCGCTTTCGCTTTTTTCCTTCGCGCTCTCCCGCGAAAAAAGGCTGGGAAGCAAGCAACTCACCCGCCCAGCCTTGCTCGTTGCGGTCAACAGTTAGAAGTCCGCACCCAAGTCACTAACTAATCGCCCAAAATGATCCTCAGGGATGGCGGCCCCCTTTGTGTGGAGAAGTTGCGTGTGTGACACCTTCACTTCGGCTGATTCGAGATCGGTGTGGCCAAACATCCCCCATCACGCTCGTCCCCCGTCCTCCTCCTCCTTCCCTCCCTCCCTCCTTCTTGTCATCGCTCATTGTTTTTATTATTATCTTCAATCCGCCAGCATCCGCTCTTCCCCGTGCTTCCCGAAGTCCTTCGTTTATCTGCTGCACACACCCTGCCCCAGTGACCAACGCTCTTCTTGACTACTTCTTAATCGTGCTCACCTCCTCACTTCTTTCCTCACTTCTTGTCGTCAACTGTCGCTTCTCCCAAGCTCCCCTGGCTTCATTCGTTTGTCTCCACCCCTGAGGTTCGTAAGTCTACAGACCGGCCCCCCTACCCTCAGTCACAGACCCTCTCCCTTCGGATATTCCTCTAAAGGACTCCACATTCCTAGCCAGCTTCCTCATGATCCGTTAATTGCAGCATTGATCCGATTGGCTAACCTGATTGTATTTCCTGTATTTTCAGCGCTTTAAACTCCCTCCTCCTCCTTCTCCAACTTCCTCGCCCTTCACTTCACCCGCACCCACACACACAAACAAAAAATCACAAAAAAACATCACAAACACGACAAGATGCGCTCCAACACGCTCCTCTCCGCTGCCCTGCTCGTCTTCGGAGCTACCTTCCCTGCCGTGACCGTGGGCTACAACATCAGTTCCATCGCTATCGATACGAGAACCGGTTGGTGTAATGCACAGGTATGAGGCGGACGGCGTATGTGCTTATGGTTGGACCAAGACACTGATCTGGTGAATTACAGGTTGCCCAGTGTCCCGCACTCTGCGCCGACCAGAAGGAGGGCTTGACCGACAAGGAGAACGACTGTTTCCCCGTACGCTCTCCCTCCCCTCCTCCTCCACCTGCAACCCACTAACCCCGTCCCCCCAGGAGAACCTCTTCTACGTGTGCGTGTGCAGCGATGGCAGCCGCCCAAACCTGACGCAGTACTCGGAGACAATCCCGTACTACCTCTGCACGCTCGACCAAGGCGACTGCATCAAGAACTGCGGCAGCGACAACACATGTGCCGACCAGTGCCGTAAGACGTACGTGTGCGGCGCCACGTCCCCCCGCAAGATCAATGCCACCGCCTCTGGGACTAAGTCGTCGACGTCGGCCTCCGCCTCCTCGACCGGCGTCGTCAGCGGTGACGGCTTCGCCACAACCGGTACCCCCCGATGCCGACAACGCTGCTGCCGGCGTGCTGCTGAAGCTCGGCAGCGCATACGGCGTCGGCATCGTTGCGGCGGGTATCGCCGTCGGTGCGGCTCTCATCGGTATGTAATGGCATCATCATCGTCATAACATACATACCACGAGCCGAAAGGGAGGGAGGGGGCGTTTCCATTCTTCTGATTTGTCTGCTACGTGTGCTTTGTTCTACCTACAGCTCTCTTAATTCGTTCCCTCCCTTCGTTGCTGTTATTTCTGGGCGCGATTCGAATTGCATTGTGTGGACTGGTGTTTTTCTTTGTTTGTGTGTTTGTGTGTTTATTTGTCTGTGGGGTGGGTGGGCGGTGGGCAGCGGCCGTAGTGAGAACAGCCAAGTTCCAACGGATGGGTGTTTACCGTAGTTATCATACTACCGGTACGGGGTCGCTACATTTTACCATGTGATGTAAATGTGAATGGTGAAATGTTTTATTTTTATTTTTTTTGCTTGGTGGGTCGTCCGGAAGTTGGCGGGTGTAACACACACCAAAACGTAGAGTAAACACGAGTGATCCAGCGTGCAAAGGATATCAACACCACATCTATTTCCACCAACTAGCAGTTCCAGCACAACACAACACAAAGAGATCGCTCGAATCGTAAAATATATACCATCAAAACCATACCGCACAATAAGCACAAAACAAAACAAACCCCACTTCCTGCTCGTTTGACGATCTATCCACTGAAAGCCGTCTGCAAGAATCCCTGAACCGCCTTAAGCGCCTCGTAGCGCACCTCCGCATCGCCATCGCCCATAAGCGTCATAACCCTAGCCTTAACGCCGAGCTCGACCCACTTCTTCCTGACCATTGGGACCTCTCTGACGAGGACGCCGACGTCGTTGCACGCGACTGCGAGCACCGTCTTGTCCGTGCTCTGCGCGAGGACCTTGGCCAGCTGCTTTACCAGCTCAGAGTCCTCGACGATCTCGCGCGCGTGCCGCTTCCAGAAGCCTTCGTTCCGGTGCGGGGGTGACCAGCGAAGGTGTGTGGACATCACCTCGATTCGGTACGAGGAGAGTGTGGTTTGTGAGTTTTGGAAGTTTTCGAGGGAGGAGGTCACCGTGTTAAGGTCTGAGGTCAGGTCTGGGTCCGAATCGGAGTTGAAGCGCGTAGAGAGCGTTTGCAGGTACGGCAGGATGTTGGTTACGAGCAGCGTGGGGAGGTTGGTACTGCTGGATTTGAGGACGAGGTTGGTGAGGATTGCGAGGGTGACGCGGGTTATTTTTTCCTTGATCGGCGAGCGGAGGATCGTTGTTATCGGGGGGATGATGTCGTATTTGCTACTGGCTATTAGACGGGGACGGATGGATGGCGGAGGAGGGGATATGCGTACTCGTTTATCTCCTCCGCAACGGTCTCGTCGAATGTCAACTGCCAAACCACCAGCAGGACATGATACACAAGCTGTAGCGGCACGCCGCCTTGGACAATACCCACCGACGCACCCGTAGAACTCGCATCACTCCGATCACTCGCTGTCCCACCCGCCGTTTCCTGCAGCAGCCCCACGAGCGGCGGCATGATCTCCTCCTTCATGTCCCAAAACGCCTCTCTAGCGTATGGCGTGCGCAGGAGCACTACGTACGCTTGTATGGCGAGGTCTTGTTGGTCGCGTTCCTGTGCCTTTGAGACGGTGCTGAGGTAGCGGTAGAATTTTGGGACCGCATCGAGGACGGCGGGGGAGAGCTTCTTGTTGCTGGCGAGGGAGAGTGATAGCAACGGGGTGAGGATAGCGGCGCTGAGCACGGGGATTACGGGGTCGGTCGAGCCTTCGAGGAGGGAGAGGAGGAGCTCGAAGGGGTTCTTTAGGGCCAGTAGCGACTGCGCAAAGCTGGGAACATCTATCATCACCCCCAATCAGCCCTCTCCCATCGTCTCCCATCACCCCCCAGACATCTCCGCACACTCACCCTCCAACAGATCGCCTGTCCACATGAGCATCCACTGGACGAGATCAATCCTGTCGACATTGGCGCTTTTGCGCACGACTCCGGTGTCGCCCAGTATGAGCTGCGCATACGTCTCGGGCTCCTCCTGGAGGATCTGTGTCCTGCGAGCTGCCGAGACCTTGTCGGCCGCCTTGATCGCTTTCACATCCGCGTCTGTTACTACATTGTACCGGATGTATGCATCCCACGCTACCGCACGCTTGCGCACTAAGGATTTGTATTCGTCGAGGATGCTTTGGCCGTCGAGGGACATGATGGGCGAGGAGTGGGTGGCGAGTGGTCGTTGGGTATCGTAAGGTGGGGGGAGGTGCGGGAGTGGGCGAGAGGTTGAGCACTGCGGGAGCTTGGAGGTGTTGGTACGTCACTCGCTTACCCGGCGGATTGCAGGGACCATGTCCATCATCAGATGTCGCTCGTCTTTGCGTTATCAACTACTTGAATGGAACATTTACTCTAGATGAGTCCTTAGATACATTGCTGGAAACATCGACAGTCGCTCGGCATTCAGTGGAAAGCAAGACACGCGATTCTATTGTACTGCGAAATCCGCCTTCCGACAAAACTAAGATACAGTCGCCCCCCTCCACCCGCATGCATCCATCATCCGTACTTCCGTTCGTCCATTCCGAAGCATTATACAAGGGAAAAAAAACAATCCTTTTTTCGAAGTCCTGTCCTTTTTTTTGTACTTGCTTACTCGGCGGAAGCGGCGGCACCGGTGATAATCTCGACCAGCTCACCAGTGATGACAGCCTGTCGGGTACGGTTGTACAGAATCTGGAACTTGCCAATCATCTCTCCAGCGTTCTTGGAAGCGTTATCCATGGCGTTACGACGAGCGGCAATCTCGCAGGCGTAGCCCTCGGCAAGAGCCTGTCCAGCGTCAGTGAATACAGGAGCGGGGGATGATCGGATTGTCTTGGCTCATTCTTACCCAGTAGATGGAGTTGGCAAGAGCGAACTCACGAAGGTTGGGGAGCTGCTCATCCTCAATCTCGAAGGCGGAGATGTTGGCTGGTTGGTGATTGCCGGATTAGCCGAATTAAACAACAGAAGACGGAAAGCCAACGGCGGATGCGACAGAAAAGACAAGGAACCTCAGAAGGAAGGCAACGGAAAATATCCACATGGTTTTGCGCTCTCGGATATGACAATGGTTTACATCCGAATTCTTTTCATCACTAGTTCGGGTAGGAAAGGGGGGAGAGTGCTAGGGGGAAGGTATGATGGACTCACCAGCAGCCTTCATCGACTCCTCAGAGTAGGCGTTCATGGTGGTAGCCTCGTACGAGACGGGGGTCAAGAACGAGTTGTATACGATCTCGACATTGTCGTACTCGGTGTCCAGCGCCATGATCTGGTTTGCGATGGCCTGGGCGGTCGCAAAGGTGGGAACGTCCTTTCCGATACCCGAGAAGCTCAACACCATGTTCCTCGCGTTCGATCTTCCGAGTTGCGCCCTGCACTTCTCGCCCATGACGACAAGGTCGGCATTCTCGTTGGCGAGCAACTTCAGACGCACAGCCTTCGACAAACTCGAGTGCACACCTCCGCAAAGTCCCTTGTCGGACGACGAGACGATGTAGAGGGTCTTGCCGGTCTCGCTGGGTTGAGCCTCGGCCTCCTCGAAAAGCTTGTTGGACGTCTTTCCGTAGATCCGAGATTCGGCCATGGACTTCTGAGCCTGGTTCATCTTGGTAGAAGCGACAATCTTCATGGTCTTGGTGATCTTCTCGATGTTCTTGATCGACTTGAGACGACCTTCAATCTCGCGCAGAGTGGCATAGTTGTTGGAGAGGACCGGCCTGACAAAAGGTGGATGACGAAGGCGGTCAGTTCGGTTTGTCCATAGCGCTCTATTCCCTCTTCTCCTCCTTCGCTCTCTTTTCCTCTCTTTCTTTCGGCAAACCCGCAACCAGTCACCAGTGACCGACACCCTTTTCTTCTTGTTCTCGGTTCGGAGCGGGGGATGCTGGGTTGAGGGTGGGGGAGGAGCATTGGGAGGGCAATTACCTGCAAGAAGCAGCGGCTGCCCGTTGAAGGGCGGGTCTGGCTGCCCGGGAAAGCATAGCGATGGAGGACGCTTGTGGAAGTGAACGGTGTTGGTGGGGGGTGGGGGGCGATGGCTCGGAGGGGAGAGGTGACGGAATTTCGGTTTCAAAACGGAGAAAGTCGCGATAGAGCCGGGGAGGGTTGATTTGCCTGCCTTGTCTCACTCCGCTTCATTTTGGTCCGTTTCGGCTGTCTAGACGAACGCTGATTGGCTAGGGCTTAGTAATGACCACAGTATTTCTTTGATTTTCGACATTCATTTTTTATTCACGCAAAAAATGCATACAAGTAATCGATATCGCACGATTGTGAAGCTCTTTTCCCCCGAAGCAGGACTTATGAGGAGAATTCTAGTCATATGCGGTGCAGTTCATTCTGATCTGTATCCCTCGAATCGTAGAGTTATGATACGTGACTCTGTTCCATTCACCCTCAGAAACGACTGCGGGAAATCGATAGAAATCGGCTTGAGAAACAAATTTAGGATTCACCTTAACGATGGAGCGGCACAGCGAAAAGGGCATGTTCAAGTATGATACCTGATAACACGTCTAGAAAATGGGACCGCTCATGTCGCCAATATCCATTATCGAGACCACCATGGGATCAAACTACGGTGACCAAGATGACAGATTGGCGAGATGGATGCCCAAAGACTGACCAGAGGTCCATCGAGGAAATATCGTTACCTTGGGGCATGCTATTTCAACAGTCCAGCAGTTTTCCATCCGGCCAAACAGTGACTGAGAAGTCCCCCAATCACCTGTTGTCACTCAGCCTTACATCTCAACGATGTGTTTTGGCTACGAAAGTAGGTTGAAGCCGCTAATCTGGAACAGCAACGTGATTTCACGATCCAGGGACAACAATTGCGCTTCTTCACCATCTGTCGAAATGGTGCTCGCAGCCTCGACTCCGTGAGCGGGGATCTACGGGCCCAAGGCACCCAGTCTGGGCCTCGACAAAGAATCGCAAGAAATTCTCGGCCGGCAAGCAATCACCGTCAGCAGAAAATCGAGGACTGTGGTTTATACTGGGACGGTCCGAGTCCTCAAATCGACTTATCATAGTTACATGTCTCGGGCACTCCATTGTGGATGGCCAGGAAAGTGTCTCTCGCGCAGATGACGGGGCTGTCTGACAGGAATCCGGGTTCTCGGCTGGCAGAGATTCTTCTGCCGGTGTATTATGTATACTCTACCGCATGCCTACCTGATGCGGTGGCCGGTCTGCTGGGTGCGTGTTCGACATGCTCGACACGTTCGACGAAATGTGCCGGTCCCAGCTGCAGCGGTTAACGACAACTCCACCCGGAAGAGAGATCTCGACCATCGCAATCGTTGGCATTTCGGGAGATTCCACCACGTAAACAGTCGGCAACACAGTGATTCACATCCCACACAGAAAGTTCCATGTCCACCAGCAGCAGTCCACAGAGAAGCACTCGAGGGGGTGGCATGCAAGGTGCCTCCTAGCGATCGATAGCCGAGACAGATACAGCAGATAAACTCGGATCGGAAGTATCTACCGGGCACGCGGGTGCAGTGGGAAGGGGAAGGGGAAGAGGAAGAGGATGATGGAGAAGAAGAAGAAGAAGAAGAAGAAGAAGAAGAAGAAGAAGAAGAAGAAGAAGAAGAAGAAGAAGAAGAAGAAGAAGAAGAAGAAGAAGAAGAAGAAGAAGAAGAAGAAGAAGAAGAAGAAGAAGAAGAAGAAGAAGAAGAAGAAGAAGAAGAAGAAGAAGAAGAAGAAGAAGAAGAAGAAGAAAAAGATGGGACGGATGAGACGATGCATCTGCTTTCACGTGAAGATGGGCTGCAAGAGGAGAAGAGATTTGGGGACCGTCGAATGGATTAAGACCTTCTCACTCGGCAGAGTCTTCCCGCTACCATGATCATCGTGTCAACCTCTCTCGTTAATCTTGGCGAATATGGAGCTGGGTTGGGCTCGAGTCTCACCCGTTCTGCTCTCCAACTTCACAGCCGTGCTGAGTGCGGATATCACCGTTGTGGGTCCTGACGGTTGCCCGAAGTACAGATACTGAATTCTGTTCCGCTCAGTCTCTTCAGCCCGACTTTGCGGTCATGTGGAGGAGACTCAACACCTACCTACACCACGCATTCCGGGACATCCGCAATGCCCGCTGTTCTTCTCCGCTCGAACTATGCTCAGCTAAAGCGGGTAGTGGCGGACCGCGTGCGCGAGTGCCAGGTCCTGAAATTGCCATCTTCATCGAATCGTCAAGAAGGTTTACATACCTGCTCTAGTGGAAGTTGACGGCGAACGAGCATCTTTTTTTCTCACTCTTCTTCTCGGTCTTCTTTTCGCTCTCTCTCTCTCTCTCTCACACAACTCTCTCCGATCCTTTCAACTCTCTCCGTCTCTTCTTCGCCCTTTTTCCTTTTCTCCTCCCTCTCCTCCTCCTACTCCTTCTCCTTCCGCTTCTCCTCATTCTATTCCCTCTCTTTTCATCTCCCATCTCCATCTCCATCTCCATCTCGTCGACTTCAACACAGCAACGCCAGCAAACCGTCGCCCAACGACCTCCGCCCACGGCTCCAACAAACTTCAGAGATAGATATAGTTTCGTGTACATCTCGTTTCGGATCCCGAAGCCGTTCTCTATCTTCTTCTCTCTGTCCCCAGAGAATCCTGCATCGGGGTTGCTTCAATCCCTTTCCCTCTCAACATAATTTGCGCCAACAGTGGTGGCTCCCGCGTCATCGGGGTTGCCGCTTCTTCGCTTTTCACATCAGCCCGTTGGGCTGCGCGACGCCTCCTGCCACCACCCAGCAACCACGTCCTCCCAGCTTTCTCGAACCCCCGAATCCTCCTTCACCTGCGACACCTCAACACCCGCGCTCCGCGAACACCTCACCCAACAATATCGAGAACTACTACGACCGCAACGACAACCTTCGCCGCTAGATTCTCGCGTCCTCCACCTCCGCCGCCCTCGATACTCGCCACCATGTCGTCCTCCTCCGAAGACATGCCCCTGGCAAGGAGAGCGCCAACTAATGGTATGTGAAACCTCCACTACCTTTCGCCACGACTTCCATTTCAACCTCGCCATGCGTGTACATTTAGTCCGCTCCCTTCCGTTCCTTTCTTTCAGCTTTGCTTTCGCGTGTCGCTTGCTGGCTGCGTGGCGTGGCGTGGCTTGACACAGACAACGGAAGCACCGGCGGTGGTTGCGGTGGCGGTTGCCGTTGCTGTTTCTGTTGTGTACTCCGTTTCCCGGACCCGTTCGCTGGTCGCTGACGTCTCGGTCGATGCATAGGATCGTCATCGCCGTCGAAGCTCCGAAGAAGCCCTATATTTCCGACGAAAGTTACGAAGGCAACCGATCGCAAGGCCGACAAGGAGTACCAGAAAATGGACGTCGACAACCTGGGGGAAAACGTTCCGCAGGGCATCTCGATCAGCAATGGCCCTGTAGTGGAATACGACGCCAACGGTAGGCGACTCTCGAAACGAAAAGTCCGGAAGCCCGCGATCAAGGAAGAAAGTGACAGCGATAGTGACGCTCCGCTTGTGAGTCCTCCTGTCCCTCCATCCCATCATTCAGGCCTTTGTTGATGCCCTCTAGACGAAACGCCGAAGAACCGCCAACGGTGCTCCCAAGGCTGCTGCCGCAGTTGATTCCTCGGACGACGATGTACCGCTTGCGAAGAAATCGAGCCTCAAGGCGGCGACGAGAAAGTCAACATCCCCAACCGTCATCAGGATGCCTCCCACCATAACAGGAGGAACCGACGAGTCGGACTCTGACATTCCACTGGCTGCGGCAAAACTGTCGAAAGAGAAGGCTCAGATCATGAAGGAACAGAACCAAACCTCGAAGAAGCTTCAGGCCGAGGACAAGAAGGCTGCTGCGGCAAAGAAGCGGAAACCAACGGTCAAGAAGGAGGAAGAAAGTGACAGCGACGTTCCATTGAAGGCCAAGAAACGCGCTCCCCCGGCCAAGAAGGCGAACGGCGTCAAGAAGGAGGAGTCCTCCGATGACGGCAAGCCTCTTGCCAAAAAGCCGAGGGCTTCCAAGGCAGCGGCGGTCAAGGGGGCCGCCGTCAAGACCGAAGCTAAGGGCAAGGGACGTGTCAAGAAATCAGAAACACCCGCGGTAGCCACGCCCGGTGAAAACGGAGAGAACGAAGAGGGAGATGAGGAGGAGGAGGAAGAGTACAAGTGGTGGGAACAGCCTGAAACGGATGGCACGGTCAAATGGACTACGTTGGAGCACAACGGTGTCGTATTTCCGCCGCCTTACGAGCCCCTTCCCAAGGATGTCAAGATGCTTTACAATGGTGTTCCCGTCACACTGCCAGTTGCCGCCGAGGAGGTTGCTGGTTTCTTTGGTGCGATGCTGGAAACGAACGAGGCAAACAACAAGAAATTCGTTCAAAACTTCTTCCACGATTTCCAAGAGGTTCTCAAGGAGAGTGGAGGTGCAAGAGATCCACAGGGAAAGGTAAAAATTCGATGATCCATCTTTCTCTCTCTCAGGTGGCTTCGATGCTGACAATTATACAGAAAGTACCGATTAAGGTCTTTGAGAAGTGCGATTTCACGGCCATGTTCAACTACTTCGAAGCGAGGAAGGCCGAGAAGAAGGCAATGAGCGCTGCGGAGAAGAAGGCACTCAAATTGGAGAAAGAGGAGGCCGAGAAGAAGTACACAACCTGTCTCCTCGATGGTCGCAAGGAGAAAGTTGGCAACTTCCGTATCGAACCTCCGGGACTCTTCCGAGGACGTGGTGACCACCCCAAGACCGGAAAAGTCAAGAAACGGGTTCAGCCTGAGCAAGTCACATTGAACATCGGCACCGAAGCTCCTGTTCCTCCGCCTCCGGAGGGCCACAAGTGGGGCGGAATTCAGCATGACGACAAAGTTACATGGTTGGCGACATGGAAGGAGAACATCAACGGCAACATCAAGTACGTTATGCTGGCAGCCAATAGTAGTCTCAAGGGCATCAGCGACTACAAAAAGTTCGAAAAGGCTCGGGAACTGAAGGTGGGAAACTCTCAATGTTCATATGTGGCTGGCAGCAACTGACGATCATTTTTGCGGTTAGAAACACATCGACCGTATCCGTAAAGACTACACCAAGGACCTCAAGTCTACCCTCATGGCCGATCGTCAGCGTGCCACAGCGATGTACCTCATTGACGTCTTGGCTCTCAGAGCTGGAAATGAGAAGGGTGACGATGAGGCCGACACTGTGGGTTGTTGTTCGCTGCGTTACGAGCACGTCACACTTGAGCCGCCGAACAAAGTCGTCTTCGACTTTTTGGGTAAAGATTCGATTCGTTACCACGATACTGTCGAGGTTACGCCCCAGGTATTCAAGAATATCAAGATCTTCAAGAAGGCACCGAAAACCACCGGTGACATGATCTTTGACCGGCTCAATGTGCGTTCTGCGCCCTTTCGTTTTGGCATTTGCACGGATTATTGACATTCCATCTAGACCACCGACCTCAACAAGCATCTTCAGGGCTACATGAAGGGATTGTCTGCCAAGGTGTTCCGTACCTACAACGCCTCCTGGACAATGCAGCGTGAGATGATGCGGATACCGAACGAGGGTACAGTTCACGACAAGTATGCCGCCTACAACGAAGCCAACAGAATGGTTGCCATCTTGTGTAACCATCAGAGGACCGTGAGCAATACGCACGAAGCCTCGTTGGCCAAGGCGGGAGAGAGGGTATGATAATCCGCCCCTTACAGCGGTAACCTCGTTTCTAACGGGAGCGTACAGATCAAAGCTCTTCGGTATCAGAAGTTGCGCCTGAAGAGACAGATCCTCTTCCTCGATCCTAAGCGGAAGAAGAAGAATCCCGAGTTCTTCAAGCCGGATCCGGAAATCGACGACGATGACTGGATCAAAGAGCACCAGAAGGCCCTTATAGAACAGGAACGTGAGAAGATCACGAAGAAATTCGAAAAGGAAAACGAGAAGCTTGCTGCCGAGGGCGAGAAGGAATTGAAAACCGCCGACCTCAACGAGCGCCTGAAGGCCCTCAAGGAGATGGAGGACGAGTTCAAGAAGGAGAACAAGTCCGGCACCACCGAGCCCAAAACCCGAGGTGCCACCATCGAAAAGATCGAGGCTAGCATCGAGAAGATGGACGAGCGTATCCGCAAACTTGAAGTCGAAGCCAAGGTCAGGGACGACAACAAGACTGTCGCCTTGGGTACTTCCAAGATTGTGAGCTCCGACTGCTTCCTTCCTTTGTTCTCGAGTTGAAGCTAATTATATCAATCAGAACTACATCGACCCTCGCTTGACGGTTATGTTTTGCAAGAAGTACAACGTACCCATCGAGAAGGTTTTCACCAAGACTCTCCGGGACAAGTTCAATTGGGCGTTGCAGTCCGCGGATGAGAACTGGGAGTTTTGAAGGATCACACTCGTAGACGTAGACTTGGGGATGGCGTCGCTACTGTCTCTTGCTTATTGTTTTTATTCTTGTCCGTTTGTCTTATTTCAGTTATAACCGACAGAGAGGAGCTAGAAAGAAAAAGGTGATAAAGTGAGACTTGAAATGAGCTGGTTCCGGTTTTCTTTCTTGTATGTTTAGTTTTCTCGGTATTGTTTGATTGGAGTTTCCGCGTATACTGCATTCTGCGTTTGATTTTGGGGGAGCAGGGGGATCGGGGATGGGGTATGGATCGGTGGGGGTAGGCGTGAGGGGATGAAGGCTTGTATTTGTATAAAGGGGTTTCTTGTCTTTCTTTCTTTTCTTATCCTCTTTAAGAGATTCGTATCTAACGTAGATGGAAGACTAGGGAACAGGTGATGGTCAGGACAGTATGAGAATGAGTAGAGGGTTCCAGTGAAGAAGGTCTGGTGTGTACCTGAGTAGTGAGAACGGTGATGTGCATGGTGAACGTGCTTCGATGCGTGGCTGTCACGTCCTCAGCTGCTGCCAAGCCCGAGAACCCTGTATGTAAGATCCACACCGGTGCATAGCTCATCCAGCATCAGCCAGCTCCACCCATACCTCACCTCCATATCTACCCCATACAAATAACCGGCCCATCACTCGCGCCCGCCTCCCTCGCCATCCCGAAATCCAAACCAAACACAAAATGTCGCGAGACTACACCTCCACAATGTCTTCTAAATACGCCGCACTACCCGATCTCGTACTGCCCCACGCTCCTCCGAGCAGCTCCCCAGAGCCATGCTAACACCTCCCCGTCCCTTTCCAGGACAACTCTCAAGACATCTACGAAACACCCGACTTGACCTCCGATGTCTCGACAGCTCCGGGCACCACCCTCCCAGATATTGACGACGCCTCGTCGTCCGCCGGCTCGTCGACCAGCAGTATCGACGCAACCCCGCTGCAGCCCAGCGATGCCGCGAAGAGGTTTCTACATGCAGAGGTGGATGCCAGTGACGTGGACTTCTCGGACAGGATTGATGGCGGTCGGAGCTACAAAGTCCGACGGAAGTGGGAGGGCGAGACGAGGGAGATGCGGATTGCGAGGTTGGTTAGGGAGGTGGAGGAGGTTAGGGCGCAGGAGGTGGGGGAGAAAGAGGGTGAGGGGGACGGGGTGAAGGAACTGGCGCAGGCGTTGGAGATGTTGGTCGATGGCGCGCCGGGGAGGTTGAAGAGGTTAATGGAGGGACGGGTGGTCACAGCTACTAAGGAGGTGCCGCCCGGGGTGGTTGGGGAGGGGGGGGAGGCGGAAAAGGGAGAGGTGGGGTCTTTTCTATGCATAGTGGAGTACGGCGGCTGATGATCGATAGGATATGGAGTCCGGGACCACATCAACGTACACCGTCACATATGCCCCGGACTACAAGAAGACACACACACTGGCCAAAGTGGCAGAATTCGACGACCGCATAACGTTTCTCGAGAAGGTGCTGGGCATGTCAGCGCTCACGCTCGACGCCGACAGCGACTCCCTGCTCGCCCCCGCAATGATCCCGCATCTCGAGGAGCTTTCGCGGCAGATGACGGTGCTGAACAGCAGCACGACCAGCTCGCTCGACTCCGCGTCGCGCCGCGTAAAGCAGCTCACCGCCGACACCGAGAAGCTGGCGGAGGCGCGGAAGGCGGCGAAGACGGAGGCGGTAACGGCCGAGGAGGATGATGAGACCACCGCGAAGATCAATGCGCTGTATGGCGTCTTGCCGACCATCGAGAGTATGAAACCGCTGCTGCCGGCGCTGCTGGATCGGTTGCGGAGTCTGAGGGCCGTGCATCAGGATGCGGCTAGGGCGGCCGAGATCCTGGTGGCAGTGGAGAAGCGGCAGGAGGAGATGGCGGCAGAGATACTGAAGTGGGAGGAGACGCTGGGTAAAGTCGAGGAGGTGGTCAAGACGAGCGGGCAGACGGTCGAGGGGAACATGGTCAAGGTTGAGACGTGGGTTAGGGAGATTGAAAAGAAGATGGAGGCTTTGCGGTAGGGGAGTTTCGGTTCCGGAGTTGGGGGTGTACTTGTGTTGTGTGCTCCATGCAAGATTTATATCCTGGGTGACGTAAGGCGTGAGGGAGTCGATAATGTTAATACGGTACATGGCGAGATGTTGCTTTGGCCGGTGGGTGAACGGGCTTGAGCCGTCCACGCATTCCGTTGTATGGAATAGTGAGATTCGAAGGAATATCGTAGATCTAGAGTAGCAAGACCTCCGACGGAAACCACTTTTATCTCGTTTCCTTTCCTGTCACCAAAGAATCGAATTCCGGAACTGTGGTCGGCGCGGTGGGACACCACGTGACCGGTAGATAGCCCGGCTTTGTTTAGTCTCGGGTCTGTGCCACAGCTTTCGAATGACCAGATCGTTGCGTGCAGGTCAGAAATCAGCACGTTTGATAGATACGATCGGCACGAACCGTTCTCGGCTACCGTACCTTGCCTAGATACATCCCACCTAGAGAAATAGCTATCTCCTTACTTACCCTACTCTACATCCCGACGCGTACACTCTTGTGTAGTACTATACACCCACCAACGCCCTCTCCAATCCTCCGTGCCCCTCCACTCAATGTCTCAAAGCAGCAAGCGCAAGCGCACCAGCACACTGACGCCTCCCGCGGCGGTGGATGTTGGTGCCTCCACCTCCGCCTCCGCCGGCCCTGACGCCGCGACCATCGCTGTAACAGCCCGCGTGCTCACGCCGACGTCCAGCAGCAACCCGGCCTCGTCCTCGTCGCAGGCGCACACGCCCGTCGTCGACTGTCCGTTCAACATTGAGTTCCGCCAGGGGAGGACGGGAAGGTACTGTGCGAAGCCGGCTGCCTCCGCCATCGATGTCAGACGCCCCCCGGAGGATTCGAATACCGTCTATATTGTACGGCCGGAGAAGAAGTGGAAGGCCTTGAAGAGGTATCGGGATTTTACTGGTGGGTTGTGATTGTTGTTTTTGGGGCGGGGGAGGATGGGAGTGGGGGTGATGCTTGCTGATGCTGGGACAGTCGGTGAGGAGCACTTCGTGCCCGGCGACTTTGTGTACATCAACAACGAGAGCATACCGCACGGGACGGAGCTGACAAGCGTGGACGAGTCGAAGTTCTGGATCGCGCGGATTCTCGAGATCAAGGCCTCGGACGAATTCCACGTGTACCTGCGGATCTACTGGATGTACCGGCCCGGGGACCTGAAGGGCGGGAAGCAGTGGCATCATGGCGCCAACGAGGTGGTCAATAGTAATCACATGGATGTGGTCGATGCTATGACGGTCATTGGAAAGGCCCAGGTTGGACATTGGCTCGAAATGGATGACGACGAGGAGCTGCCGATGCTCTACTGGAGACAGATTTACGACTACATGAGCAAAACGGTTGGTGAGGTCAGGAGGCACTGCAGGTGTGACAGATATTATAATCCCGACAGGAAGATGTACGGCTGCGGTAATCCGGCGTGTGGGAAGTGGTTGCATGAGGAGTGTCTGATTGAAGAAGTCAAAAAGCGGGTGATGGAGCGCGGGGGTGGGCCGCCGCCGAGGACGGAGTATAAGATGGACGTGGATATTACCGAGGGTGGTGGGGGCTTGGTCAAGGTGGCGCCGAAGCGGAAGGGCGGCGGTACGGGTGTGGGTGTGGGGCTTACCGTCCCTGCGCTGCGCACTGCTGCCGTCCCCGAGATGCCAAAGAAGAATACGCATATTGCGGCCGGGGCGGTGCATGCAAAGAACGGAAAGAGGAAGACGAAGAAGGAGATACTCGCCGAGCTCGAAAAGATACAGGTTACGTTCGTCGACGGCAAGAAGGTGATGGCGCATGTGCGTGATATCCGCGGTGTCAGTGCTACAGTTGGAAATAAGAATCACGAACACGAACATGCTGAATACAAGATTCAGGAATGGGATGAAACTGTTGATTGTTTGGCTTGTGGTACAACGCTCGAGTGATGGGGTGTGGTGTTTGGGCATTATTTTTACGAGATGCTTTATGTGTTTCTTATTATTATGGGAGTGTGGGAGAGGGCTGAGAAAATAAGAATGACTGGACGAAGGATAGTGCTCGGGGAAGGTCTATTTCATTCAAGTATTGGGGTTGGCTTTCTGGGGAGATAATGGTGTTTAATGGTGTTTCTTTGCTCTATTCTGCTTTTGCTCCTGTCACCTGTGTATGTTTTATGAGTTTTATCATTGTTATTGAGCGGTTTGCTTTTGTTTAATGATTTCGCGCGGTCTAAGGGTGGTAATAGATGGTCGTTACGCGATTGAGATTTCGAGCGCCACCAACGATCGACATGACGTGTATAGTTAGGTGCCTATTCTATCTCGAGCTCCCTGGTAACTCAACTGTAGCCGGTATCCTAGATTCAACGTCACCCCAAGGCTCGATCCTACCATCACAATGGGCGCAATGGGTCTGTCGACAACTCTGCCGCCTCGATGCCAGACCTTCTACTAACTGGCATCTAGATGTCATCTTGCACCTGCTGCCACCGCTCACGATCCTGAGCCACCTACTCGTCTCGCCCTTCACCAAAGTCGAGGAATCCTTCTCCCTCCAGGCCACTCACGACATACTTCGCCACGGCCTCCCAACCAGCAACGTTACCCTCCTATCTCACCGCGCACTATGACCACCTGGCCTTTCCAGGTGCCGTCCCTCGCTCCTTCGTCGGGCCACTTCTCCTCTCGCAAGCCAGCATACCATTCATCCACCTCTTTGGCGGCTCCGTGAACGAGCAAGTAATAGGTCCAGCGTCCCCCCTCACCTCCGTGACACGCACAGCTTACACGCCTCACAACCAGTCCGTGGCACACTCGGTCTCCTCTCCTCTCTAGCACTGAGTTACTACATCCGTCGCGTGCGCCTCGCCTATGGCGCACCCACAGCATGGTTCTACACATTACTCCAGCTGTCGCAATTCCACTTTGCATACTACGCCTCGCGCACGCTCCCCAACACATTCGCACTGATCCCCTCGGTGATCGCACACGCATGTTTCCTTCCCGCGCCGGGCTGGCGGCAATCCACGCAGCGGAACCATCTCAAGCTCGGGATCTACCTGCTGACCCTCGCCACGGTGGTATTCCGCAGCGAGTTGGTGCTGCTCCTGGCATTCCAGGCGTTGGACCTGCTAGTTTCGCGGCGGCTGACGCTGCCGCAAATCTTCGCTGCCGGGCTCGCCGGCGGGATCATGGGGCTTGTGGCGACGCTCGCGGTGGACTCCTACTTCTGGCTGTCGTTCGGCGCCGCACCGATCTTTACCACGCCGGTGCTGACGGAGCGCTTCGGCCTGCTGTGGCCCGAGTTCTCGGCCTTTCACTTCAACGCGGTGCTGGGCTCCGCTTCGCAATGGGGGGATAGTCACTGGCACTACTACTTCACCTCCGCGCTGCCGAAGCTGCTGCTCAACCCCACCAGCCTCGTGCTGCTACCCCTGGGCGCCTTCGCGCTGCCGCACGCAGCACGCGCACTCCTCCTACCCGCGCTCTCGTTCATCACCGTCTACTCCGCCGCCGTGAAACACAAAGAGTGGCGCTTCATCGTGTACACCGTCCCGCAGATCACGCTGATGTCCGCCCTCGCGGCGGCGTGGCTGTGGAATCGCCGCGCGAAGTTTGTGGCCATCCGACTGCTACTGCTGGCGGTGCTCGCGTCGGTCCCCGTGAGCTTAATGGCGTCCGCCGGGATGGCCGCAGTGAGCTCGTTTAATTACCCCGGTGGCGAGGCGATGCAGAGGGTTCACGCGCTTGCGGTGTCGGGGAATACTACGGGCACGGAGATGAAGGTCCACCTCGACGTGTTGACGTGCATGACCGGCGCCACACGGTTCTTGCAGGAAGCGCCGCTGTATCCCCCCTCGACACCTAAGTATGCGAGTCACATAGTCTGGGACAAGACGGAAGACGCGACTACGCTGCTCACGCCCGCCTTCTGGGAGGACGTGGAGTATGCGCTCGTCGCGGCGAAGGAGAAGACGATTGGCCCGTACGAGGTGGTGGATGTCATCCGTGGGTTTGGGGGCGTGCGGGTGTTCAGGCCTGGTGATGAGGAGGGCGGCGAGGGGTGGGGGCTACGGAGGTATCTGGGTGGGTGGTGGGTCGGTGTCAACATGAGGGAGTGGATATGGATCGTGCGTAGGCAGAGTTTGTAAAAATAGCAGTAATTCTATGGCATTGATATCCTCCTCCTCCTCCTCCTACTCCGCCGCTTCCCCCGTCAGGAGAAACGTCTAGCCCAGAAGTAGTTCGTAGATGATAACCACAGTATTAATCCCGATGAGCGGTACTGTTGTCGACACATTAGCCCAATCCCCCAATTCCACAATACACCCCCAGCTTCCCCTTCCCCCACCCCTTCCAGCCCCCAGCCCCCAGCAGAGAAGCACTTACTCCTAGTCAACAACCTCGTCGCCGATATGAGGTTTACCATCTTCGCCTTGATGCTGACATCGCCCGTGTTCCCGCCAAACGACACCTGCTCCGGCTGCGTTGCTGCCCAGCCGATGCGCGCAAGGAAGCGGTCTTCTGAGAGGATCGCGATGCCGTTGATTATCAGGATTATCACTGGGGGTTGTTAGCTTACTGGAAGGGGGGAAGGGAGCTAGGGGAGGGGGGAGGGGGGAGGGATTGGGGAGCGGAGGGAACTGGGGGCGCACTCTTGATCAGTGGGAGAAGGCCGAAGAGCATTTTGGCGGTTCTGGGGGTGGTGTGTTCCGGGAATGGGAGGTGGTGGGTGTTGCCGTGCTGTGCTGGTGATCGTGGTGAGGTTCGCGGGCGAGGTGTCGTATGCGTGAGCGTGGGCGTGAGCGTGAGGGAGTTGCCGCGTTTAGCTGCAGTGGACTTTAAATATCCACGCGATCTGGTAAGTACTCCAGAGTACGTAGTGCACCGCCACAGATACACGGGAAGCGCCACACCGACGAGTAGTACCTAGTAAAGCACGTTCCATGGCTCTTCCAGAATCCACTGTGCGTTCATTCCGAAACCGATCGAGATTCAGATTTCCCTCATCCGCAGCCGGGATGGACAATTCCCCCGCAGTGGTAATGGTATCCTCTATCCAGTTCCTATGTATTCTCGCTCCGTCAGGTTCCGGCAACTCGCTTTCCCTCAACCCTAGAGTAGGCATATTAGCAGTGACATCACCCCTCACGTCTCAGCTTCCAGGTTTCCGCTGCTGGATAAACTGCGTGCCGGAGATAAGACGGTGCAGCAACAACACAACTCGGCTGCCGGTTGAGCCGGATACACAATATAACGAGCACTTCTTTTCCTTCGTTCTTCCCTTTTATCTTCACATCGACGGAGTCACAGAACCCCACAGCATATCACTCGAGCCATGGACAAAGCGCAAGCACTCGCCGCGAAAGCCACCCCCGGCGGCCCGGGGATTGAGCTGTACTCCGCGAAATTCTACGGCGCGTGCACCATTGGCGGGATGCTTGCTTGCGTACATCCCCCTCTTCCCACCCCGCTCCCCGCCAGTTCCCCCGCCCCCCGCCAGTTCCCCCGCCCTCCACTGACACTCGTCCACCTACGTAGGGCGTAACACACACCGCCGTCACCCCGCTAGACCTTGTCAAATGCCGCAGACAAGTGGATTCGAAGCTCTACAAGGGCAACTTCCAAGCGTGGAGCACGATCATGCGGGCCGAGGGCGTGCGCGGGATCTACACCGGCGGCTCCCCCACGTTCTTTGGGTACAGTGCGCAGGGAGCGTTTAAATACGGCGGGTATGTCTCCTCCTTCTTAGTTAATGGCGTGCTGGGTTGGGCTGGGTTGACGGGGATGTGCGGCCAGATACGAGTACTTCAAGAAAGCGTACTCGACGCTCGCGGGCCCCGAGAACGCCGAGCGCTACAAGACCGGAGTCTATCTTGCTGCGTCGGCCAGTGCAGAGTTCCTGGCGGATATCGCGCTGTGCCCGTTCGAGGCGGTCAAGGTGCGCATGCAGACGACGATTCCGCCCACGTTCACAGGCACCTTCCAGGGCATCTCGAGTGTGGTGGCGAAGGAGGGCGTGGCTGGCCTGTATAAGGGCATTGTCCCGTTGTGGGGGAGGCAGATTCCTTGTGAGTAACGAGCTGGGGGATTGGGTGGGGGAGGAGAGGGGGAATGCGGGGATGGTTGCTGATGCATGATTGCCAGACACGATGATGAAATTCGCCTCGTTCGAAACGATCGTTTCGATGATCTACGCGCGGCTCGCGAAGCCCAAGGACCAATACGGCAAGGGCGTGCAGACGGCGGTATCCTTCACGGGAGGCTACCTCGCCGGAATCCTGTGCGCGATCGTATCACACCCGGCAGACGTGATGGTCTCCAAGCTGAACCAGAAGCGCGCGCCCGGCGAGAGCGCGGGCCAGGCCACCAGTAGAATCTACAAGCAGATTGGGTTCGGAGGGTTGTGGAATGGTCTGCCTGTCAGGATCGTCATGATTGGTACCCTCACCGGTCTGCAGTGGCTCATGTATGATTCGTTCAAGATCATGGTCGGACTGCCGACTACGGGTGGCGCGGCTGCGGAGGAGGAGAAGAAGTAGAATGGGATAGAGAATGGGGAAAATAAGGGGAAGAAGGAGGACGGAGCGAGGTTGCTTTGATTTGGCGTAATATACCAACCAGTCTTTATTCGTTCATTATCACGATACCGTCGAGTGACTATCTATGACAAAGTGTTCGAGACATCGACGCCAATCGTAACTAATGCATCACCAAGCCCTTGGTGTGCATGTGCGAGCAACAAACCAAGAAACTACCTGAGTACCATCTTGCATCTGCGGTGGCAACATGCGTAGGGTGCCACCACCAACCCACCAGTGCCAGTGGCCAGATGCACCCAGCGACCAGATGCGCCGAGCAACCATAACGCCATGACGTCCCACCACCACAGCGTGGCACGGGGGCGGAGCGCGGGGAGCGGGGAGGGAGGGCGGTGACGTATACATACCGCTCGATATAAACCCACCGCCCGCCTCTACGCTCATCTCACTCATCACTCAATTCCCCCCTCGATACTCATCTCATCCATCACACTCAATTTCCCACAAATCACAAGCAAATACTACGAGTAAATAAAACAGCAATGGACTCAATCTTTGCCGCCGTCAAAGACACCCTCGTTGACAAAGCCCTCGGACGGGACGACAAAGACAAGGACCGAGACACCGAGCGAGAGCGGGACACAGACGCCGACCGGGAGCGCGCCTCCTACCCCTCCTCATCCAACCGCAACGAGCACTCATCCTCCTCCTCCTACCCACCCAACCAGTCCTCGCACGGCCGTGACGAGCGCCGAGACGAGGACCTTGGCAGCGGCTACGGCGGCCACGGCGGACGCTCACAAGACCAACGGCCGGCGGGGTACGGCGAGGACTCATCGCGCGACACGCGCGGCTACAGCCGCGACGAAGCACAGAGCCACGACCCGCGCGACGACGACCACATGCGGGGCTACGGCGGGCACGGGGGGCGGGCGCAGGACCAGCGGCCGGCGGGCTACGGCCAGGACTCGGAGCGCGATGTGCGCGGGTACCCGCGGCCGTCGGACGATGAGCGGGGGAGTGGATATAGTGGGCATGGTGGCCGCGCGCAGGAGCAGGGAAGGGCGACGTACGGCGAGGATAGCGAGCGCGATGTGAGGGGGTATTCTCGCGAGGAGGCGCAGAGGGATGTTCCTGCTGGTAGAGAGTACCGTGCTGGTGCTGGGGCGAATACGGCGCAGGAGTACTACTCCGGTGCGTCTGGGGAGTACCGGGGCGCCGTTGAGGTGGCCGAGCGAGAGAGCTCCGAGAGCGGATCGTTGTTTAGTAGTGCGCTCAAGATGTTGAGTGGCAGCCAGGCGCGCAAGGACGACGTCGATGAGGACGAAGTCGTCAATACGCACAAGCAGGTGTATGGTGGCGGGAACACCGGACAGCTCGGCAGCCAGAGTCTTGGGCAGGCGGCGGCGATGCAGGCGCTGAAACACTTTACGGGCGGCAGTGGCGGAAGCTCGGGCGGTGCCGCCGCCGGAGGTCAGAATGCGTTTATTGGCATGGCGATGGCCGAGGCGGTCAAGCTGTTCGATACGCAGAGGGCGCAGGGCAATGTGGTAAGTCTTACTTTTATTTCTCTTTAATTTGATACACGTGGATTAACTGGGGTGTAGGCACCCACCGAGACCAAGCAGGACGTGGTCGGACAGGCTGCACAGTTCGCACTCAAGCTTTTCTTGAAGAGCAAGATGGATGCTGCTACTGGAGGTAGCGGTGGTGGTGGTGGTGCTGGGTTGATGGGGTTGGCGCAGCAGTTCTTGATGAAGTGAGACAGGCGCACTGACGATGGGGGTGGGGATCATTGAATAAAAAATGCGGTTTATTGGTCTGGTTCTGGTCGTCGCGATTGTGACTGACGAGCCTCATTGTGTGTGTGAATCCGCTGTGCCCAATTTCGGAGGATACCTGTGGCCCTATCCCATGAATCGTAAGTTTAGGCTTAGAGTTCCAAAATGACTACACAGATCCACTCACCCCGGTATCTCTCGAAAAGTAGATCATATAAGCCCAGAGAACTTGTGGAGAAGGACGCTGCTCTTCTACCTCCTATCTACAATGTGGCAAGATCTGGAAGTCTCCACCCTTATGGTTGATTTTTTAAATGAGACGCGGCGTGAGGGATTCGTGTTCCGGCGAGTCAAAACTTCAGACAAAAACCTGGTAGGCTCAGCACAACAACCGTTTTCTGCATCATAGAAACTTCAGAGAGCAAAGATATGGTATAGTAGAAGCTATCCAGTGTCACCAGCTCCTCAAAAGACAAAGCACGGATGAAAAAACGTAGTGACACGGAATATCACTCGCTAGCAGTTGACATTCACACAAATCGCACCCCCGCCGCCGTCCTGAAACAAGTCCCGGCTATCCGAAATTCACCTGCTTGGCCTGGAGACATGGTACAATCACAGTCCTGAGGCCGCATTGCTGGCTCCGTTTCCGCAAGAGGCCATACATGGAACCGTGCCAGCTACCTACCTTCTCAGATTCTCCACAAAATTCAAAGCCTTCAGATGTCCGCATTTTCATTGTTCTATAGATAGTCATCTCTGATAGTTCTATATAATTTTCAAAGTTGCTGGGAAAGGTAACCTAGCATGGCATACAACCTCTCTTTACTACCGTAGTTTCGATGGCATAGACCGCAGGACAAAAATCAGCCTCATCCTGAGAGGAGAGAAAGTGTCGCCATTTGCGCTCAAGACCCAATGATCGTGTAAGGTCTGGGGATTCTCGCTACGTCACAGTAATTTGAGGAGCAGCTGTATCATATTGTATGAATTTTAGGGGTTCGGGGAAAGATTCCATGTGGTGGTGGTGGGCCGGTATGGGTCGTGAAAAGCTGTAAAAATCACGCGGATTTGCACTTTTACATAGGTAGAAAGTGTGCCTTGAACCAACATCAACATCACAATATCACGTCAATGGATTAAATGCTAGATCTGTATCCGAAGAACGTATCAGGCGGGTCAAAATCTTCCTGATTGAATTTGGGTGGGCGCCTCGGGTGTCGGCATTGGAGAGGCCGGCACTTTTGAGGCGATTATATTCGGAACTCCAGCACACTACGATCCATGGATAGTCCTTGAGGGTTTTTATATGTTGGATCTCGGATACGAATAGGATGTAGGTAGTTATAATCTTCAGGTGTGGCTGTGACCAGATTTGTCCCCGATTCTGACTCGCGGCTCGTTTGCAAGCGGTGTTTTGGCGTGTATCCTACTTGAAGGAGACGGTATCCGCGGTGGTACCAGTAGGATGAGGAGTAATAGGGGTGAGAAGGTATCCGCCACAGATCCAGCAGGACAAATAGCAGTAGGAGGAGACGGTATCCACGGTGGTGCCGGTAGGACAAGGAGTAATAGAAGGAGACGGTATCCGCGTTGGTGGGCAGGGCGAGGAGCAGCCTTTGGGATATCAGAGTATCCACCGCAGGTCCAGCAGGGCGAGTAGCAGTAGGGGAAGACACTGGTATCCGCGGTGGTGCCAGTGCGGTATCCGCCGCGGGTGCAGTGGCATGGCGAGGACTCTCACTTAGGGCTCCGTGACGAATGAGCATCGGGTGGGTGGTGGAACAACTTTCATGTTACGTCTTGCCTGTGATGAAGAAAGTACCTCTTCCACATGCAATACCTACAGTTTCTTGACTCCTTGATGTTTTGTTTCATTTTTTCTTGTGTTTGCGTTTAATGCGGTCTCTACCGCTTTTCTTCGAATTCTTATTCAAGTTCATGCAAAGGGCAATCAACTGCGGAATTAGAATAAATCCGTGTTTCTTGAGAGTTTTTTTTTGGTGTTGGCTAACAGTCCACGCCAATCGGGGTTGTAGCAGAATACGTGTTGTTAGAAATACAAGATTCACACCGGATTTGCTCAAACACAGCACTCTGTAATTCCAAGCATCCGGACTTGCAAGAGTGGTTGGTAAATCACCGTACTGACACGGGGTTAGGCCAAATACATGGTTCACACCGTGTCAATTTTGCCCACATTTTTTTTTGCTGAAAGATAACTCGTATCATAAGTGCGGTAGCCTCCCTCGAAACACCAAATAACGACGCTGAAACAGAAGTAGAACTCCGAAATAACACATCCAACAAATTCGCAAACACAGCCTCAACTTGCAAGCAGCTGCGTGTCGCTGATACTATGCGTCCCTCCTTCGCATTCATATCCACCCGCTACTCTCTTCCAATTGTATCCCGCCACACAGACCCCCATCTCTCTCAGCTTTTTTTGCGCCCTCTTTTCCTACTCGCCCTCTTTGTCAATTTCTTCTTGTACCTTGGAAGCATCTTGTGGAGAGGATGGTCCGAATGTGTTCGTTCGTCTGCTGCCGCTGGGGCCGGCTGCTTCTTTGGTGCGGTGGGGGGTGCAAATTAGTGGCGCCTGGTCAGTAGCTTTGGCAGTGGCAGTGTCGGCGTGGGTAGCTGTGTTATCTTGAGGTGCTTCGTCCTGGGCACGGGCAAGGGAATCTTCACCTGTTTGATTTGGTGTTGGGCAACCGGCCTTTCCAGCGCTGGTATTGCATCTCTCTCGTTGCAGAGCAATCATCCTCCGTATGCACGCGTCCGCGGTGGCAGGCTCGAAGAACAGTTCCCTTGTGTGACCCTGAGCCATCACTTCGAACACAACCGATGACATCTGCGCGGCTAGTGTCTTGATATCTCGGGCATTGCTCCAGGTCGGAAAGACGGATAGAATTCGAAACAGCTTGGCCAGGTGACGATATCCCGGGGAAGAGGGATTCTTAAGGAAACTGGCGGAAATTCGCCTTTTCTCGAGCTCCCGGTCTAGTAGGGACAAGCATTCCGCGGGCTTCAGCTTCTCAAAAACGATTTCGTCAGGAAAGAGACTCGAAAGCGAGGGTCTGACGGCCATCAAGCGAGACATGTCCACAGAGTACCCTGCGAGAATGACGATCATCTTGCCGGAGTATCGTGGGGTGCCCAGAAGGTATATAAACTCGTGGACCGCTTCGGCTGCATATTGTCCGTCGGCAAGACGATACGCCTCGTCCACGAATAGTACTTTTCCGAGGGCATTTTCGAGTTGTGCCTTGGTCTTGGGACTGGTTTGACCGACATACTGACCGATGAGATCTGAAGCGGAACACTCAATCACGTCCGGGGTGGACAAGAAGCCCATATCATAGTAAATCTTGCCCATATTGCGGGCCGTGGTTGTTTTCCCAGTACCTATGAATATCGAAATTGTTAGCCTTGCCCACCCAATGAGAGCGGATTGATGTGCGCAAGTGGATGTTTACTGACCCGGTGGACCTGTGAATACAAAGCGCGTGGGAACTTGCTCACGGGGATTGAAACCGTGGTTCTTCAGCACAGTCGCGAGTCGCTGTAAGCCCTCCAACTTCGTGATGATGCTATTGCTCACGAGGTCCTTGAGACGTTGCCTGCACTTGCTGATTGCGTTTTGGCTGCGATCGAATTCTGGGTCGAAGTCTTCGGGCTCAAATACAGCATCGTATCGTCGTTTGGTATAATCTTCCCCCCTCAGTTGCTTGGCTTGATAGTTCAGCTTGGCCTTATTGAGACATGCGTCAACCTCTCCTCCATTGGAAAAGTTCGGGCGCATTCGGGCGCGGTCTAGGATGTCGTGAGCGACACTGAGAGCTTCCGGTGTTGCAGTTACATCCAATTCCTTCATTTTCAACGTTAGGATGTTTTTCAACTGCCCTAAATCGAAGTCCTCGAACCGGAAAGGATCATCGATGGCGAATCGTCGGGCGAGTCCGGGGTTGGCATTCTGGAACATTTCTTTGAGCTTGTCCTCGTAGCCGAGCATGAGGATGCATCGGTCGTCCCCAGGAACGCCCTGAACCTCTGCCACGATGGTGTCGACCACTGCCTTTCTGTAGTTATCCTGCTGCTTGTCGGGTGCGCCGGAGTTCAGCATGTACGCATCGTCAATGATTAAAACCTTTCCTAGTGTAGTTGCGAGGAGGGCTCTCGTTTTGGCCTCCGACTTTCCGAGACATTCGCCAATGAAATCCGCTGGATTCTTCACGACCACTATTAAGACGATGAAGTAGGCGACTTTGCCACGTGCCAAACGATGAAGGGAGCTCTTTACCTTCTCCAGTGCTGAGAAGCGATAGATCAGCCATGATTTGCCCATATAGCTTGGCAACCGTGGTTTTGCCTGTTCCTGGCGATCCTACGAAGACCCGGTTAAGAGGGAAGTCAAGTGGCTTCAGTTCCTTGAGCTCTCGTTCGTAATTCGTTTGAATCAATTCGCTCATCGTCCGCGCCGACGACTTGACGGCTTCGAGTCCGATGAGCGTATTGAGCTTCTCCCATGCTGGTCCGGCAAATACTTTTGTAGGTCTTGGTCCGATCAAGTCTTCCTGCGTGAATTCAAGATACTCTTCCGGCTGTGGACGGATGCCGCTCCTCCTTTTCTCGGTCAGACGCCTGGCCTGGCGCTCTGATATCTTCGTCAACAGATTATTGACGGAACGAGCATTCCCAAAACCCCTAAGTCCTCGGCCTCGGGCCAATCGGCGGACAGCAACACGCATGAAAAGACCGTCTATACCCCCTGCAATCACCATCCTATCAGCGCCTGACATCTTGAGTACCTCTTCGTAGGAGTCCGAGCTATCAGAGTCCGAGCCACGAAAGTGATGGGGTTTCTTCTTTTTTCGAAGATGCTGTACTTCTTGTCGATGCAGTCGGATAGAATTTGCCACAGCTCCACATCCTCAAAATCGGTAAACTGCAGGGTGTAAGGAATCCTGCTAGACAATCCGGGATTGTGTTCGAAGATGGTTTCCATTTCCTTGTTGTACCCGACAAAAATGACAACCAGCTTGCCGATATGGTTTTCTATCTCAGTGAGGATGATATCGAGAGCTTGTCGTCCTGCGTTCGGCGTGTAGGGAGCAGTAAGTTGATAAGCTTCGTCCACGAAGAGGACCCCCCCTCCCCGCTTGATAAGCTCATCAATGTGCATTTGAACCACATCGGGCCCCTGATGTGTAAGTTTTGCGCCGGATGTCTCAGTTACTTCGTTTGATGTCAAAATCCCCACAGATGCTAGAAATTTCGCATAAATACGAGCCACAGTTGTTTTTCCTACATGTACCAGTTTAGTACTGAGAACGATACCGATGGTCAAGCCAGGGTTTGTCACATACCAGTCCCAGGATTTCCTTGGAACACGACGTTGAATCGTTCTTTCGCAAATGGGACCATGAGTTCGTCGATCGCATCGTTCTTGTCGTCATATTGCTTCTTTTGCCGTTCCCACTCTTCCGCTGCAGCGGAATGCAAGGGCTTGAACGGTCGTGTGTCATGAGTCTTCTCGGAGGTTGCGTTCGAGTTCCGAGGTTCATTGACGGAAGGAGCTTCGAAAGCAAAGGCTACGGTTGACTGTAGTACCTGACGCTATGGATCCACACTTGTAAAACCACTCGGGCGTGAAGGTTGTTTGGTGACGAGTGATATAAGTGACCACGGCATCAAGACACTAGACGTTTGGGCTATGCAGCGCGGTGCGCACAACCGTCCACACTGGGTGATGGCCGTCCCGCAGTACATTTGAGGCTGACAGGTCGGTTTTCTGCGCTGCCATGTATTCCTAAATCACTGGCCAGTGACCTGTCATGCTTAGAAGCACAATGCAAGTGTCTGTACACCATACAGATAGGTATGGCCACAACCGTTTAGAATAGCTGGGCGTAGCATACGCAGGCCAGTACGACGGAGGTAACCTGGGCAATTAGTGTTGCTCAACCGGGCTGATGGGGGCCTGTACGGGCAGGTGTTCAGGTTGTCTCTTTTGGTCTCGTAGCTATCACACGTAGTCGAACCAGTTCGCAGCGGAGAGGGTATCAAAACACCACATGGAAGAGAGGCCGCTACCAATGCTCGCCATAATCTGGCAGTTTTTTCCGTGCATGCACCACAAAAAGGTGCGCACTCGAGCTCATCTCTCCGACGGACGTATACGAAAGGCAACCGGGGAGAACAGTCGCCATTGCGTCTTGCATCCTACCTCCACGTAGGTGGGTGAGTTTCAGCTCTCGTACACTCCGAATCCTTCGAGAGAGTCCGGCGAGGAGACTGGATGTAGATTGGCGCGAATTGCCTGGTCGAAGGCGTGGTTATCCATGAGTAATGTTATCTAGATATACGGATTTCGGTTGACACCACCCGGCTAACTAGTTACTGGCTTGGCGGCTCAATGATCCTGAGATCAAAAATACTCGCACACGGTGTAATTAAAATACCTCTGCCGATGACCAACTAAAAACACACTCTAATGCCTTGGGGAGTCGGGACTCTTCTTTACCCCTCTCGTGGAATTGGAGTATATCTTTTATCAAAGACCGGGCAAAACGTGGTAGGGAAATTGCACGAATAATCCCCTCGGAAGGGTGAACATTCTAGTCGTTGCCGCCATGGCCTGGATGGGTTGAATGCGAATCTGATGAAACAAATAAATGCCCTTAGAACAAGGTCGAGGCTGGCAGCCTCTACTATGCGGCTGCATCATCTCTGGCCCGGTCAGTGCGGGCGAAGCTGCGCTGGGTATGAATTGCTGGACGGTAAATCAAGAGGATGTTTTTTTTTCTGTTCATTCATTGATTGCGTGCGACCTATCAAGATCGTGGCAATATCTACACGTTCACCCCCGTTTCCCCACCACTGTCCAACCCAACTTTCATCAAGTGGCCCTGATATGGCTTTCCCCGCCCCCGAAATCAAGAGGATGGAGGGGACGTGGCAAGAATGTCAACGGGAAAGGAGCAACCGAAGAGTGATGCCGAAGTGCAACAACAGACATAGCTGCAGTGCAACAGCAGAAATAGCTGCAACGTTGGCTCATGTCGGGTTTTCAACATCTGAAAAGCACAGTGTTCTTCGTACATAAACCGGAGTGGTCGAAAGGTGATTCGTAAAATACCTGGAGTGATCGAAAGGCTAGCAACGTACTGGAGTCCATATGGATTGTGAGACCTGAATTACATTGGGGTTGGATTGTTGGCTGTCGTGCGGTTGGACCTCAGCCGCATCCATATTCTACACCAGACGTGGAGTGATTGACAGTCAGTTGTTTTCTGAAAATGAGACATTTCGAGGCGATTGTCATATGGAATACAGAACGATAACTTTTGAGCACCTTTGGACACATCAGAGATGCAGTGTTTTTTTGGGGTGGGATGGCGGCGGCCACACGTACTCTTCTAGGAAATACGCTCCGTGCACCAGCCGAGGAGACCTGGCGGGAGGAGATCTGGAGGGCTGTCGAGATCAAAGAATTGGATGGAGAATAGTGACCGTTCATGTGCTGATATGTATGTGCTTTCGCTCGGATTTGTTGTGTTTCAGTTCAGCCATATCATGTACGAGGATATGCGTGCAATCGTAGAAGTACTTTGCAAACACCGCTGTGGTGATCATGAGGGTCAGGCGGATTGGCATTAATACCTGAAAATTCAGAGGCTCAAGAGCATCGTGAGAGCTCCATACAGCACTCAAGCTCTGGCGATGGCTGAAAGCAAGCAAAGTCCCGTACTTGTGAAGATTTTTTCACCACTTTTCGGAACCCGAAGACGGCAAGTAAGGCCGAGTGCCTGCGTGATACTTGATTATCTACAGTATATACTCCATATGTACCCAAGGAATCGAGATTAGACCTCTACTGAGTGACCTGTTAGGGCTGCTTGAGCCAACCCTGCGCTAGATGTGGGATGCTTACAGCTAACTATGCATACAGCTGCGTCCATAGTCTTGTTTTCATCATCGAAGACTGGTATTCAAACACCCTCCTATTTAGTATATATGCAACTCGTGCGGGCCAGTCGCGGGCCATGTTCACTTGTATCCAGGTGGTCCGAGTTCGCCGGCGCTCAAACTTCAATCAAGACTTTTCGTCTGCAATAACTGCTATATTCTTTGATCCGATATCTATATCCTACTGTTCTGTTGGCTGCCGATATCACACACCGTCACCGTCCTTTCACTGGGCATATATCCGATCCTTAAAACGCCAACCCGATCACGTTTCCGTATGTACGTCCACAGTCAATTTCTTGAAGATACCAGTCGACGGCCCTGAAAAGTGTACAGATTGTGCCTCCGGCTTGCCCCAGCTCTCGACGTCAATCCGGCGGACTTCCACGCATCTCCTCTCTTTCTCGGCACTGCCTCTCGCACGATGGTCGAAGCTTCGGCGACCGACTGGATGTCGGCAGTCTTCTCCGGAGTGGCAGCCATTGCAGCAATCATCACTCTCCTCACGGTGTACCACGCAGCGATATCGATAATTTCGCGCCGCGAAGCCTATCGGTTGGGTATTTCCCGGGAGGCTCTCGGTCCGTGGGAAAAGGCGGTGGTTCGGCCATCACTGTGGAAAATGCAAACGCAAATCTCCACGCCGACGATCAACTTGGCGAAATTAGGCGCCTTGAAGCCCGAAGATTGGCAACCGAGGATTACTTTCCCCATGCGGTTCGACCCAAAGCCGGAGAAGACTCCCTCTTGGCGGACAAGAATCACCTCCCCCATGGGTGCCGCAAAGGACCCTCACTGCGACCTCGAAAAGGCTGCGGATCTCGGGCTCGTCCTGGCGGAGGCTAGTTGGGTCAACTTCCTCGAGGCGTTAAGCATTGCCGACGACAACAAGAAGTGCTACGAAATGCAAACCCAATCCGACATGGTCAATGGAATCGTTCCAATGCGCTGGAAGGGGAGGTATTTGGCTGGAATTAGTTCGATGCTTGGGTTCCAGGTGCCCCCGAAAAACCAAGAGGAACCCGATATGCCCATGACCCTTCCCTCTCAATGGTCGGGGCCTTTGGGTTGGCTGCAGTTCAGGGCCAGCGCAGATGGATGCGTCATCGAGTTCCGGAGGAGAAGGGTGCGAAAGGACCATCTAGCCAAAGAAACCCACACATATTATGCGAAGCTCGATGCGCGACCTCTATGCCTTCAATCACGGCTCTGGCAATCAATGTCCGGATTCTCATTGCCAGATGATGAGCTTCTTTACATTTCAGGCGCAGATCCTAGGGAGCACGACCCCGCCGAAGAACAGCGCTCAACCGACGATATATGCAACCAAGTGATGGCTGATTCTCGCGACCTCACAGAAGAAGAGATAATGGACATGTTGTGGGGGAAAAATTCCCAGAGACCTCGAGCCCTCCAACCCGATGTCGTCCAGATGGGCCCATCTCAGGCCGGCGATCTAAAGGAACAGGAAAAGAAGAAGTCTCTGCAACTAGCCGTCCTCGTTCCGTGCCCCGGCCTTCTCTCCGTGGTTACAGAAGGAGAACTGGCGGACTGTCGCGGAATCGACCTTCGCTCGCGCAACTGCTACGAATATCGTAGGAAATACACCGATATTGCCGATTACAATTACACCAAAAGCGAAAACCCGCATCGACTCGGCCAGTTGTGCATGAGCGACGAAGTTCTAAAGCTCGTCAAAAAAGCTGTCCAGAGGTTGGAGCCAGACAGCTATTACTTCACGCCCAGCGCGATACTCAAAAACAGTGTGATGAATATTTGGAAACATGTCGATGACTATTCGGACCGGCTCGATCCGAAAATCTTTCCAACCAGCGGACTTCAAGCTTGGGAAAGCGATTCTTCTCCACCCGAAGCCGGACTCGGGCAATTATACCACGCTATGACTGTTTGAAACGAATTCCAAGCCATCAAGAGCACGGGCCGAGCGGATTTTACGATCAACGACATAGGTATCATCTCGAAAGCGTCCCAGACACTTCATAAGATTTTCTCGTCCACGGATGAACTGAATTACCAAGGAAACGATCTCATATGGGCAATCTTAGTGTCAACTCCCCTCTTCACAGACCTGCTAGTGCGATTCAAGGCACTCACCGAAAAGGACTCCGATAGACTCCAAACCAACACCTTGACTAGTGAGCCTGGGGTCGTCGATTGCAGTTCCATAAATTTGCTAGGCGATCGGGATAGCGAGGGGGTAGCGCGATTGGAGAAAAAAGGAATATACGATGTTCCATTGATAAAAAGTGGGTCTTTTACTGAAGCTCAATTGCTGGTGGCGTTTGTGGATGTCTTCCTTACTTATTTCTGGATTGAAAATTCGTGGATTTCCAATGTCGGTCGCTATGATACCACGATGCCACAGAGCGTCACGATGTGTTAGAGGGTGGGGGGCGTGGGGGGCGTGGGAGTTAATGAATGAGTTTTCTTTAATTTGAGTGCAATTGATGATGACGAATGGGGTGCCTCCTGGAGCCGTCCGAAAGTGTTCAGACTGTATCCAAGTCTTTTAAACGAAGGTTTGGAAAACAGACCTGTCCCTCAGAGAAGATTTTCGGATTGCATAGTTAGTGCTGCAAACTTTCGCCTACCTACTTGCCGAGTGCACTGCTTCACGTACTATCACTCTTTAGAGAGATACGGGCCCTGTTGATATTATGCGTCTTGTTGCCTGTTCCGGTGTCAACGGGGTGATATTGCCATGATCTAGATAGGTCGCATGCAATTGCTGATTAAACAAAAACAAAAGCCTGTTCCGGTGTCACTGCTACTTTCCACTGTAGGCATCTGTCGGACGGACCAATCCACCAGTAAGGTCGGACGGGACGGACTGCAGTCGACTGCAGTCGACTGCCAAGACTGGTACAAGGGGATAGAAATCACGACAGAAAGCTCGCAGCGTATTACCGGTGGTTGCAGTGGCTGAGGGAAGTATATGCACATGGGCTAAAGATGACGCCGCGGCGTTGATGGTACTAAATAAATATTGTGGTGCAAATTGTGGCGCAGATTATTGTTACTGGACGAAGATTGCGGCGCGGCAATGCTGGTACTGGACGAAGATGGTGTCGCCGGTCACGGTTTCGCTAGCACTGGACGGAATTGGACACACGATGGTGGGAAATACTATCATATTTGGTGGGGTAAGTGCTGAAAAGAGTGGCAGTCGATGCAGTCCAACCCCGTGCAGCAAATTGGCGGACGGGACGGACTACTTTTATCCCGTCCTCAAAAAGGCACTGACGGGACTGGATATTGGTAGTCCGTCCCGTTCGGACTGTAGCCTGGACCGGACTATGGAGAACACTGTCTACCCCGCGGAGCTGGTAGGAAAGGTCGGGAAGTTGGTGGTCGCCATAGTCTAGTAAAGGCCGCATGCGACAATAGATTGATGTTCTCTCTCTCTCTCCGTCTCGGCCCGCCACAAGTGGGCACGGGAAGCAGCAGCCGCGAGGGGCGTGGAACACACCCTCCCGTCTAAGACCTATGGCCCCACAGGAGTGAAAAAATGCCTCTACCACGATCACCAGCTAATCTGAAGATGAATTAGGCACAGGAAAGAAGATGAATGAGAAGGTGATGTTCTCTCAGCGTCGACTCTAAGGCCTGGCACTATCTTATCTTATCAGATCAGATCAGAGTGACTGGGTATGATCTGATGTTTGAGATAACGGGTCGCAAAGAACGCATGCCACTCCAAATTATGAGTGAAAAACTAGTTGTCAAATTTGTGTGGTAGCAGGAATGAGATAATGTGAAATGAACAGGGCCTTATTGCTCTACTGAGTGACCCAAAAACGGGTGAGAAATAAAATCGTGATCAATTGGACTAAAGGTTTTTTGACGATGACGATGAAAACAAAACAAGACGAGCAAGGACCAGTGTTTTCCATAGTCCGGTCTAGACTTTAGTCCGGACGGGACGGACTGCCAAGATCCAGTCCCGTCCGTGCCTTTCGGAGGACGGGATAAAAGTAGTCCGTCCCGTCCGCCAATTTGCTGGACGGGGTTGGACGGCAGTCGACTGCAGTCCGTTCCGTCCTCCTTACTGGTGGACTAATCCGTCCGACAGACACCTCCGGACGGACTGGATGTATGTAGTCCAGTCCTGTCCATGGGTCGGACGGACTGGACTGGACTATGGAGAACACTGGCAAGGACAACAGAAATAGTCGCAGCAAAACAAATAAACGTTTGATGCCCCGCATCAAGTCTCCCATCAGAAACAACTGGCATCATCCTCAAGACAGCTGGTCTCGTCAGGTCAGTACAAAGTCCCGCTTCTCCATCAGTGAGTCCCACTCAAGTCCGACCAAGTCCCACTCAGATCCGATAGGGTCCCGTTCCTTCGGCAATCGGTCTCACTTAGGCCTGGCCAAGTCCCGCTCGTTCGGTGCACATCGGATAACGCCAAGCTGCCTCTGTCCGCGACCCTCACCACGATACTCTACACACTTTGTACTGAGGGGCGGGAAGGAAGAGTTGGAGTCTTGGCGTCGTCGGTGAGCACCGATGAGAGGAGACCATGTTGTGACCTGGCCGGACCTATGTATTATAGAGATGGGATCCGATGCAGACCCGATGCGGTCGTTGAACGTTGAATCTTTTCTGTTCTTCCTGTTCATCTTGCTTATCTTGTACATCATCATTAGACCTCTTTTCTACTGATCACGTTTTGTCTCACACCCGTTTTTGGGCCTCTCAGTACCAATTCCCCTCGGCATCAATCCAAAAGACCGCCGTCCATCCAGTCGATCCAGTGGCTAGCCACCGGGACTGGCTTGACAGCCGCCCTTCAAAGCAGCGGACTGGACTGGACCACGTCAGTCCGTCCCGTCCGGACTACCGCCCGGACCGAACCATGCCGGGCGTTCACGGAGTCCAGATAATAGACGAGGAAAAGAGTGTCCCATTCATCCTACAACACCTCTCCTGGCCCCCGAGTTGCTATTGCACCACATAGTCCATTACTTGGCGAATCAGGTGTGAGATTTCATGATATCCCACGCTCCGAACGGGATTAAAGTCAGGTGAGTTGAAAGTCTACTTCATTATTCATCTCATTCAACCTCCATTCTTTCTTCCAGAGTTAGTGTACCGGCAGTAATACCCGCCTGCATTACTCCCCATCCACGAAAGCCGTATTTATATGTACCTAGCTGGCCACTTCTTTTGGCAACCGTGCGGATTCACTACCTCGCAGCTTCAAGCTCTAGTTCTTGAAGGGACTTCCCTTCAAGAGTGCTTCTCACTTCTTCATCCCTCTGAAGCTCCCGGTTCTCGATGTCTCTCTTTTGAGTGCAACGGCTATGCTTCTGGGATCAGTTCTTGCTGCAGCGGTGCTGATGGCGAGGGGCTATCAGTTATGGCTCTGAATCACCAGTTCGTACGGCGTCAACTCGTGCATCATCAATAATGGAGAGAAGGAGGAGACTATATCTATGGCTCCCAGAAGACCACCAGCTCGTACGGCAACAAAAACGAAGAGAAGCAGGAGACTACAGCTATAGCTCCAAGAAGACCACCAGCTCGCACGGCAACAATAACGAAGAGAAGCAGGAGACTACAGCCATGGCTCCCAGAAGATCACCAGCTTGCACGGCACCAGCTCGTACGGCGACAATAACTAAGAGAAGGAGGAGACTACCTACAGCCATGACTACAACCAGATCACCAGATCGTACGGCAACAATAACAAAGAGGAGGAGGAGGAGACTACAGTCCACAACAGCAATCACGAGGCCACTCGACCCGCACCTGCCGCCGCGGGTGAGCATTCCGACTCCCGAGTACTAGGGGCCTGCAAGGCTGCAAAGCTGCAAGTGCTTCGACCTGGTCGTGTACTGTATAGGACACCCACCTATGTCGCTACATATGCGGCCGTTAATTGTACTCTGCTCCATATGATCGGTGCGAGGATGGTCGGCGTGCCGCGTGCACCGCAACAGCCGATACTGTGGAATGGGAATGGGAATGGCGACCTGGAAATCGGTGCGGGATACCTAACCGCTGCGGCTGCACGAATCATCTCCCTCCCTCCCTCCCTATCCCTATCCTTTCCGCTGCCAGCTCGCTCGCCTGGTTCACTCCCATCACTGACTCTGCAGATTACTTCTACTATCGCCACCACCACCACAACCACCATCACCACCACCACCACCGCCACCGTGAACACTCGATACCCCAACCCGACGCAATCCCATCCGCAGCACCACCAGGCTATTCGGAACTGGGCTGGGTTGCTCGGTCAACGCTGTGTCACCGCACCGACCGCACCGCGCCGCATCGGTGGGCCGGAAAACCGGTCCGAAGGGGCATTGCAACTGTCAACAGTCCAAATACCGGCGATAGGACAAGTACACGGCACACGACGACGGTGAAGAAGAAGAAGAGGAAGAAGGAAGAAGGAAAGCAGGTGGGAGGAACCATGCCATCGACTTCCATCTTCCATGTGTCGTCCGTCTGTCCGTCTGTCTGTCTGTCTGTCTGTCTGTCTGTCTGTCTGTCTGTCTGTCGGGACAGCCCTGGCCAGGAGGAGCACTTCGGAACAAACAAGCGCCCCACCATCCAGCCATCCATCCACTCTTCTCCACTATACTTCACTATACTCTACTCTTCTCCACTCTACTGTTTCTGCGTGCATAGAGTACATAAAGCTAGCAATACTCGCCGTGGCTACGGTAGATATAGAGTAAGGGCAGCCCATCACCCATCGCCCACCACCCATCACGTGAGCATTATACGGACCGGTGAACGATATTACATAGAGTACTCTACATACCACCCTTCCCCCCCTCCTTCCACCCTCCTTCCACCCTCCGCCCCATCCAAGCATCCATCCTTTTGCCCATCCCATCCATCCATCCATCTGCCCAGTATCCCTCTTCCCCGAATAAGGCCCCGATGGTTGTGGGGGCGCACTCACGAGCATGTACTCTAGGTATATGTTGTGCGAACACGTCTGCTCTACCCAGTTACCCCGCTGTCGCTGTCGCCGTCGCCGCTGGGCGAGCAGTTAACTACCTCCCTACCTACCTAGCTGCAGGCGCGGCAGAGGCATGGAAAAAACGTTGGAGTCAACAAAACACGGCAACTACTCTACGATGCAAGCGTTTCCTTAACGTTTCCCTGACTGTGGGTGTGTGGTGGGTGGGTTATGGGTGGTGGATGGGTGGCGATTGAGGGGAGGGGGGAGGGGGGCGGAGGTGGGGATTTAGCCGCAGCCGCAAGATTTCGGCAGCAGTGATTCAGTGCACTGTCGCATTGTCGCATTTATGCTTGAATACCTACATATGTATGCTATACATATGCTGTGTATATGCTGCGCTTCCCCCTTTGCGAGATCCGACTGGTGGAGGTTCTTTCTGCGGGCTAGGGACGGGGTGGGCGTTATGGTGGTGGTGGTGGTGGTGGTGGTGGGCGTGGTGGTGCTGGTAGTGGTGATAGCGGGGGCGTCAGCGGCCGGCCGGGGCGGTTTATCCCGAGCTGAAACTCACGGGCGGAAAGAAGATGTGGCGTCTGAAGTGTGGGGTTGATGGGGATGGTGGAGCATCTTGATTCCGCGACCACGGAATTCCCGAGATGGAGGCGGCGGCGTCGTCATCGTTGCTAGTCATGCAGCGCGGGCGGATACTTGGATGATACCATGCTCGGTACTGGTACTGGTACTGTTGCTGGTACTGGTACTATATAGATGGATGGATGGGCGCTCGTTCCTTGGTCTCGGGAGTCGGGGTGGAGAGTTCTGAGTGAATAAGTATGTGTGTATGTAGGTCGGCACCTATTCCGTGTTATCGTGGAGGGAACGTGGTTCTGTCGGTCGGTCGCGGGGGGGTGGTGAATCTTGCGAGGGGTGGTGAACCTTGGGGCGGGATGTTAGGTTTAGGCTGTTCCTGCAGTGGGCTAAGGAAGAAGGGAAGGCAAGGCAAGGGATGCTGTCTGTCTGTCGGTGTCTGGACTCTGGTCTCTGGCTGACGTGTGGGTGTGTACGAGTTGTATCATATCATACATACCCGGGATGCGGGCTGCGGTGGTTATTGCCCCGTACGGTAGCTACCTATTTCTGCTGGAGCGAGTGGGAGGTGGGAGCCTGGGAGGGAGGGGAGTCGACCGATGAAACTGCTGGTGGACCATGGTGGGGGATTATAGAGTAGGTTTGCGATGTCTGGAGAATCTGGGGTAGACAAGTATGCTTAAAGTGCATCGGGGATGGGAATGGGGGGATGAGAGCGCGCAAGGAGCGGCTAACGTTTGCGATGCTTATGTATGCTTTCGGGGGGCTGTGGGCGATTGTCTGTTCGCCGCGTCGTCTGCCTTCTCCACTTCCGATGTTCTGCGCATTCCGCACAGCCCGCGGCGGACGAGGGGTTTGTGATTTGTGGTGAGGCTCAGTGGCAAGGCTCAGTGTTGTGGTAACACGGCGAGACAGCCATCGGCCACTCTCGATAGCAGTCATAGCAGTCATAGAAGTCGTTTTATTTTATTCTTTTCTCCCGTTTGAGGGTGGCAGTGCCTCGATGAGGACACTCAATTGCCGCTTCGGGGCGAGTCACGTGAACTCCGAACCCACGATATTTGCAATTCGAGCGCCAGCAAGATCAATGAGAGATCGTCGCTGCTATTGGCTCTGTCGTTTGGCGTCCCCGCGAGATTGAATGGAGGGGACCCTTTCTCTGCCCGGGTTGAGGACGTGGAACGAAAGACTGACGGTCAAACGTAGGCAAAACTTGACTTATGCATACACACCTAACGCACCTACAGCCTCGCCCTACCGTACCCCATACTCCACATATAGGTATCCCACCGGCTATTACGCCGGAGGCGTACTAAATGCTCCCCTACTGGGTACCGCCATTCACCTCCACCACTTCCTCCACCACCGCCATTCAACACCACCACTTCCAACACCACCACTTCCAACACCACCACCACCACCACCACCACCACCACCACCGCTACAAGCACTACAACCACCACTACAACCACCACCAGAACATTCCATCCTCCACCTCCCCATACTCACCACATCACCTTCCTGTAAGTGTGACGCCCGCCCCCACCTTCCTTTCCCTCCATTCGGCCTGAGCAAACAACCAAGCAAAGCCACCCGGGTCATTTCGCTTTCGCTTTTCTTGCACTCCTTCCTGTCCTCCTGTCTGCCTGTCCTGCTGTCATCATATCCTCACGTCCTCCTGTCCCCTCGTCCTACATATCCCGCATCGTCTTGTCTTGTCTTGTCTTGACCCCAGACACTGTTCCAACTGCCAGAGACTCAACCCTTCGATAGTATCTCCCACCCCCCAGGCCGGACTGCGTTTGCGCTTACCATTCAGCCCAACCCTTCCAACCCTTCCAACCCCTTCAACCCAACCCATCCCAACCCCCCTCTCTCCCCGCCCAGCCTGCCCAGCTGTCACCGTCGTCGTTCATCTTGTCGTGTCGCGAGCCGTTGTACATCCCATTACCGAGATATTCCCCCCCTCCCCCACCCACCGAAAGACGGAACCTACCGACGACGACGCGCGAAACGGAGCGACACGGAGAAAAGAGCAAGACGGACAAGTGTTGATCGCTCGCCGCCGCCGCCACCATCACACGCTGCACGCTGAAGCGGTCCAAGCACGATGTTCAACACGATAAAGTCTCTACCATGGGCTGGAAATCGTTCGGTCAGTGCCCCCCAGCTTTTACTTCTCTCCTCGAGACACGCACCCGGGGACTCGAGAGCCTCTCCGCACTCCAACCGGCTGCGCGCATTTGGGGCTGCTTACCCCCCTCCCCCACATCGCTCCCTTTCCGCCCCTGGCGGAGCGCGTCTTCCGATCTGGCACGTCGGAATGGATGGGCGGCGGCGGCAACGCAATGGGCAGGGGAGGGGCGGGGGGGACAGGCGCGCTCGGTGATCGGACTCGATGGGATGGCGCTGAACGCTGACATTGGTGGCTTTGCAGGGTGCACTTCAGAATCCTGCTGCGTCGCCGACGAAACAGAAGGTCGACTCGCAACCGCCGGGACTACACACGTTGACGGGCGATGGCCCACCTCGATTGGACGGAAGCGACCGATTCTTTGGCATGGAGAACATCGTCGGCGTACGCAATGAGCCTCCGGTACGTAACGAATCGGATCTGAAGCGGATTTGCTAACAGGTTGCACAGTTTGGCAATACATGGTACGGCCTGCCTGCTTGACGCTTCGTCCTGGTTAGGGATTGCTGGAGATTGTTGGAGAGGGCTGCCTCCATGCCGCCTCTACTCTCCCCTCCTCTGACCTCCCCTCCTTACGCGCACGTTTTTTCCTGGTCGCTGACACGTTTTCTTGTTGGTTGGCTGCAGTTATTGCAATTCGATCCTCCAGTGCCTCTACTACTCCAAGCCGTTCCGAGAACACGTCGTCAACTTTCCCGCACGAGGCCAGCAGCCATACCAATCCAGTGGGCCTGTCGACCCGCTGGCGAACGGCGTCGGTCGGCCTCTTGTCCGGATCAACACTGAACCATTGCCGACGACCTCGGCAAGTGCGCTGGCTGCAGCCGCGAAAGCAAAGACGCCGATAGTGAACCCCAACGGAAAAGACGACGGAAAGAAAAAGATACTTCCGGCGACTGCGATGGTTCAGATGCCGGCCAATCCCGTCGAGAACAAGGATTCTCCGGATTACAAGAAGAAGAAGGCGCTTGAAGCCGGGCCGGTATTGGATCTGGATCAGGGAAATCACGCGGCTTACGGCATGGAGGAGTCGCTGTTCACGGCACTCAAGGATATATTCGAGAGTGTTATGGCACACAGCTCCAAGACAGGGATCGTGAAACCGAACAAATTCCTGGAGATTCTGAGGCGCGAGAATGACATGTTCAACGGACAGCAGCATCAGGACGCCCACGAGTTTCTCAATTACGTCTTGAATCAGGTCATCGAGAACGTTGAGGCTCACCAGAAGAAGATGCTGCGCGAGAACGGAGGCGCGCCGAAGCTGTCCGGTTCGGCGACACCCGTCGAGACTTCATCGGTTGCCTCGACGAGCACCGCCATGACGTCCGCGACGGCTGCAGGATGGATTCACGATCTGTTCGAGGGGCTCCTCTCCTCCGAGACAAAATGTCTCACCTGCGAAAACGTTTCTAGGCGCAACGAGCAGTTTATGGATCTCTCAATCGATCTGGAGAAGAACTCCTCCGTCACATCCTGTCTCCGCAACTTCTCGGCGTCCGAGATGCTATGCGAGAGGAACAAGTTCCATTGCGACCACTGCGGAGGGCTGCAGGAAGCCGAGAAGCGGATGAAGATTAAGCGGCTGCCACGGGTGCTCGCCCTGCACCTTAAACGCTTCAAGTACATGGAATCGTCGAATCGATTCGAGAAGCTGCATTACAGGGTACTGTACCCGTACCACCTGCGTCTATTCAACACCACCGACGACGCCGAGGATCAGGACCGGCTGTACGAGTTGTATGCGGTTGTCGTGCACATTGGCGGAGGCCCTTACCACGGACATTACGTTGCCATCGTCAAGACCGAGGACAAGGGATGGCTGCTGTTTGACGACGAGTTGGTCGAGCCGGTCGACAAGTCGTACGTGCGCAACTTCTTTGGGGAACGGACCGGGACGGGTGTTGCCAGTGCGTACGTTCTGTTTTACCAGGAAACTACGCTGGAAGCCGTGCAACGGGAGATGTGGGCGGAGGAGCAGCAGGCGTCGGCGGCATCCAATCCTGCTGCAGCGGGTAAGACGGATACGCCAGCTCCAGTCCCGGCTGCGGCTGCGGCTACATCTGTGCCCAACGGTGTCAACGGACATTCGTTGAAGCCTCTGGACCTGTCGAGAGAGGACATGGTCTCGATCCAGCCCGCCGTCACGTCGCCGCTACCCAGGTCGGAATTCGCACACGACGACCATAGGCCGCCAGGTAATGCTGCGGCAGAGCACCCAGCTACACACATCAAGTCGAAGAAAGAGCGGGAGCGGGAAAAGAAGGAGGAGAAGGAGCGTGAGAAGGCTGAGAAGAAGGGTGGGAGGCCGGTGGACGAGAAGGAGCATGGCATGGAAGGCAGGACAAGCATGAGTCGATTCCGAAACGGGTCGAGAAGCTTCAGACAACCGCCCAAGTGGCTCGGAGTTGGGCACAAGAAAGACAAGGAGGACACGCCATCCGTGCCGCTGCTATCGCCAACTAGACAAGCCACCTTCCCTCTGTCGTCGGTCGAGCGGCCCATATCATCACCACCACCGCCAGCACAGCTACCACCACCGCAACAGCCATCATCACCACCGCCAGTGCAACCTCCGAATCCTAGATTCGCTCCTGCGATGACGAACGGTGTCGATCTGCACGACCCGCCAGCCCCCGAACCGGTGGTCCATCACAAGGAGAACTTGCCTCTGGTGGTATCGAAGAAGGACAAGAAGAAGGACAAAGGAGACAGCGACAAGAGCGGCAAGAAACTGCACCACCACCGGCCGAGCCTATGGGGTCTGCGGAAGAAGGCGAAGGCGCAGACGGCGCTGGGAGTAGGGGAATAAGGGGGAATTGTGCGGTACTACTTGTAGAATAACCTTTAATTTTGCTTTCTGGGTTTTTCTTGTATGGATATCAGCTCACCACCGTTTGTGGGTTTCGCTTTTTCATTTTCATTTTCATTTTAACCCTTTTACCTCCTTCTTTATCGAGCAAGCGGTTCTGGTCTATGTTTGTTTGTTTTTTCCAGGCACAAAATTCGCCCGATGTGTTTTTTTTTTCTTCTCGTTCTTTCGTTGTTCTCCTTCTCCTTCTCGAGATGTTTTATTGCACTTGATCCCTCACGGACGTCGCCCCCGCCCTATACTTTGCTTTGCTTTGCTTTTGTTCTACTTTTTTTTTCTCCCTTCGTGATACAGTACTCTATCTTTGCATGACGGCGTTTTGCGAGTCGCTCGGGGGGACACTGGGGGAGGGGAACCTGGAACCTGGAACCAGCTTGATGTAACCAATTTTTCATTCTTGCGTTTGCATTTCGAAACCTTTTGATTTTCCGCGATGGAAGTAAGACGACCGATGGCCGATGGCGCGTGGGGACGCCGAGTACCATAATAGTTACATCGAGATGCCGAAGCGTTGCTGGGGTTGGTTCGAGTCGAGGGATTCACCGTGATATACTCGTCCGTGACGTGCCAAGCTGCAGGGATAGCGAAGTCACGCCTGCACCTGTGTGTGTACATATTTGTTTTGTTTTGGATCGCGCTCTGCCCCCGCCCGCATGCTCCCGCAGACCCACGACGTCTCACCTCCCGCCACGCGAACCATGGCCATCTCGCTCCTCTCGCCGCCCGCCAGCAGCAGCAACAGCTGCGACACGCCCCTGCGCCCCACCAAGCGCCGCCGTATCACGCCGACCTACACCCACACCCACACGCCCCCGCCCGCCCCCTGGCCAACAAGCCAATGCGTCCTCACCCCCGCGGAGCTCGCCCGCCTCCTCGCGCCCCTGGGCATTCCCGCCGCCACGTACACCCCCCTCCTAACCCCGGCGCACCGCCAAATCCCCAAGGGCCTGCAACCACTCGAGTGGCTGCTGCCCTACCTGACCCCTCACCTCCCATCCGACCTCCCACCTGACCTCCTCGACCTCCTCCCCACCCACCCCCTCCGCCCCGCCAGCATCCCCCCATCCATCACCACGACCCCGAAACTCCACCCGCTCAGCTCGCTCCACCTCCCCATTCCCGTCTCCAAGGCAGTCTTCACCCTGCGCCTCCGCCGGCACGCCACGCCCGCCGCAACGGCCGCCGCGATTAAAGCGCTCCTACCGCCAAACACCGAGTTCCTGTACAAAGGAGGCGACCTCCGGGAGCGCGGGTTTTTTGCGCCTGTGTTACCGCGCGGCGCGACGGCGGAGCTCGGCGCCGGGTTGTATACTACTGCCGAGTTGGGGTGGGCTGTTCATCGTGCTGGCGTGGGGAGGGGCAGGGCAGAGGGGGTGGGGGAAGGGGGGGTGGGGGGAGAGGGGGTCGGGGTCGTGTATGTTTTTGCTATGCCCGTGCTGGACGGGTTGCGGGTGGTTAGGGTGCAGGGGGGGGAGTGGGCGGAGCTTGTCGCTGCGAATGCGGATGGGGGGCGGGCGGGGGTGGGGGGGAAGGGGAGGGTGGGCAGGGTGGCGGGCAGGGTGGCGAGGGCGGATGTACTGGTTGGCAGGGTTAGTGCGGATTGTTGGGCCGCCAGGGAGGAGGGGAGGAAGGCGGTTGAGGACGCGGAGATCGGGCACGTGCTCTGGAAGAGTGGTGAGGCGTGTAGGCGGCTTGCGGAGGGGGTCGGGATGGTGGTATTTTTAGACAATTAAGCGGTGGGCGGTTGCGATTGGCGCTGCCGGGTGGGAGTGTCTGGAGTGTGGAGTGTGGAGTGTGGAGTGTGGAGTGTGAAGTGTGGAGTGTGGAGTGTGGAGTGTGGAGTGTGGAGTGTGGAGTGTGGAGTGTGGAGTGTTGCGTGTGCGGGGATACCCTTTGCTTTGGATTTTGCTTTTGCGTTTTGTTTGATTGTACCTAAGGCTTTTGTGTAGGTAGTAGTCGGGTTCGGGAGTTGGAGGGAATGTTGACTTTGGTTTTAGTTTTGCGCGGATGGACGGCGGGGTGGTGGTGGTTGCGGCGGTGGTGTCGGAACTACATAACGTATTCACAGAATGGCTTGGAATCGACGTGGAGTCGACGGGATACAATCGCACGAGAATGCATGGAGCTGATACTTCTTGAAGTTTCCAAGCTCCAACGTAGTTATGTACCATGGGTTCGAAAACTGCGGGATGGTGCGGCAGACAGATGAACGGAATGGAGAACTGAGAAGGTTATCTCTGTTTTCTGCGAGCCCAATTATAGTAGGAATATACACGAGGGATTGTATACACACTCGGATCCTATGGATTTTTTGGAATTCACGGCCGTGAGTCTGATGGCTATGCGGGGCGGGGCGATCATGAGTACTCTAGTTAAGGACGCGGATGCGCTAATCTTGGAGCCTCGGAGGGAAGCTTCGGCCCTGTGGGGCTAACTACGGTAGCTTACCTGCGCGGGAGTGCCGACCTTATATATATAGGCTTCAAAAGCTGTTCAATTCAATTCAATTCAATTCGTCAGTAAAGTCAAGTGAAGTGAATTCGGACTCGAGCTCTCTTGGGTCAATTGTCCAAAATCAAATATTGCAGAACCTAGGTACCTTATCGAGTGAGTGAGTGCTTGCACGGTGATGCTGTGGCCTGTGGGGGCTGCGAAATTCTTCGAAATTCTTCGAAATTCTTCGATGCCGCATCTGATGTTACACAGAGGAGCCCCGCCATCGCACTCCATCTCCACAATATCACGGCGGAACGACAATCACACACACGATGCGACAGACAGACAGCTGGTATAGTATTCGCTTCCATCTCATCCGTCGCCCCTCTCCTACTCAGGCCTCCTCTTCAAAAACTCCTCCAAATCGCCCCTCGTCGCAACGCCGAGGACAAACCTCCTGGCGGGGTCAGTGACAACCGCAAACTGCTCACCGCCCTGCTCAAAGAACCCCTGCAGCTCCTCGAGCGGGGTCGCGGGCGTAATGACGGAGTAGGGCTTCGCGCGCCGCCGCCGGTCGAACCAGTGCATCACCGCGCTGACCGGGCGGTTCGGCGACGAAAAGAATTTTGGCACGGTCAGCGTACGAGAGTCCACGTACCCGAGCAGCGCCCGCGTCCGCTCGTTCACTACCGTCAGCTGGCTGTAGTCCCGCTCGTACGCGAGCGCGTGCGCCGCTTCGATCGTCGTCTCGGGTGTGATCGAGAGCGCCGGCGCGAGGTCGAGGTCTTCGACTGTCGCCTGGGGGGTGTTAGCGGGAAGGGAGGGGGGAGGGGAAGGGGGGAGTACGCCGCGGAACTTGGAGGATGGGGCGGTGGCGGTTTCTGAGGTGGTCGACATGGTGGGTTGTGGTTGGTTGGTGGGGTTAGTTAGTAGTAGGATGGTGAGGGTGACGTGAAGCTTGAGGTGTGTGGTGGTAGGTGGTAGGTAGGAGGTAGGTTGGGTGGATGGCGGGGTGAAGCTTATTTTGTGTGTGTAACGTTGGCTTGGAGAAAGTTATTTCACGGCAGGGGAGAGTGAGAGTGCGAGTGATCGGTCAACCACTACCACGCTTCTATTTCGATGGGGGGTATTCTATTCCGGTCATACTGGGGTACTACAAGTAAGACTGTAAGAGACGACGAATGCGCGAGTCATTGGCACAGCTACGAGGTCCCATTGAGCTCTGGGATGGCGAGATAAAAGGATGGCCGAGTCGACAAAGAGCTATTCACGGTTCGGCACAAGAAGCCCGACAAAACTACATAACTCATTCCCATCTCAAGAATTGAACAGTAGACGTGGAGCTTGAATTGAATCCTTCAGACCTGCGTTCCATCGGCCGAACGCTAGAACTGGACTTGTCTCCACGAAGATTGCAGACTGACTTGAGATAATCAACAAGCCTGTCCGCCATCGGGTGTATTGTTTCCACGTTTTAAGCTCCTGCACTGGTGAACAGGGAAACTTGTGACAAGTCCCCTTGACTGGACTCCTGATCCATTCCTTCACGTCATTTTTTTTTTGTTTAATCAGCAATTGCTTGCGACCTACTTATGTAGATCATGGCAATATATGTACACACTCCTATTCCACGCCACTGTTCAACCCGACTTTCATCAAGTGGCCTGATGTGGCTTTCCCTGCTCCCCGCCCCGGCCTGTCCCAGCAATGAAGATAGAAATAACACTAGGAAAAGACATATTCCGCTCCCTCTCCCTACTCCGCCCCGCCTCCATGAAAGAAGGTGTGGGGAGGAACAGCGGGAATGAGCCTGGCTCCTCGACCTCAGCACCCTCCTCCTCCTCTCGCTCCAGCTCTGCCCCCCTTTCTTCCCGCTCCCTAAGCTCCCATTCCGATACCTCGCTCTCTGAATCTCCCTCAGCCGCCTCTAGCATCCGTCTACCCACATCGGTGGTGAAGAGGAATTCCAAAATCGCCTTGCTGCAGCGCTTGTCCGCGAAGAGGTCCCGTCCGGTCTCTGGCCCGATTTTCGACCCTCAACACCTAGCTTTTGGATCGCGATGGCGAGTTCCAAAACGTCGTCAGCTACCGGAGATTGAACTTGTATTTCCTGTGAGTGACGCGTGCGTTAGCTAGGTGGGGCCGGGTGGGGTTGGCCTTTGCAGTATCCGCCTTTTTTTGTTTAATCATCATAGCATTCGACCTTATCAGATCATGGCTGTACACTCGTCCAGTTCCACCCCACTGTCTCCGACCGCTGGCCGCGAACTCGTTACCTCACGTCATTGGGTACGAACTTAGTTGCCGTCCGCAGCAACTCAAAGAGACGAGTGATACTCACGCACTCCTTGTGAAAGTTGTGCTCGGAATTTCCACGATCTGTGATCCTCGGAATCATAGCTCGCTGGCGGAGGGATACCCTATCGATGCTTTCCAAATGCCTCGGCCATCTTTCGACGTCGACCCGATGATATTTCATACAGCATGGAACCCTAAGGTTATGGCTGGGATTCCGTTTCCGATGTCAAAAGGCGGCTGGGGTTCCAAGATGGCACGGTCTCGACGTGATCCGTTTGGCGTCCGACACGCGCGAACCTTCCCCAGGGGCTTGGGGGGGGGGGGGACCGTTAGGGAGGGTGGAAAGGGGGTCTGCCGGTGTTTACGAGCAGCCACGCCGGTGTTTACGAGCAGCCGCGCCGGTGTTTTCGTTTGTTTTTTGTTCCGTCGTGTTTCATGTGATCGTTTTCGATCATGGCAAGTCAGCCCACCGTTTTTTTTTTGTTTAATCATTGATTGCATGCGACCTATCTAGATCATGGCAATATAAAGTCAGGCACCGGTGATTGGCAGGGCAGTGCGTTGTCGAGCAGACGAGTGACAGACTCAGCCAAGAGCACCACGGCCCCCACCGCTGCTCACGATCAACCGAAAATTGTCGAATAACCGGGACAGCGAGCAGGCAGGGAGGTGGGTGAAAACTGTTCCTGAAGGATCACGGACCGAGCTTCAAACGAATGGATCATGTTCAACCATTTCCGCCCTCGTTTGACTCAATTCTCCCGACTAATTTTTGAATATACACTTTCTGGTCTGGAGGATCCCTCCACAAAAATGCCGATGTTCGGGAAATCGGTGGATTGAGACGAGCGGGTGATCGGTATTTGGTCGGGCCAGCGAGCATCGAGAACAGCGTGTGATATGCTGCTTGTATCCGTACGAAGGGCAGCCATGCCGTCCAGACCCGAGACGTTGGTATGGTCCTCATTTCCTTCAGGTGAGTGCAGGAGTTCACTGTCGTCTTCGGTTGAAGAACGAGACCTCGAGGCATCACTTGTAAGGATGGTGTGTTCTTCATTGCCATGATCGAGATGGTATCGTACATTGTCGTCATCGCTGATGTTACCGGGTGCGTGCCTGCTGGCTGCTAGTGGGGAGGACGAAAGCGTCTTTATCGCAATCGACGGGTGGACTTGGTTGGCGAGAGTAAGGCTTCGTTGAGTTCAAAGGGACTCGGATTCGTGCATTTCGACCAGTTCCCGGGGGCACCCACTTTGTGGCGGCCGTGTTGCCGTGACGAAGACTGCCGTGGACTCGAAGGTATGCATGATCCAGAACCGATTTCTCCGGACACCCGATATTTGATGTACATCTGCCCGGATATGCCACGTCGAAGTTGGTTTGGCCCAGCTGCACCTAACCACAGTTATTAGTACATAATGGGGAGATGTGCGTTGATGGGGATTCGCTTACTCACCTCGGAAACTCACACCTGTAGCTTCAGAGTGTGACTTCATCATCTAAAAGTCCTCAACGCTCCTCTAAGACCAACACCCTTTTCGGGGATTTCTTGGCCCGCGGCCTCTTGAGTTACGCCATAGGCGGATGTAGTGGTCGATTGGGCATTAAAAGCCCAGGACCTTTGATCGAAGATCATCATCAGCATGGAGAACTTCATCATTGACGTGGGATGACATACCGGAGGGTTGAATTCCCCGAGGAGACCAGTCGGACGGCGGGAAAAGGAGCGAATAAAGAGTATTCTTTTTGAAGCGGGTGGGAACAGTCGGGCACCCTTGAGGACCAAAATCGCGAGTCATCGGTTCCCATGGTAGTCGGTCGAACGAAGTTCCTGTCTGGGTGGATGCTGAGAGCAGAAGGTAGGTGACGAGGAAAGGTATATTTCAAGCCCATATTTTGCGCAGTACTACGCCCCGCAGCCCGGCACTGAATGGATCGGTAGGGACCGTCAAACGTCAACGTGGTATCCATCAACCTGGCACTGAAGGCGGATCAGGGGAAGTGAGGAATCGAGTCGATGGCCGTCTTAAACATAATTTTTTAGCATCCATCCAGCAATCAGCCAAGCGAAGAAGCAAGTGGTTAGCCGACACAGATAGGGATTGAAGTGATGATTCCTCCCCGTCCCCGCCAGTTCGATACGAGTCGCCGGAATACTGAGATCGGTTCTTCGGTGCGGGGTAAACCTAGTTGGTGTCACACGGGATGGAGTTCAACGCAAAGATTGTGATCCAGGCCGCAGTTGCAGCCCGGGAATCACGGCGATATGCGCTCGATCGTCGATGTGGATACATGAAGAATTGTAATCGTCCAATTGGATCCTGAAGCCTAATGGTGTTTCTCCCGGTTCTTGCAACATTGACCTGTGAATGCCAGTTGGTGGATAAAGGGCGATCTTCGATCTGGCCGACCAGTGTCGCAGAACGTAAGGATGTGAGGATGTGAGGATATTTCGCTTCTCGTTGCAAATCGTCCGCCATTCCAAAGGGTTGAAGGCGGAGATCCCAACCGATCTGGTTCCCCTGGAAGCCAGTTCTTTCCTCGCTATCAAAATTCTGCTGGCTCCACTCAACCGCATCCGGGGAATCCCCCCAGCCCCTGACTCCGTTATCGCTTCCTCTCACTGCTTCCGTTCGAATCCATGAGCAAGGCGGCAGGCGTGCGGTTCACCAGTTTGCTTGTGTTGACCGGGGAGACATATCAGAGAGCCGTAGGAAAAGATTCTTCCAGTATCGTTTCCCTCACGGATCAGCTTCCCATCGTTTCGCGTTGTTGTACCAGTGTCTCTCCATGTGGTTCAATGTGTCATGTGGTTCAATGTCTCCCGATGTACCTCTCCTGTTGTAAAACACCTTGCATTTTCGACTCCTCTAACTCCTTCTCTTACAATTCTTTTTCATTCTCATTCTCCCCAACCCTTTCCTGCGTCCGTTCGTCTTTCTGCTCCGCAACTGTCCCCCCCATCTTCACCATTTTCGGAGTCCACCTCTTCCACCGTACATTCCTTCTCAACACCTTTTCCCTTCCCGGTAGTGGTCTTTCTGGCCCGCGAATTGCTTCACAAACGCCACGGCCTCTTGGTTCTCGGTTGCCTGCCGTTCGGCTTCCTGCGCAAGCAGCTTGAAGTTTTCTTGATCGACCTCCTTTGCGGCCTTCGGTGCCGTAGCCACTTGGCCCGCAAATTGGTTGGATGCGAGCTTGACCTGCAGGTATTGCTCCTCGTAGGATTGGAGAAGCGACGTCAGAAATGAGGGAATCTCTGATCGTAGCTATACTGGATCAGTAAAATTCAATCCTTCAGGGTGGGTTTACGTACATGGTACCCGTGAGGAATTTCGGTACCAAAGGGAATAGGACAGTAGCAGCCACTGTCTTCGACGTCGTTGGTGGGGAACTTGCTTAGGTAGCTGTTGAAGTAGCCGTGACTGGTCCTCCATTTCCGATTTTCTAGGCTGAGGTCCAGTTTGTACCAGTGGTTTGCGGGGAGTGCTTATATAGCGTTTCTTCATCGAACTTAACGTCTCGGCTAGTGAAGACACGTTTGGTAGCGAGATGGAGATGGGCAGCGTCCTCTCATTGGGTGGATCTTGGGCATGGTGAGGGTGCGGATGGCGTACTTCCGTTGGGAGTATGGAAAAAAGTTGAAAAGTGAGGTAGATACATGAAGGCAATGAATTCGGTACAGGAATAACATTGTGGGCAGTAGTGGCGGCTAGGTGGTTGGTGGTCGGTGCCGAGTTGAACTTGCTTAGCATGGACACGGTGAAGGCAAGGTCAGGCCTGGTGCACAGCATCAGCCACATCAGACTTCCGAGAATATCTCGATACGCAAGCTAGGCGGAGGAAGACGGGGCGGGGGGCTGGTGGAGTGTTGTTTTTTGTTTAATCAGTAATTGCATGCGACCTATCTAGATCATGGCAATATAGAAGGCAGCGTGGAGTGTGATAGCAGTAGGATTTGGATGAAGATGGATTGTTCCCGGCCGAAGTGATGCGTAGTGATCGACATCAGCACACAGGAGGTGTCTGATATTCCTTCAGTCCAAATATCCCATCCATGTAGTTCCCATGCATCGTGATATCGGCCCTTTTCTCCAACAGACGACTGGAGGCACCAGCGAGCATGGGAAGGCGTCCCACATTGGAAAGCTTCGACCGCATAGGCTTGAAGAGCCCCCGCCTTGAGCTTCTCCTGCCAGATAACTCCGGCAAGGTTGGCTCTCGCGTTCACGATCTCCATGCGGTTAATGTAGAGGTCAATGTTGCCATCGTACTCTATTTTGTCCAGTTTCTTGAGGGCATCACGCTCCTCAGAGCGGCTCTGGAAACGGGCCTCCAACACGTGGGTGAAAGCCTCACAGTTGTCGGTCAGCTTGTTTTTGTGCAGATGCGCGACCCTTCCCTCAAACCACTCCTCCGCGTTCCCTTGCATGCGGCTGCCTATGAACGAGATCTTGTCGACCTCGTTCTGGTAGGTGCCTTTGTAATAGTCAAAATAGTTGCCTATTATTGAACACCACACAGAGAACGTGGGCTTCGAGTCTCGACCCGAAAACTTCTCCAGTTTATCGAGCTTGGGCTTCTCGATAGTGATCCGGACTCCCTCCTTCCTGTGGGGGGTACGCTCAGGCCGCGGAGGCTTCCGCTTGCGCTTATCGCTTCCAGAGGCGTCATCCTCAGACGAGGACGAGGAAGGGGAGCTCGGGGGGTTAGAGGCGTTGTGACCGCGGCCTCCGTCACCATGTTGCGGGCAGAGAAAGGGTATTTTGTCAGGACCGGGTGCCTTCCTTGGTGTCGGCTGGATGGGATGTTGGGGGTGGTCGTTCGGGCGGGGGTGGGAACATCACCTTCCGGAAGAGGCGAGCTTTCTCAGCAAATGTGGTGAAGGAGTCATTGCCGGCCGTGAGGGTAGGTGTTCTCTGAGTTTTCCTAGGTTTGGTGAACTGCAAAGCCGTGAAGATGTCTTTGTTCCTGGCATCGGCCAGGAACTCGTTCCATGCAGTTTCCTTCGCAGTCCTGATGTGTCGGTAGTACTGGTTCCGGAGGAGGCGTTAGGTCTGGTGAAGGTCGTTTGTCCGGTGTAGGTTCCATTTCTTCTGGGTACTGTTCATGGCTGGCTTGTAGCCAATCTTTGATTTCTTGAGTGCTGTGGGATCTGAAAAGGTCCATAACGAGGAGGGTGGGACGGGAGCCGAGAGCGGGAAGGAGCATGTATTCGAACCAAAACATCATGATTGCTGAGTTGGCATAGCCTTTGGGATTGAAATTGACTATGACGCGAGGATCAAACAGTTCTTCTTTTCGTCTCCGAGGGGCTTGCGTGCTGACTTCCGCTCCGCGAAAGATCATGAGAGGGCTGGTTTTCACCATCTCTTCGATCGTGGGGGAATCAGTGACGGACGGGCGGCCATTGAATGCATGTGGGATCAGCTCGATGGATCACTGTCATTGCTGGATTCTTTGGTCTGACCGTCGTCCACACCACTGGACGCATCGGTCTTAAAGGGCTAGGGGAAATCGGTGGTGAAGGCGTTCTGGAAAAGGCCGTGTCGTTATGCGGATGATGTTTAAACGTGCGTATATACCGCCAACTCTGGACAAGACGTAGGTAAGACACACAGGAAATAAGGGAAATAACAACTTCCTCCTCTTTCTCCTCCTCCCTTTCCTCTTCCCATTCCTCTTCCCCTTCCTCTTCCCCCTCCGATTCGAAAGCAGAACCTAGGTTTCCGCTTGTGAGATAATGATCTCCAGCTCGATGCGGATTCCCCTCTGTGTATATTTTGCTCGACCTCCCGTGTATTTTGCTCGACCTCCCGTGTATTTTGCTCGACCTCCCGTGTATTTTGCGCGACCTCCCGCAGACTGACGTGGCCCAGTCCGTTCGGCGAAGTTGATAGTGTCGAATTTTCTGCAGTTGGTTGTCTGGCTGCCGGAAGTACGATTCGATTGTCTCCGGATTTTTTTTGTTTAATCATCATAGCATTCGACCTCGTTCGTTGGTTCGTCATTGTCCCGACTGCCATCATCTCCTTCCAAGAATCACAGACATATCTTGGTCATAGGCAAGGGTAAACGGGAGTTATCGATCAAATGGTCGTCTCAAAATTGAAATCCATGGTGACGACTCATGTTCCGCCGAAATCGAGAACGGATACACACAGGTAGTCGGAATGATCGGATACGAAGTCGGTGTCTGTTGGGGGGGGGATCATGACGTGCCGGTCTGGTGCAGTGGTCGAGGGACGCGGTGTGTCTTGGTTCTGGTCCGGGTTTCCGTTCGTTGTAATGGATGGACCGATGCGGCAGAGTCTCGGGGTGCGGGAAGGAAAATGATCCGTCCGACGGCGACGGTAGAGCAGTGGCAAATCGGGGGTAGCTCGTGGTTGTTCAAGTTTGCTGTTATATCGAGGAGGGCAGAGGGTATATCCGTAGTCACTAGTGATGCCATAAAACATCACCACGGGCAGGGGGCACTATGATGCACCCGACCACCCCTAACGTCCAAAGTTCGGTCAAAAGTCCCGCTAGATAAACCTCCGTAACCAACACATGGCCAGCTCGTTCAGCATCCACCCCGTGAACTCGAAGGCGAATAATTATCGGCAAAGTCGATCCCGAGGGTACTTTCCAAAAGGTCGGTCGATTTGACGGTGATACTGATGGGTCTTAGCAGTTGGGATTCGATGGTTTCGGTATTGTCGACTATGAAGAAAATAAAGCGATGGATTGTGGATGTATCAGCTTCAATTGTTTGCGCCGTATTCGCCGGTTCGTAATGTAGATCCAATCATGCAGTGATATGGTTAAAGATAGGTTCGTCATCAACGAGACTCGTCGCACAAAACTGCCGTACGAGCCTCTGAAGTCCGGCGGTGAACGCCGTCGCGTTCGACTGGTCAAGATCGGTCAAGATTTTGCTGGAGTAATTGAGAGCCTCGTAAGGGGAAAGCTAGCTCGCCGCAGGACACGATTGTAATTGCGCATGCGGAGTCGACACGTTTAGGATACTCGAGTGATCAAAATAATTGTCGTACAACTACACGAAGGATTAGCAAGCGCCCAACCACAGTGTCATCGCCGAGATATAGCCCACCTCCAGAGTGAATTGTTTGCGGTAACACCCTTCGCAGGGTTGTAGGTTCTGCCTCAGCTGAGGCAGACAATGAGCTTCCGCCGGTTGGATGAAATCGAAGGAGTCCGTGATTCAGAGATGTCGCGGCTTCTCGGCGGAAGGTCGGGTGGAGGATAGTTCTTTACCTCCTTTGCGGATATCGAAAGTGTTTCGCACGTATGTAGAATCTCAAAACCTAATCGATTAAAGTTATACGCAACATTGGCGCTACCCAGGTGGTGGCACCCGGGTCGGCCAAAGCCGTGGACGGAGAAGGAGGTGTGACGGAGAATTCGTACTGGTCCATCGATCGAAACTGTGTCGTGGGATTAGACTGTAGGAAGGGAATCCTAGGGTCTGAGAGGATGAAAAGATTAAAGGTTCAAACAAATAATCCGCGGACTGTATCAGAAGGGCCAAGATAAAAAGGAGCGTAATCGCACCGAAGTGCTGGGGGCCAGGACTAAAAACCAAAGTTCTTCATCGACGGTTTGAAGACTCAGTTGAAGGATGCTTGTAAACACCATTCGAAGGTCAACCCTTTGGTTGTCGAGCGGCATCAAGAGAGTGTCGATTGTCATTGTGAGTGACAAGGGGTCGAGAGATTGTCGTTTTATCAAGGTATGAAACTGCCGAAAGTCGGATCGAAATCGAGAATCGTCAAATTTTCCTTCGCACTCGCAGTCGACAGAGAATAGCCAGATCGGGTGGAGCTAGATATCTCCAACCGTTTCCAACGATCAAGGTGGTTTGCACATGAAACGGTCGAAGACCATTCGGACCTCATCGACATGAATGCATATCGGATGTAGCAAAATAACGCCATGAGGAGGTTCGAGGACAAGCAGCGATCAGACGCCATCCCGGGGACGCTCGGTTCAGCCCGGTACGCTCGGATATCGGATCGACGGAACGACAGAACATCTCGGGGAACGCCGAATGGCGTGTAATCGGAGCAGGTGCCACGCGCCTCCATGAAAAGCCGCCCCCTTCGAAAAGTGCTCGGCATCATCGATATAAAGCTGCGTCGGAATGGACCGAATGCCGCAGGTGTGGGCAAAAATGTTTCAACTAGGCCTGTACATGAACCCTTAATTAGCACTACTGCTCGTGAATCACGATCAAAAAAAAAGTGATAATTGACCTATTCCTTTGGGGTTCCCCACCACACTGGCTGTTCCGCAAATCTCCACATCTTCGGTACCGATGTGATGGGATGATCGAAAATGCAATCGCAAGGCGCTGCTTCCCCTCATCCGAGATCCGGGATCAGAGGATTGAGATGGTGCGAACGGCCAAAGAACCTGCGGAACGTGAAATTGCCAGAATTCCGCAGGAGCTGGTCGACGGCTGCCCCCAAAGGACGGGCCGCCGACAAGGAGACAACGAGACATCGGTTCGATAGCCATGTATTTAAGCCGGGCAGTACTACTACGTACGTAGCGGAAACCTCCCGGGAGGCGAAAGCCTAGGGGCTTCTAGGAGGATAGTGCGTCGAGAGAAGGCGGGATTGGAATTCCGTAATCTTTAGCTGGTCTTGCTACGAGCTGTTAGCAGGCGAGATTCAGGAATCCGAACTTCTGCCGCCGAGAGGGAGAGCCTACATAGCGGTGTGCTACCCCGCTTGTAAGTCGATTGTTGGGGTGGAGGATAGGTACTGTGGCTTTCTAGCGGATGATAGGTATCTGGGACCAATATGTAGCGAACGACGGGTCGCCTCTTCTGACCTGGCCTGGCCAAGTCGATAAAAAGGCGGTATCAATGTGTCACCCGTGTTCGATTTCCCACGAGCCTGCATAGGAAGCGGTCTGGGGGGGGGGGGCGAGAACCGGCTCCTGGGACCCGGTAAGGTTGATGATTTGAACCAAGGCATCTGCACAGATGTCAGCTGGTGACCTTTTGAAACCTCGCGAAGCCATGTGCATGATATCACCCACCAACCAGATTCCAGAGTCGCGGAAGAGTAGCTGCATAGAACTTTCGTTGCGCCGAGGAGGCCGTCACCTGAATGGCGTCCCAAGACGACTGTAGCTATGTGAAGCTGAAGGCCTGTCTTGATAGGAGGCGTAGTGGTGGAATAAAACCCGAGCGACGGACGGAAGTAATGTTGGGTTCCCCGCACACGTCGCTCTCTCTACCCCAACACCACTAACACGCAGTCTAAGTTGCACTAACGTGCGAAGAATCAAAGATGAAGCCGGTGTTGCCCGGAGGAAATCTTCTTCGAGGAGGTATATGCGTGTGGGCGGGCATCCCTTTGGAACTTAGGATTTGCAGGAAGACAGAAAGCGATGACGGAGATGGGGGGTTGGCAGGGAGCTTTCTTTACGATATGTCGGATGGGGACAGTGGTGGGCAGGTAAGTGGTAGAAAGTACACAGCCCAAAAAAAACCTCATTTAAGAGGCAACCCCCTCAATTGTTTGCTTTTTCGCGCTTAACGCACATATATTTTCCGAACAGCGCACAGAAAATATATAAATCGCCAGTCTGCTTTGCGAATAGCTTGCCAAGGCCCCGATTAGGCGCGCGGATTACCAGGTGCGGGGAGCCGTCCCGCGTCAATAGGGAGGGGTGTCTCTTTTGGGGTGAGCTTTCCCGGAACAATCCACGGCCGGGCGACACCCCAAGGAATAGCCAGCTGGGCCGGCCTCCGATCATCGATGATGTAGGTAGACGCTGCGAGGCACATCGAAGGAGCCGGCCCTGAACATGATCACAAATGCCGCCAGAAACCGATCGGCCCCCATTGTTGGCCCTGCGCGCGCATTCTAGACTCGCCCGGCTGTAAGACCACTCTCAAGTTCCAAAATACATACTCGCTTTGAGGACTGCAACGCACGGTAAATATGCCCTCCTGTTTTGCCCATTCGCCGTCCGCTGGAGGACTTGATGTTGGGCACAAGGCGAATCACCTTGAGGCCCCGGGACAGGACTTTACGGCGAGCGAGACGAGCGGAAGAGCAGCGACGAGACAAGCATGTTCAGGGCTATTCTTTTTTGGTCCCTACGCTTTGTGAGTGATATACAGTGATGCAGTATGGGTCGAGTAAGTAGTACTGATTGGGCGTCCAGCAGTAACTACGGCCATAGTCAGCACCTCAACAGACACATGTTAATCGTACGGGTGATGGGGCACCCTTCCACCCTCCCGACTCGGCACGAAGAAGAAGCGGCATTCCATCACGTCGATCAAGGCAAAGCGAAGGCGAAAGTGGTTATCTATCAACCCGTCGTCACGTAAAAGCCCAGGGCATCCTTGCTCGGCCATTAGGCTCGAGCTGTTCAAGACTTTTCCCATATCCAAGCCACAAGCTCTTTCCAAAACGAGCCAAATCTGTTTGGCGCCTGCTCGAATCTCAGCTTGCTTCGTCTGGTGCCCAACACTGCGATGATTCGATACTGCACTCCGGAGTTCGGGCAGTATGAAGTGCATGGAATGCCCAATTAAGGAGCTGAAAGTACGGCTGCAACTCAGGGAATAGTGGCGATGATGAGTGGTGATGTGGTTGTGGTGGTGGTGGCCGGTGATGGTGGGTAGTGGTCATGGTGTTGATGATGCTCCCTGGTTGAAGATGTTCGGGCCTTTTTTGAAAAACTAAGGCAGCCTGCCTGCATACGCACGATGCCTATCTACGGTGCCAATTGGAACGGAGCTCTCGGAATGTCTGCACTAGCGCCGTTATATTTGTGCTGCTGATATCGAGGGATTACCGATGTTAGGTCAATGATCTTCCACACGAGACCACGCACACCGCTCGTGGGGGGTGGGGGAGGTGACTGGCGCATCAAGGAGCTTCGTTTCAAACTTCCTCCTGACTCTGTGGATCGAGTTTATTGCCCACAAGACCCATTGCTCTCCGTAACCCCCGGTTGCTTGCCCATATTCTTGCACGAAGCTGTATACTGCACTGGGGCCTGGAGTATAACCCCCGCACATACGCATTTGCGCGGGACAGCTCGCTCAAGCAGCCCACATGTAGAGAAGATTGGGTAGTGTATGTCTCGGCGGGGGCTTCCGATCACCCGATAAATTCCTCATGTACTCCATCACGATACAACGGATGGTTAGCGGGCCGATGTGTGTCGATGGGGCAGATGAAACCGAATGAATAGATCCAATCAGACCAGTTCGGAAAGTCCACGTCGGAACCAGACGCGTATATCTGCATCTTCCCCGCCCTCTCCGTGCCATGACTGTACGTATGTATGTATGTACCAGTCAACTCCCTGGACAGCGCAATTCTTGACCACCCGACTGTAATCCAGGGAGAAGCTGATGTTCCACTCCACCCCACTACTCACTCTAGAGTTGGGTGGACCGGCGCATTCTTTGGTTTTGTCGAATTCTTGATCCGTTGATATTACCTGTGCTATGCATGAGGAACCATGGAGATATGCCACGTATCTGAGGTCATAACCGCCTAGACCCTGGATGGTATCAATCGAGGAATGAGTGGGAAGATTGATGGGGATGCGGGGTTTGATTCACTTCCTCGACGAGGATCGATGGTTAGGTGGTAGGCGCTAGCCGAAGCTTTTCATGGCGGACAAAGCAATGGAGTTCATGGATCGCAATCCGCGGCGGAATGCTCAGGGAGCAGCTTGAGCTTGAAGCCTGTGAACACTAACACGAGTTAGCATAGGTAGGGCCGGGATATGTATGCACTCTGCTCCAGTGCAGCGTGAGGACCACAGAATGGGGACCAGTTGGACTTGCAAAAGATGAGGAAAGGGTGTGGACGGTGTTCGGTCAGCACGAAGGTCAGGGGGGAGGATGCTGCGATGATCGGAGATTGGATGAATGCGGAAGCACTTTTGAATATGTTGTGATATTGTTTGTTTTAGGTCCATCGTCGTCATGGAACGATACATGCATGCGTTTCCGGCCAGGTTTTTTTTGGCACATATGCGTGCAGGAGTAGACGTGCACTCATAAGCTGTCACTCGCCTCCAGTCGCTAACATCTGCCGAAAGAGCTATGGGTTGCGATAACAGCTAGCTTATGGCTTTTTTTTCTCTCCTGCCTTAGAAGCAGCAGGTTCAGCTAAGTACAACTGTCCGGTTGGGTGAATGGTAACCAGTATGTAGTTACTCTACAGTGTGATGTCGAATACCGCAGCACACCAGGTCTTCGATGATGTCAGGCTTCGGTGACACTAACAGAGTAGGGGTGAGCACGACCACCCCGGTTTGTTGCGGTGGTGTGTTGCGCAAATCCGTAGTTGCATGGAGTGTCCCTCCTCTCCTGCACAGAATATGCATTTTGATAGTCCTATAATTTTAGGCTGGGTCGGTCTGTGATGGCTTGAGTCGGCTGCGTGAATCAGCTGGCCGTATCTTTTAGGCCGGCCGGGCTGCGATGGCTCGAGTCGGCTGCTTGAATCAGCTGGCCGGATCTTTCAAGCCGGTCGAGCTGCGATAGCTCGAGTCGGGCTGCTCGAATCAGCTGGCCGTATCCTTTCCCTCATTGCGATTGAACGAGATGGCCGGTTAGACTGCCGAGCGACTCCATCAACCAAAACCGACTACCGAGCGTCATTGTCACCCAGATCAACCCGTGGGTAGGCAAGGTGGGTACTTGATAGTATGGTGCGTTCGGCTGGCCAATATGCAAATCAATCGAGGACCGCATGTACCGGTATTTGGCGGTGAGGGTTGCAGTCGTGGAGAGCGCTGTCATTATTGTCAGCAGGCTCGTGAATCGTGCGACCCCTCCTCGAGAAAGCACCTTAACCTGTAGTATAACCTGTTCTCCCTGGTCGTCGACGCGATTATCTGTATGGCCTTCCGCTCGACTGTCACGCGAGGTCTTCACGGGGGGAGCTTGTCTTGGTAAGCATGTTTCCGTCTCGGTCCTAGCATGGCTGGTGACGCTGCAGAAGGTGTGTAAGCTAGTTGAGATGCCCAGCGGTGCAGCAGCTCCGGGTGTGGGATTGCGGATTGCAATAGAGTAGAGTAGATGGTCGTGTAAGTACGTAGAGGTTTCGGAGAGGAAGCGGTAACTATGCGGTCACAGTGCGCCGCCACAGTACCGAGAGATTTCGGAGTGGGAGTGGTAACCATGCCGCCAGGTATTACAGTGCACCGCCACAATGCGCCCCAGCAAGAAGGTGTGGCTGATGCGGTGTGAGCATTCCGAGCCAGACTCCAAGACGGCCAACTTCCAAGACAGCCCAAGACGGCCATCAAGGTCCTCCGCGACGCCCAAGACGGCGATGCCAAGACTTCCAAACGCACACACGAAACAAACACTCTACACAGCAGGCGAGTCACTGCTACATACCTCCGAGCTCTGGCCGTCAACCATGATCGGCCGTTCTTCCGGCAGCTTTTCAGGTATCGTCATATGGCTGGTAAGACCCAGCTGCCAGTCAGAACTGCCCTTGACCTGGCTTGACGCTTATCGACCCCCCCGAAGCCCAGAGCCAGAAGCGAACCTTCAACCAACTTTAAGGCGAAAGTCCCGATTTCTACCCGCTATCGGCGCCATCCCCCGCCAATTCTTCGAAAAACCAATCCCCATCCGCGCTCCTTCCTTCTGCTCTAACCCTCGATACTCTACGCACGATCCACCTCACGTTCCTCTCTTCCCCGCACCCTCTCCCCTCCAATCTGAACCAACCGCCAAGTTCGTTGCCGGAGGCCGCGGCGGCGAAGTTCCCAGGACCGGACTGACCATCTACATACCTGACGACAGTGTGGGGCAGGGGAACATCACGCATAACTATTTAAAGTACCTAGCTTCATGTCTGGAACTCCGCAGCACACCGCGATTGGCTGGCGGCCGTCGACGGCGGCCAATCCTAGCCACTCATGGTCAGCAGAAGGACATGGACATGGACTAGGAGATGGCGAGAGTGAGAGTGAGGGAGAAGGAGAAGGAGAATGGGGCGGCGTATCTCTAGTAGCACACGAGGTGGGGCTTCAGCTGTCCAACGAATCTGCCGACGGAGAGCGGCATGAACCAAGATCGCCACTGTCAGCAATCCTCGACCTCGGTGCAGCTGCTGCAGCCCGAGCAGAAGCAGAAGGTGGCGGTGGAGTGCGGTCTCGCGGCGCTTACCGCCATTCATCGCCAGCGAACCTGAGATCCCCAACAGCGGGGACGGACACGGCAGAGACGCCATCTTCTTTACTCTGGTCCTCGAGTGATAATCCAGCTCCTCGAAATAGTAACCGACTCCGCTTTCGCGAACATTCGGAAACGCCGCTTAATCCGACAACGTCCGACTCGACGCCCCCACATCCATCAACACCATCGTCGACTCCCGTCGGCGTAGCCCGCGACCGTACGAACGGATTCTCGCACATGCCGCACTCGCTTCGCAGACGCTCGGTCCCCCGTGCTGGTCGATCGCCCGACCTCCACGTTTTCGAGGATACGATCGAAGGAGAACTGGCCGACTCCGAGAGTGAGGTGGAGATGGAGGTGGAGGAGGGGGCTACTACGTTAGAACGTCGCGGCGCCCCTAGCGCCCTTGCCTCCGTCACCACTACCACCACTAACAACGATATCTGGAACACCACAGCTGCTGGTAGCCGCTGGGAGGACAATCTCCAATCGCCACCGTCGTTCGGCTCGTCAGGCAGCCAGTTATCGTCGTCGTCGGTGGCGTCGGACTTTGGAGGTGCTGCCATCACGCCGCGAGATACACAGGCAACGTCCATCGTCGGGAAGGAATTAGGCCTGTTTGCGTACGAAGAAATCGATACCGACGACGACGACGAAGGTGGCATCTCGTTCGACATGGAGATTGATGATGACAGCGTTTCGGTCGGAGCCATGCATCCGTCACCAGCAATGGCCGTAGACGAGCTTCTCCCAAGTAGCTTCACGACTCGATCGCTGTCGCCCGTTGGTGGAGGAGGAGGCGAGCTGACAGAAACCGTACAACTTCTGAATGGGGGCGCTGGCGGGAGCGAAGTATCTTCGACGTCGGCCATGCAACTCGATTTTGAAGTTGAGTACCCATCTCCGCCATCAGCGTCGGGACTGTTTTCCTCTGTCCCTCCTTCTCCTGCTTCGCCCACGGACCCGCAAGCTCCTACCACACCTTTCTCCGGGCCATCATCCCCGAGTTCAGATGTTGCAACAGCGGCATCCGACGAGGAGGAAGAGCAGGAGATGCATATACCTCCCAGCCAACCTACAGACAACGATGAATCGTCTCCAGCAAGCCCTCCTACAGTACCTACACCGATTGCCGAGCTCATCATCGACTACCCGCCAACCTCGTTCTTGGAGAATCACCCCCATATCTTCGCCTATCCCGAATACATGACTGTGCCAGCATTCTTCCCGGACCTGTTCACGAACCCGCCTACCATTTCACACGTCGCGTCCCTCGTCAATCTCGCTTCTGCGCAGGCCATAAACCCGTTCGATGACCACGACGAACACCCTAATGATGTGATATTCGACGATGCTCTGGTGACGCAAGAGATGGACAAGTACAATTCGGACTTTGCGAATTTCTGCGGTCAGCTGTGGCATTCGCAGATACCGTCGATACGAGATCACTATCGCTGCGGCAACCACTCGCCACCGCACATTTCATCGGAAGGGTTGAATATCGCCGAATGGTCACGGACACGGCCTGCCGAGATTACGCGAGAGGATGTGGATATCGGCTCAGACATCCAGGGAATACAGTGGGACAAACTCGAGCTGGGAAGGAAGGAAGCGAGGAGATGGAGGCAGGGGAGATATATCAACTACCGCAACATCCAGAGTTTCACCAAGGAAGGGCGGGTATGTTACTGCCTTCGGGGCATTGGGGCAGTTTCTAACTAACGTACAGCAGCAGCCAATCAGGTCGAATCGCGAATTCTTCACTTTCCTCCGACATAATACCCTTCGATGCCGGCTGATGCACTTCCAACTGCGCAACGTGCTTGCCCTGACCGACAGAAACAATATATTCTTTTCGAACGGCGACCAGGTCACCTCGTTCCACCCAGTCACAAACACGATCCGACAGCCCTTCCTCGACCTCAGCGACGAAGCCCATGGCGACTATTACCCCATCCGCATCTCCACCCTCGGAGCCTGCGGGGGCCCTGACGCGGTTCTCATGGCCGGAGGTTTTAATGGCACCTTCGCCATCAAACCGCTGAACGCGAACATATCGGACCCTCCCATAACCGGCGCGATAACGGGCCACGAAAACGGTATAACAAACCATATTCAGATAATCCGCTCGCGGCGCACGTCTACCCCTCAAGCCGTAATCTGCAGCAACGACAACCACATCCGAATCCTGGACATCGTCGACCCTCGCCGACGTTTCATATCTCACCACAGTTTCGCATGGGCCGTAAACTGCAGTGCCACATCCCCGGACTCGCGCCTCCGCGCCGTAGTCGGCGACTCCAAAGACGTCCTCATCGTCGACGCCGAGCGCGGCCGCACCGAGTTCACACTCCCGGGCCACCAAGACTTTGGCTTCGCGGCAGCGTGGTCAGACGACGGCTACACGATCGCCACGGGCAACCAAGACCAAACAGTGCGCATCTTCGACGCGCGAAACCTCTCGTCCACGCTCAAGACCTTCTCCATGACCATGGCTGGCTGCAGGACTCTGAAATTCTCGCCCATGGGCAACGGCAATCGCCAGGTCCTGGCCATGGCCGAGCCCGCGGACCTGCTGCACTTCGTCGACACGAAGACGTGGGAGCACGCGCAGACGGTCAGCTTCTGGGGAGAGGTCGGCGGCCTCGACTTTACGCCCGACGGCGAGCAGGTCGTCGTCGCTAACTGTGATCGCTACGTCGGCGGCGTCATGACTTTGCAGCGCAAGAAGGGCACCGATTGGTACCCTGATTGGACTCCGGACTGGGAGGAGAAGAAGACTGCCGAGGAGGAGAAGTTCATCGAGGTTGATGGAGGGACGAGATTGGGCAGGAGGGAGAGGACGGGGAAGGGCGGCAGGTGGAAACGGCTCGGCTCGGGTGGGCTGGCGGTCATGGTTTAGTTTAATTTTTTGCACATTGCTTGTGGATTGGCTCGTCGCGGTCGGTTGCTTAGGTTGGATACTATTAGGAGTTGGGAGTCGCACATTTTCTACTGTTTTTTTTCCGTTTTTTTTCCGTTTTTTTTCTTGCCTTTCTTGCCTTTCTTGCCCGACGATGAACTTACTCACTTACTTACTTATGGACTACTTCTTCGGTTTTGCTTACGGGTTTTATTTTCATGGTGCCGCTGTGCTAGGGTGTAGGTAGTGACCGTCATGATTGATGAATTGAAGCTTCACTCTGTTCTCTGTCTGCCGCGTTGGTTGGTCGGTCACTCGACGTCGACGACGGTGAAGGGAATAGGTACTCGCATTGTCCATTCGCCCTCATGTCTACCTATTCTAGATTTCCAGTAGTCCTCACTCTCGCCTTGCCTTGCTCCACTCCATTCGCTCGCACCTCGCCGCCATTAACCCTAATCCCGTTACTGAGATACTAAGAAACAAAGCGCAAATGATCCTCTGGATGTTTCATATCACTCGATCATGAAAACAAAAGTTTTTGGGTCAAAGAAAGAAGAAAGATATCATCTCACATTGTCCTCTCACAGCTGTTCCATTCCATTCACTCTCACCCGCCATTCACCCCCCACTTCTCGCCCTCGTCCGCCCGTTTTATAGAATCAAAGAAGAAGAAGAAAAAAAGAAAAGAAAAGTCAAGTCAAGTAAATGACCAGAAACAAGAAAACAAGAAAACAGGATATCATCCACCACCACCAACAGCACCACCACGAGCACGCATAATTCGCTACAAGTAGAGTAGAGTAATCCACCCGCCAAAGAAAAGAAGAAAACCCCGCCGGCCGCCAAATCAAAAATCAAAAAGAACATCAATCAATCAATCAATCAATCAAATATTAATACCTCCCTCCCCACCCTCCTGCTCATACCGCACACGCACGCCTAACATTACTTACATACATACATACTACATCTCGCTTTCGGAATAATGATGCCACCCTCCCCCTCCAGAGTGATACTGACTCGGTGGCGGGGGCGGGTAACCGGCAGCGGCAGCGGCGGCCCGATTCGCGTCTGGCGCCCAACTGCTCTGGGGGGCTCTCAGGCGACGTTCTATATCCCCACATCAGTAACAAAACCACAAAAGCGAGAGAGAAAAGGGGGGAAAAGGGAGGGTACCTTTCTCGAAGTCGCCCCAGCGCTTCATGACGATCTTGCTGGAGTCGAATTCGCCCTCGTCGTCGTGTGCATCGCCCTTACTCTCGCCCTCGACCTTACGAGTATCACCCCACGAGAAGTCATCGAACTTCCAGAACGCGTAACTGGGGAGGACCAAGTTCCAAATGGGCAGGGAAAGGAGGTAGATCAGCATCCAGAGTACGTAGCTCCAGCGGTGAGCGGTGAGGACGATGAGCACGGCGGGCAGGCCCAGGATCATGGCGAGCAGGACCAGCGGGATTATCGGCACCGGCCGTGTGTACGTCGAGATGATGATCAGGTAGAAGGTGAATGCTATTGCGGCGGGGAGCACGAGCGTGCCGATCAGCTCGATGAAGACGACGAATTGCATGCTGAAGCAGAAGGTCCCGCAGAGATCCCTAACCAAGACGAGCTCCATGAGGTTGTGCACCGTCGAGTTGATCCAGCGGCGGCGTTGCGAGAGGAGGACTTTGAATTCGTCGGGGACAACGGTTTTGCACACGGCCTGCGGCACGAAGATCTGTTTGCGCTTGGGGAAGGTCTTGAGCATGAGTGTCGACAGGTAACGATCTTCTCCCAGGAGCAGCAGGTTCTTGGTGTGCAGGGTTTCAACCACGTTCTCCGAGTAATGCTCGACGACGTCCGGGTTGGCGAGGATCGGGACCCAGTAGTTCTGTCCGCCTTTGGGTGCCTTGATACGGTACATACAGAAACATCCGGGCAGACAGGTGACACCTCCAAAGACCGATTCGAACGCCTTGGTAAGATGATGCGAGATGAAGTATTCGAACACTTGAATCATGGACACCCAGGAGGCCGTTTTGTTTGCGATCTTCGTCTCTCCGCAGAGTCCCATAATCTCGGGATCGTGGACCATGGCACCGACCATGTGGGTGACCGAGTCGGGGAACACCTTGGTATCGGCGTCGACCATGAGCACCATCTCGTAGTAATCTGGCGACATTCCAGTGATCTTCCAGATTCCGTTGAACATCTCGAACTCCAGCTCCGTCATACGCTCGTCGAACATGACCTTCTGCAGGAAACTCATCAGAATGATCTGGGAATCGCGCTTTCCTCTGTTACCGGCCTTCTTCGTTTCCGCGGGGGTACCGCACTTGACCACGACGAGCATGGGCACGCGCTGCTGCTTGTCCTCGGGGACCTGCGAGTTGTCACCGTAGTCGTAGAATCCGGCGTAGACCTTTGCCATGTTGTGACGCTTGGAACCCGATGCGACAGCCACGTACGAGAACGCGGGGACCTTCTCGGGCGGGGTAGCGTGGTCCTTCATCATCGAGAGGATGACATCCGGCGTCGTCATGGTTTCTCCGTGACCCATAATCATACCGTCGCAGACGATCAGCATGAGCTTGTGCGAGTTCGGGTAATCGGTGGTCGCGATCGAGTCGAGGGTGGTGCGGACTCCCTGCTCGCCTTCCGAGTAACAGGTGATGAGACACATGCAGTGAGCGAGCGGGAATCCGTGAGGCTGGTACTCTGGAGGCGGCTGGGGGACAACGGCCTCGTGGACGAAGCCGGCAGGACTACTGCCTTCCTCGCTGAATACCTGACTGAACCTGTCGCCCGGCACTCCGGATCCGTAGGAAGGGTTCAACAGTTGCGAGCTGACGCCAGAGTTCATGCCGCTGATGCTTGCTTGGGATCCATTGCCCTGGGAGTACAAATTCGAGCCGGGGGCCAGGTGTCGCCCGCTGGAGGTCTGCGAGCCCATCGTCGTCATGGTCGGCTTGTGTCTGCTCTGAGGGCGATCGGCGGCGTAGGGACTAGTGAACCTACTAGTCGTGGGAAGGAAGCTGCCCCTCTTGGCGGATCGATCGGTGTTGTTTGCGTCCTGGAGTTTGGGTGCCGGGCGGTAGATGTCATCGGCCCAGTCCTCGATCTCGTTCCGTCTTGCCTTCAGGTTCTTCCTCGAGGCGGCATCCCGGTTCGCACCGAGCCTCCAACTCAGGAACCATCCAAAAAACAGGGCGAGGATGAACTTGATGAGCACGATGCTGACGATGAAGGCGAGCGACACGTAGAGCACGACCTGGGAAGCGATGCACCCAACGGTCTCAGTGTCGATGCTTCCGACCCTGATGATCTCGTTAAGACATTTTGCCATCTGCCTCTCCTCGTTGGCCTGGAATCGATGGGTGATGTCTGTTCCGCGCAGAGCGCTGTTCTGTCGGATCTCGTCGAATTTGGATGTGTACACGACCTGGTTCCGGTCGAGCCAGGTGAGCAGGTTCAGATCGAGGACGCTACCCGAGTAGACGACCAGGTTCCTGGACGAGTTCCGGATGTCTTCCCACTTGTAGTAGACGTCGCCGTACACCTTCATTTTCCAGTAGGCCTGGCGAGCCACCTCGGTCGTGTGGCATCCCCAGCCCTCGTACTGTCCCTCGCCGAGCGTCGAGTTTGGCTGCGAAGAGCCGTCGGGTCGGAAGGCCTTACACGGGAAGTACCAGGCCAGATCTCCGTTGGAGGAGGTGACCACGTCGGAATTGTCGGCGGCGGTGATCAGCCCTTTGCAGTGACCGTTGACGTTCTGGAACAGGAACGAGATGTCCATGCCGCCGTAGCCGACCCCGCCTTCGACCGGGAGATTGTACAGTAGGTTGGTGCCGGCCGGGATGTCGACGGCGGCAGGATGCGTCATGAGGTTCATGTTGTAGGCGCGGCCGTGGATGATCATGTAGCCTCTGTCCAGACCCAGCGGCTTCAGTCGTTCGGTGGCGTTCCCACAGACGGCCTGGGTGAATCCGAAGGTGAGGAAGCCGACGAACGCACAGATCAGCACGATGAGCGAGATCAATCCCATCTTCTCCCGCCACGCCCTCGCCTGAGCCTTCTGCGGCTTGCCAAAGCACCTCAACACGGCATCCGGACACCAGAACGTGACGATCGCGCAGTAGACATTCCACGCGCTCGGCGGGCTCAGCGTCTCCTTCTGCTGCTTCTTGGCCATGGCCTTTTCATTGTACGACTGCCTCTTTGTCGATTGTCTCTGCAGCTTTTTCGGCGCAGCAGCTCTGCTAGTCGCCGCCCCACCACCGCCGCCAATCGGCCGCTCATCATCATACTCCCTCTGCTGATGCCTCGCAAAACTCTTGAGATCCGTCTCCTCGGTGCTCGTGCTCGTCGACGCCGCCTCCTGATCCTCAATTATCGGATCGTTCCCGGTGGACGAGGGCATGACATCGACGCCCCTCTGCTGCGCGTGCTGGCGGTAGTAGTAATTAGGATGATCCTTTCCAATGCGCATGCGCTCAGGCTTGACCAGGCTCTTCTTCCTGCCCAGATCAGGGCCCGGCGTGCCCGTTCCATCGGAGTACGGGCCCGGCGATCCGATAGGCGACATGGGCGTTGACAACTGCGCAGGCCGCCGCGACTCCTCGCCCGCCGGTGGGAAATATCCTGCTCCGCCTCCTCCTCCGCCGCTGCCACCGCCTCCACCTCCGCCGCTGCCTTCTAGATCTTGGTATCGACTACGTCGCGCCGAGCGGGTCGTGGGCGTGCCCGGGTTCGGACGCGGTGGTAACGACATCGCTGCTGCTGTGGACGACCCCTAAACGTCACTGTCAACTTCCCTCCCTCCCTTGCTTTTTGCTTGTTCCGTCCTTCCGCAGCGCCGGATGGAAGCGCACCCTGTGACAACCCCGAAACTATGCACTCTCCGCGGCGACCGTGGAATCGTGCGTGTAGGCGTGAAGCGCGCCGGATCCGATGCGTATGTAGAGTTTGGTCGCGACCTCGAGGGGAACGAACGAGCGAACGAGTGGAGCAGAGTGACTGTGGTCACGCGAAATCTCGGTGAAACGAAGGAAGAAAGAATCGTCGTCGACGTTGCGGGTTCGAAGGGAAACGGTCCGTTCAGCGGGACTCGGAACTTTTGTGCGAAATTCGCTCTCGCGCTTGTGGTAGGGAGGGGAGGGAGGGGGGAGGTTTGAGCAGAGAAGAGCTTCGCCCCGGGGGGTCAGGCCAACTGCAACTAGAGTAGAGTCCAGCAGGTGAAGCGCGGCTCGCCCGGAGTCAGGTACAGGGTTGCGTTCGGGTGTTGGATCGCCTGGTTTCTCGTTTGCGCCGTACGAAAAAGGAGTAGTTGTAGTGGTAGTAGTAGTAGTAGCGAACAACTGCTCACGCAACCACGATAGATACGGTAGATACCTACTTGATGACTTCCAGCTTCCTAGGTGGGGTGGCGGATGTGCAGATGGTAACCAGAGCAACCTACGGAGTGGGTCAATCAGAACGAGTGATGATTGTTGATGTTTGGTTCTCCATCTTCCCTCCGAGTTGCGATTTGCCTCCCTGCCCCCCTTTGATATCCAAGAGTTACGGCGAACCGCCAGCAGCCAATAAGATCATACAATCCACCACTCGGTCCACTAGTGTATGGTAGATGAACCTTACATGGACCACTGGGAACTCTCGACTGTGGAGTCGTACATATCCTGGCGTCGCGGCGGTGCTGATTCGTGGGGGCCGTGGGGGGTTGCCACAGTGACGATGGCAAAAGAGGGCGTGTTTATTTACCTCCAGTTACCAGTACTAGTGCAGTAATAGAGTGATGCCTCCCGTGATGCCTCACCGCCAAACGAGCGTGCAGCCAGCCAGCCAAACGAATCGCGAAATCACCACGAAACCACCACGAAAATCAAAACAACAAAACATCAACAAAACATCAACAAAGCAGGCGATTGGCCGGCGGGGCGGTGCAGATACCCACGAATCGTAAATTCTCACCCCACCCCACCGCAAACCGGAGCGCGACGGCTGAATATATAAGAGCACCGGTACATACGGGAAATGTGCGGCCAGTGGAGAGGAGAGGAATCCGCGTTGCGCCGTCGGAAACAAGCTTCTCGACAAATGACGCAGATACCGTCTCTGGATGATGTGTGTGTGCGGGGAAGGGCAGAAAGTAAATAAAGATCGGAAGACGTTGAAAACATGTAACATCGCGGATTCGCGGGTGGCTGGAATTACATGCCTAGGTGCCTACTGGTATGTAGAGAAGTATGAGGTATAAAGGTATGAGGTATGTAGAATATGTGTAAACATACCAGCAGCACCATCGTCGGCGGGCCAATTTTATCGATTCATCATTCCAGATCTAAGATACCTATGCACATACCGTACCGTACCTACAGCTTCGGACTCGGTACTCGAGGGCATGCCCATCCCCCGAGCCCCGAGTTCGGAGCCGGGAGCATACCTGAATCCGCATACCTTCACCGCACTGCCGCCAATCCTCCCCCGTAGCGAGTAGTAGCCTCTGTGTGTTCTTCCTTCTGCACCGGAGCTCACGAACCGGCGGACGGCGGAGACGACGGTCGCAGTCGTCGCAGATGAAGTACCCGCGCTACACGAGTCGGAATTCTCCAAGCCCGCCTCACAAGATACTAGGTAGTGCACGGGAGTTGGCGAATGGCTATGGGCTGTGAGTGAATGGCAGTTGGCGAATGGCAGTGCGCGGTGGGCAGTCGGCGGTGACGGGCTTCACGCGCAATCACTCGTTGTCGGAATTCCGCCGCTCGGTGGAAGTAGTCTGGCGGGCTTTGGGCTTCGGGCTTGGATGGACTTGGGTAGCAGCGCAAGCCGGAGCTTGGAGCTTGGAATGTGGGGTCGCCGAAGCGGGGCGTGCCATTGGGTACTAGTCGTCCGCATTGTCGTCCGCCGTGCTTCTCCATTTCTATGTAGGATTCGCACTGACGGATGGAGGTTCTACATAGGTACATACCATCAAGGGAACTGAAATAGCTCGTTCCTGAGTGTGTGCTCTGCCTTCGATCCACGATCCACGATCCACGGTCCACGGTCCACGATCCACAGTCCAAGAGCAGGCACCGTGCCGGACCGGACCGACTAGTGGCCACTCACGGAATCGCACGGAATCTCACCCGCCGTGCCGCACCATGGAGAGAAAAGTCGGATCCCACCGGTAACTCAGCCGGCCAGCTAGTCAGCCAGCCAGGCAACGTCGGTACGGTACGGTAGGTAAGCGAGTGTGAGCACTGAGCACTGAGCGTTTCGCCATCGGGTGTCAGCCTCCGCGCAGCCCGAGGACTACCTAAGTACTCTGTGTAGGCAGCTTGCTCTACATACTACCTATGGGTAGAATACGGTACTCCATGACGTGATTCAGGGTGTAAATTCTCCACTCACTGCTCAGTCGAGGGAACTGGCGGGGCGAGGGAGGTACATACTTGGTAGGAATGGGAGGTCTAAGTATCCACGAAGACTCAAGAGACGAGACCTGAAGATGCCAAATAGGTACTCCAGGTTGTCGCCTCCGAACCGCCACGAAGTCGAGGCTCGAGGCGCGAAGAAGCCACACCCCAGGCCCCACTGCGCATGCCCAGGCCCGCGCCGCCGTTCAACGGCCCAACACACCTCAAGGCCCGCAGAACACCATATATTTCAGGCGCCGACAATAGCAACAGCGATATAGTGGTTATAGCAACTTTCCACAGCGTGCCTTGCGATTAGGTACACTATGTGCGAACATCACTCCCCCCACCCCCCCCCCCCCCCCCCCCCCCCCACCACCACCACCACCACCACGACCAGCACCAGCACTCGCCGACTGCGCACGAATCTCTGTTATGCTTACATACCACATACCACGGACCACGAACGACGCTGGGCGACGGGTCAGGTCGCTTGCTGGTTCAGTCTGGTGCAACGTTGCGCATCACATCGCCTCGCAACGGCAGAGCATGGGCAGGGCAATCTCTTACCCCTGAGCTGGAGGAGCCTGGAGGAGCCTGGAGGGGCTGAGAGGTTGCACACACTTCACAGAGGTATTGGCAGAGAGAGCGAAAGAGAGAGGGACCGGCCCCGCCGTCTAAAGTACTATGTGGTATAGGTAGCCTCTTCCTTCGCCGCCGGAACGACGGCATGCCGGTCGTTGTCGGTGAGGGTTGGCATGTGATACCTAGAGTAGATGGCACGGTCCGGTCCGGTGGGGGAAGGAGAGGGACTCAGGGCCCAGGAGAGAGCGGAAGAGACTCAGGAGAGGGAGGCTGGCACTTGGAGGCTAGTAGTGCGGGCTGACGGTGCGGGCTGCGGGCCGCGATAGGTAGAGTACTCGCGGGCCGCGGCGGGCCGCGGCGGGGGCGGCGGGGGCGGCGGGGGCGGTGGAGGAGTAACCACCACTTACATTCTGACTTACATATGTCTCTATATACCGGTAGTATTTACAGCGGCCAGCAGAGCAGCACGGTATTCGAGCAGGTAACCAAGTGTCTACCTGGTGATTCCGAGTTCACGGAAAGTCCAGAATCACACCCAGAGCCGAACCAGAACCAGAGCTCAGCCTCGCCAAGAAAATCCATCTCCTTTTCTAACACGCGCAGAGACTCGGTGAAGTACGGTACGGTACGGGGTATGTACCGGTACTCTATATAGTAGTGCATACATCCGGTGGAGACGTATGAAACTACCCCGGCCGCCGACCCCGCAAGAACAAGGCGTTTGGCATTTATTTCTCTGCTGGAGCCTGGAGCTTTGAGCTCCCCTCCAGAGAGATCTATGATCAATGATCTCGCATCTGGGGGAACAAGGAAGGTGGGGCTACATGGTATCGTACCGTCAAGGCATGGCAAGGCATGGCAGGCCCGAGTCGATCCCCCGTGGAGTATTTTCGCACCATCTTTGTGTTTAGCGATATTGGCTCCGGTGGGGTGGTGGTGGTGGTCACTGCTGGTGGTTTTGTTATCTACTAGGAGTGGAGGTTCGCACGGCCAGCAGCATCGACAGTGAATCGGACGGGTGCGTGCGCAAGAGCCCCAACACTGAACAGCTTGCCTCCTCGTGGATGTGCTGCTTGCTTACATGTATGAGATCTCTACATACCTACGGATAACCACCTGGATGGATAGATATACGTTCGAGTCGAAGCACCGTCCGCCTACATACCCGCCCTTCGCCCTTCGCCCGCCAGCCCGCCAGCCCGCCAGCCCGAGAGCGTCTACGTCTGCGGACTCGGATCGACGCTCCACAACGGCCACAGATGGAAAGGGAAAGGAAAGACCGGCACCAAGGCGCAAGTGGCAACAAGTGGTCGGTGGTCGGTGATCGGTGGAGTGGTCAGTAGTTAGCGGTCAACGGGTGTGGGGATCGATTCAGACGATTCTACCGGCACGAGAGTACCTAGTTTTGTGGATTTGCGGATATGTCTCGTCCCTGCATGATGTGATGCGGTGCGGTCAAAGACGATTGGCTGCTACTGCTGCTCAGCGCTGCCGGCTACGAAGTCAGCCGTAGCTTGCCGTAGGTCGTTTTCCGTAGCTTGCCGTTAACTTGGAGATGGGACGATGGAGATGGGACGATGGTCTAGTAGTGGTGGTGGTGGTAGTAATAGCCGAGGCGAATCGTCGGACTGGACTGGAGCCGACTGGACGATGCCCCGGACTCTGTCGGTACTGTTCCGCCAGCGGACGGCGATGCCATAAGCATGAGCATGGGCCCTGGGCTTTTCCCCCGGTTTCCGTTGCTCGCCAGCGGCCAGGCAAAGGGGAATCAGCAGGCGAGGTCGGCGCGCAAGGTCCTCGCCAGTCGCCACGGGCGGCCTTGAAGCGGTCATTTTTGTATGTAAAGTGCGATACATCCGAACGCCGACCCCACGCAGCTCGCTAGCGTCGCGAACCCACCACCACCATCGCCAGCACCACTAATCAACTGCTATGAATATCTCCACCACCACCGCCGCCACCGCGGATCAGGAGGAGGCCGAGACTTGTTTGCTGCGAGTGCAGGATGATGCGCAGTACCTACTCCTGGCACTCCGCAATGTACTATATAGTACTCTCGAGGTACTCTACTTGTCCGGTGGTGAGGGGAAACGGGCGGACTGACGGGAGTCGCTGCAGACAGACAGGTCAAGAATAGACAGGGAACACAGGCTGAAGAGTGTCGAGACATGGGAGTACATTCTCCACCACCTACACTACATATACCATGTATAGTGTGATACTCGTGCACATGATGGGCCATGCGGATTCCGTCACTTCGCTCGCTTCTCGCTTCTCGCATTCACACGGCGTGAGGAATCGTGTACACAGAGTATGTATAAACGCAAGCTGTGGCAGCGTCTCGAAAAGGCTTTCCGACGCTGTTATTCGTCGCCGTCATCGTCTTGGTCGTTGTCCTCACGGAATTGCGGAAGCCCGAAGAGAAGGAAGGACGAGACCCTGATCCCCCTAAGCACGGTGGTGCACTCTCTCCGCATCGAACTAGAGTAGTTGCTGCCAACTGCTACTACCACTCCCTCTTTCTTCTTTCTGCTTCTTACTTTCTCTCCCCTGCTCCCCCTCCTTCTTCTTTCTTTTCCTACACTCCTCCTCCTTCTTCTCCTCCTCCTCCTCCTCCTCCCCCCACAACTTCACAGACCTTGAGCGCTCCAGCCTCACTGTGGTCCCACGCTCGCTACCTCTCCTAATATCACCACAGAGTACATATTCCCACCACCACCGAACCTCACCCTCCCCCGCAATTCATCACGAATACCTCGCACCTCATACCTCATACCTCCCCTCCCGACGTTCGTTCCCCGTGTCCCTCCACAGCATCGAAATACCCAAGCATCTTGTTGGACTCCTCTGGTCCGTTGTAGAGTGTCGTACATAGCATAACCTTGGTACGCACACTGCACAGTCTCGTAAACCCATGCAATGCCTCCCTGTTCTTGTTCTTCCCACTCCCCTCCTCCTCCAACCGCCGCCGCCTCCTGATTCAAGATGGATGAGGGTGGGGACACAACAAAAAAAACAAAACACAAAAACAAAAAACAAACAAACACAAAAGTTATATACCGCTGACCGAGTGACGTTGCTTGCACGTAGAAGCCTGGATCGTACTCCACCGGTAGTTACTCGTCTGAACATTGCATCCTCGCCTCCCCGTCGCTTCTGCCTCCTCGACGGATTACAGTCGCTCCGAACCGCCAGCCCACTACCGCCTTGCATCGCCGCGCCGCGCCTTGCATTCCTCGACATCCAACCCCTCGAGACGCCCCGCTTACCACCGTCCGATCGCTGCGCATTTATTCCTCCGAGGGGATTCGTAGTTCGCTGGGTTGGGTGGCACACTGTGTGATCCGTGCGCGTCTCAGGACCTTGCTCTAACCGTCACCGTCCCGCAGCGGTCGATTCGGCGAAGGAGGAGAAGGAGGGGGGTTTCATTGGGGATCACCAAGCCGCCTGCCGTCTGCCGCCAGCTTTCGCAACATCTGCGGTTGCGCAACCGTGAGATCTGGATCGGATATCTTGGAGGATTGTGTTTGGACGCAAGCGGCCGACGGTTACGCATACGAAGAGAGAGGGACGTCGAGAACCGACCAAACGATCGGTCGACATTCGATCAGATCACGAGCGAAACATCTGACACGAGACCGGAGTACCTACGTAGATGGCTGCCATGTCCCCCGTCGTGGCTCCCCTAGTGGTTTCCCAGACCCACTATCCCAGCGACCCGTCGTCACCAAATGGGGTCTATCCCCCATCCCCGACCTCCTCCGCAAAAAATCAGCAGCAGCAAGGACAGGTTCGCAGTCAGCAGGTGCGGCGGAAGAGCATCCCCGCCTTGTCCATGCATGAGCGACAGCATAGCTATCCCCTCAACGATATTGACGAGCTGGCGTCCCCGCAACAGCAGGACGCCGGATCGCCGGATCGAAATACGCAAGGGGGATCCGCCGCCGCATACCAGAATCAATTGCCGCAGTTCAGTGGCGGCAACCGCGTAATGTCGCTGCAGTCAAATGACTCCCAGGACCTCGCCACACCGACTTCGGAGATGATGTTGAATCGCCCGTACCGCGACGATCCAGCGTTCCAGGACCCACTCCCGTCGCCCTCCTTCAAACCCAAACACATTATTCAGGACAATCCCATACCGCAGCCGCAGATGGCGGTGATATCATCCGGCGACAGCAACAGGTCGTCCAAGAGTTCGGGCTTCTACGCGGACGGTAGGACCGATTCGCCCGTCAGCGCCATGTCCTCCGCGGGAGAGGAGACGACGACAAAAACAACAACACGGAAACCCGCCAAGGTCTACCCGCACTTGCAGCAGCAACAAAACAACCCGCAATTCCAGGACTCGCCGAATAGCTCGAACCCAAGCTTCAACAATGATTCGAGATTGACGATCAACACGGGCGGTTCGTCTTCGCCAGCATCCGATGCGAGCCCGTTCTCGCAACCTGCCGGTGGACAGCTACTGGCGCCGCAAGCCGCGTACCGAAGGAACTCGCGACCTACATCGCAGTACTCGCTGGCGCCCGACAGTCGCGGGCGATCACCAGGTGCCGAACCGCGCCTTCGTGCGGTTTCTGGCCATTCCTACGATAGTCGGCGCTCCTCGTACATGGACCTGACGCAGCCCGCGCACACGCAGGAGGAGCACCACCGGCCGGTGTCTTCGTTCGACAACTCTTACCTGCAGTCGCAGGTCGGAGCCTTCGCGTCACGGATGTCGGCCAGGCAGACGCTCGAGATGTACCGCGCCAACGCGAAGAAGACGCAGGATCCCATGCTGCAATACAACCTCGCCGTGTTTATGGTACAGCTTGCCCAGCAACAGTCGGCGGAGGGAACCTCCGCTCCTGAATCACCCGGTCTGCGGAAGATGTCTGCGGCGAGCGACTCGGCGACTCCTTCCGGCACCCCCACCACCCCCGCGGTGACGAGGAAGGAACTGCTCAAGGAGGCTCGGGAAACGCTGGAACGGATACAGTCCAAGCTCCCGCAGGCACAGTATTACCTCGCGGACGCCTACTCCTCCGGGCTGTTCAACAAGGGCCGGGAAGAGAACGAGAAGGCGTTCCCGCTCTTCGTCGCAGCGTCGAAGCACGGCCACGCCGAAGCCGGCTACCGCGCCGCACTCTGCTACGAATTCGGCTGGGGCTGTAGGAAAGACCCGCTCAAGGCGGTGCAGTTCTTCCGGCAGGCGGCGTCGAAATCGCACCCGGGCGCCATGACGCGGCTCGGCATAGCCTGCCTCCGCTCCGACCTCGGCCTCCACGATCGCTACCGCGAAGGGCTCAAGTGGCTCAAGCGCGCCACCGAAGTGGCCGACGAGCAGTACCCGAGCGCGCCGTACGAGCTCGGCCTGCTGCACGAATCCGGCTACGGCGAGAGCGTGCTCCCCGACCCCGCATACTCCGCACAGCTGTTCACCCAGGCGGCGGAACTGGGACATGCGGATTCCAACTTCAGGATGGGGGAGGCCTACGAGCACGGGAGACTCTCGTGTCCGAGGGACCCCGCCCTCTCGGTACATTTTTATACCGGCGCGGCCCAGCGCGGCCACCCAATGGCCATGATGGCACTGTGTGCTTGGTACCTCGTCGGCGCGGAACCAGTGCTGGAAAAGAACGAGGCCGAGGCGTATGCGTGGGCGAAGCAGGCGTGTGATTTCGGTACGTCCCTCCCCCCCTCGCCCCCGTTTTACAGCTACTGACAGTTGCGAATAGGCCTCCCGAAAGCGGAGTACGCAATCGGTTACTTTACGGAAATGGGCATTGGCTGTCGTCGCGACCCCCTAGAGGCTAATGTATGGTACGTCAAGGCCGCCAGCCATGGCGATGAGCGCGCCGTCGCTAGGTTAAAGGTTATCAATGAGGCGGCTGGCGGAGGCGGCGGTGGCGGGAAGAAGGCGCGGAAACTGGAGAAGGAGAAGGAGAAGGAGAAAGAGAAGGATAAAGACAAGGAGAAGGAGGGGAAGGATGGGAAGGATGGGAAAGAGGGCAAAGAAGGGAAGGAAGGGAAGGGCGATTGCTGTATCATGTGATGTTTTTCTTTTTTTCTTTTTGGGTTTTTTTCTTTTCTTTTCTTTTCGACTACATTTCTTTTGGATACCTTTCTTTTTTTTTCTTTTTTTATTTTTTTGTTGCTACACGTACTTTTAGGTTGGCTGGTAGCCAAGGTACGATAACTTCTAATCTGTGCTCTTTTTTTTGTGGTTTAGTGGATTTGTGTGTGGGGATACCTTGCGTCTGTTTTGTTTTGTGGCTGTTTTGTGGCTGCATCTTGTTTCTTGATTCTTCAGTTTGTTTGTGCGGTTGTTTGAGCGCCATGGTGTGTGTGTACATTTTAGGTACTGGAAGAGGAGCGAATCATTGGGAAAATATCGAGGGTAGGGAGTGAGGGGGCGGGGGTGTTATCTGTTTTTGATCTTATGAGATGTGTGCTGTGCTGTGCTGTGAGTGAAAATGTTAGGTTAATGTGGAGAGTGAGGTTGATGTGAAGCGTGCAGTGAGTGGAGAGTGAAGTGCAGTGGAGTGCAGTGGGAGTGCAGCATGCAGTGGAGAGTAAAGCGTGCAGTAGGGAGTGAAGCTTGCAGTGCAGAGTTAGGTTGATGTGGGGTTGATGTGAGGGTACCGTAAGGGACGACAATCAAGACTGAAGACAGGCAAAGACCAGCAGCCCATCCGGGTAAGAACTCCACCTGCCGGATGACGAGCGTATCAGAACAGGAACTGCAACGGAACTGAAAAGGGAAGGGGAATGGGAATGGGAACTGCAACCAGAAATGTGTTACAGTGCCGAATTTGGTGGGTCTAAGCTTGTTGTGTTGATACAAATGCGCAAATTCCCTAGTGTGAAGTGTGAAAAGCTGACGAGGTGATGGGGCCAAGACCTAGGGGTTGCGGTTGAGCTGGCCTGAGATTGAAGGTGACTGCTTTCTCGAAGGTTTGCACTGGTTGTGTGCGCCACATATCACACAAAGCCCCATGCAACTCTCTTAGTTGAATTTCCTTGCTTTTCTCTCTTCTTTTTGTACTATCATCTCTACAATATACACGTCTTCAACTGTTGTGTGAACAACAACACCTTCTTTTGGTTCTTCTCAGATAATGTAATCAGAACACGGCACTAAAGTGGCTAGTCACATGGGGCAAGACAAGACGATTGAGTTGATCCGTCACAACTTTTCATAGCCAAAGATGGACGAACAGATCATAGACTTGGTCCGCAGCTGCGTGGAATGTCAGAAGAACAAGACAGCTCATTGCCTACCCTACAGACTGCTCAACCCCCTCGAGCTCTCATACGCTCCATGACAGTCAATCGTGACGGACTTCATCACTGACCTACCCCTATCCGAAAAGTGTGACCAGCTGTGGGTGGCCGTGGACAGATACACCAAGGTGGCACACTTCATCCCCCTACCCAAAAATGGAAACCAGCGGCAGACCTCGCGAAAATCTTTGTGCGTGTGATATGGCGCTTCCATGGGATACCCTCGGATATTGTACCGGATAGGGACTCGCGGTTCATATCAGGAACCTGGAAGGAGTTCACCGAGTTGTTGGGGATCCGGCCCCATATCTCCACGGCATTCCATCCCCAGACCGACGGACAGACGGAGCGCCTGGATCAAACTATTGAGGCTTACTTACGCTACTCCGTGAATCACGAACAAGACGGCGGGTCAGCCTACTACCAATGGCGGAGTTTGCAGAGAACAACTCCGCCACCACGGCAACAGGAATCTCGCCTTCTATGCGAACTACCGTTTCTACCCTACAGCCACAAGCCCTGCGTGTAATAAAGTACACTGGGAAGGTACTATACGACTTGACCAAAAGGTATTTTGATGGCTGAAGGCCTGCATCCCAGTAGCTACTTAAGGCCAGGATTTCCGAATTGTGACACCGGGGGCCGCAAGGAAAGCGGGGAGTTCCCGGAGGGCCGAAAGGCCAAGGAAGCAACAGGGGCCAGGAAGGGGAAAACAACAGAAGGGGACATTTACGCGGCAGCAAAGGAAGCTCTAGTAGGGGTTCCCCAGAATGTAATCAATGCCCACAAAGCGTCCAAGTGCGACTGTTGGCGTTGGGGGCGGGACGGCCACCAAACCTTCCAATGTTACCCCAGGAAGACAGTTGCGGGTACCGAACTCCCTGAGAGTCCAAAGGTGTCTTCTGTGACACCCCGATAGGTATCGGAGGTCACGACGGTCGCAAGAGATGTGATTAGATAGTTCGGGTGATTAGAATAGAGTTGCGAGCCGAAAGGATAGTTAGAAGCGATCAAGGACAAGATAGGAAGGAGGGAGCAAACGGATTCCAGAGTCTAGACAGTGATCGGAGATGCGGGAGATCGGGATAACAGTCCAGAGGACTTTGAGATCTCCGATCATAGGGCCCCGCAGTAGGAACTCTGATCCAGGAAAAAACTGTTATGACGAGAGAATCGAACATCGACCGATGGGGGCAGACAACTTCGAGCGAAGAACTCTGCCGGCGCATGAGGGAGATAATTGCTCGGAAACTCCGATCTATCTTGGGCGCGTGGTGTTTACCACCTGCCTAGTCGAGAAGACTATCCGAAGAGAGCTGACGACGACTCAAGGCTAGGCCGCGGAACTCCGATGCAAAGGAAGCAACGGAGCTACGTTAGGCCGCACTCTAGAGGAATCACGTGCTGAGGATCGGGACGACTATAAGTCGAACCGAGCGGGCAACCGAACAAACTACAATCATCGCACCGAACAAACCATCGAACAAAACACCCTTAAGATTATTCCGTTGTGAATTATCGAAATCCCTGACTTTTATTCTATCCTCGATTTTACTATAGACTCCGACGACACAAACCCGTCCCAGTCTCACATCTTCCGTGACAAAGATAAAGCGGGACACCCAGGACACCGGACCCACCCAATCGAGGCCCAAGCAACACAAGGCTGCGGCGGATGTGGTTGAGGATGAAGCGATGACGGAGGCTCCTCCAAACTGGGAGAGGAATAAGAGTTAGCCGGAAAATTGTTGAGCGGCCCCAGCACTCCGCAGACTGGGCTGCCAAGTGTATATGTTTGCGGAACGGAGACACTACGGCTTCAGGATAGCGGCAGCCAATCCAGAAATAAGCGAAGACGGACGGACCAACCTATTTCTACAGGTCCTACCGCGCCGAGCGCCACAGGGTGTGAGCCCAATAGACCTGTTACTGGACCACGGCCAATCGTAGAAATGATGCTCCTCTGGTCTGAGCACAAGCAACAGCGGATACGAGTACTCCTCGACACAGGATGTGCCATTCCGATCATCAAATGAAGCCTTGCACAACAACTTGGGTTGCCCCTCATTCAACGACCCTGTCATGGCTCGCGACGGAATGACGAAGGGAGGGTCGGCGCGAGGATTGGAACAGTTGGGAGGCAGTGCAAGGATGAGTCGCAGAGGATTGGGGGCTGTGTGCAGGGAGCAGGGATAGCGCAGTAATGAGCCGCAAGGGATTAAGGCTGTGTGCAGGAAGCAGGGGTAGTGCGGCTGCGCAGGGTATGAGTCACGGAAGCGGAGTACTGGTAAGATGGATTTCTCAGGGTCTGGCACACGCCCACGGTCATTTTCAGGTTGCGGGAAGAAGTGGAGGATTTTCTATATACACGGGCCGTTGTCCCTCTGTATTTAGTTCTTCACGCAACAACTTGTTAATTCAATCACTGTTACCTCTGTCTCTGCCTCGGCTGCTGTGAGACTGGAACCAGTTTGCGTCGTCAGAGTCTATGGTAGTATCGAGTGTAGAATAAAAGTCAGGGATTTCGATAATTCACAACGGAATAATCTTAAGGGTGTTTGTTCGATGGTTTGTTCGGTGCGATGATGGTTAACTGGTTCGGTTGCTCGCTCGGTTCAATTATAGTCGTCCCGGTCCTCAGCACGTGATTCCTCTAGAGTGCGGCCTAACATAGCTCCGTTGCTTCCTTTGCATCAGAGTTCCGCGGCCTAGCCTTGAGTCGTCGTCAGCTCTCTTCGGATAGTCTTCTCGACTAGGCAGGTGGTAAACACCATGCGCCCAAGATAGATCGGAGTTTCCAAGCAATTATCTCCCTCATGCGCCGGCAGAGTTCTTCGCTCGAAGTTGTCTGCCCCCATCGGTCGATGTTCGATTCTCTCGTCATAACAGTTTTTTCCTGGATCAGAGTTCCTACTGCGGGGCCCTATGATCGGAGATCTCAAAGTCCTCTGGACTGTTATCCCGATCTCCCGCATCTCCGATCACTGTCTAGACTCTGGAATCCGTTTGCTCCCTCCTTCCTATCTTGTCCTTGATCGCTTCTAACTATCCTTTCGGCTCACAACTCTATTCTAATCACCCGGATTATCTAATCACATCTGTTGCGACCGTCGTGTCCTCCGATACCTATCGGGGTGTCACACCATCTCCCCTCCCACGAGGCTTCGGCCCGAAGCACCCAAGTCCTCGCCTTTATCCTAACTTTGATAACTGTGGATGAAGTCCTCCATCCCCTTCATATACTACCTGCCCGAGTTCGAGAAAACCACATGGGAAAAAACTCTTACTCATCTGTGAGCCGGTAGTCCCTCGGCGCATCGGGATTTTTGCGATGAAACTCGCGTAGCTTTTCCCGACCGCCTACTGAGAAGTTGTCGAATGGCTCGTTCGTCCAGTCCCGTCGTTCGGGGTAGTTGAGCCATTTCACAAGGTAGAGCACTCGTCGACCTTTCTTCGAGCTGCCCATAACCTCGTCGACGTCGTATTCTTCGTTGCCTTCCACATCGTCGGCCTCTCGTAAGATCTGAGAGGGATCCGGTGGTGCTCGGGTGCCGGCTCGGAACGGTTCAACGAGCGAGACGTGAAAGACATCATGAATCTTCCACTTCCTTGGCAGAGTGAGCTTGACAGCGAGCGGCGATACGATCTTCTCGATTTGGAAGGGACCATGGTTCTTGTGGTCCAACTTCCGCGAGGGTCGGCGGGTTTGAATGTTCCGCCCATTGAGCATTACCAAGTCTCCTACTTGATAAGCCGGTGCCTCCTGAC